GTAGTACACACACACACACACACACACACACACACACACACACACACACACACACACACACACACACACACACACACACACACAACGCAACACAAGCACGCACTCAACGTCGCTGTAACCGTGTGCGCGTGTTGGTGCCAACAGGCGTGTTCCCGATCGACGACCACACGATCGGGTGGCTGCGCGAGAGGGAGTCGTACATCGCGTCGGCCCGGGGCCAGCGGAAGCCCATCGCCTCCGACGTCGATGGCCACGGCCAGCACCACCCCCGCATCAACTCCCGCACCATCCAGGTCGGTTGCGCGCCTTCCCCCCCCCCCTTCCCTCACCCCAACCCATCGCTCGCTTAGTTCATTCTTTTATGAGTGATCTCCTTAACCCCCCCCCCCAATCGGACCTAAATCGAATAGGAGTTAGAAGAGAACGTGTTGGCAGCGGACCGCAGCGCGTTCTACGCCAAGGAGCTCGTGCTGGACCTCTCCACGGTCCGCCCGCACGTTTCTGGGTGCGCCCCCCCCCCAAACACCGCCCAAAAGAGTGGATGTAGGCTAAGCTCTGCTGCCCGCCCTCCCGGTGGCGGGTGCGCGCAGGCCCAATCATGTAAAGGTGATGCACAGCGTGGACGACATGGAGCGCCGCGGGATCAAGGTCAGCAAGGCCTACATCGTGTCCTGCACCAACAGCCGCGTGCAGGACCTCTCCGCCGCCGCCAACGTCTTGCGGGTACGACCAACGCGCACGCACACGCGCACGCACACGCACACACGCACACACGCACACGCACACGGGCGTGGTTCCTGATAGGCGGTGATACCCCCCCCCCAATATGAGCAGGGCAAGAAGGTGGCGGAGGGCGTGGAGCTGTACATTGCGGCGGCCTCGAGCGAGGTCGAAAGTGACAGCGCCAAGCGGGGCGACTGGCAGGCCCTCATCGACGCCGGCGCCATTCCCCTCCCGCCCGGCTGCGGTCCCTGCATTGGGTACGCACCCCTCACACTCGCCCAATGATTTATCAAAATGGCGACCAATCGGGTTAATGACTTACGCCGCGGCGGCTGCAGTCTCGGGGCGGGACTGCTGAAGGCCGGCGAGGTGGGCATTTCGGCAACCAACCGAAACTTCAAGGGGCGCATGGGTTCGCGCGAAGCCGACGTCTACCTCGGTACCACACACACACACACACACACACACACACACACACACCACACAACACGCGCGCGAGTGATGGTTGACCGTGTCCTCTTCGTGTGTGTAGCGTCGCCGGAGGTGGTGGCGGCTTCGGCGTTGGCGGGCATCATCAAGGCGCCGGGTGGTCCCGGTGCCAACGGCCTGACGGCCCAGGGCAGCGTCAAAGTCAACTCCAAGGGTGCGTTCACTCCCCTCCCCCCCTAAGCAGCACCACAGCCCGAGTTACGACCTAACACGATCGACTGCGTTGTGTGTGTTGTGTGTTGTGTGTGTCGGACGCGTTGTGGGCATGCATAGACACGCAGGATTCTGGCGAAGGCGAAACTGTGGCCATCCTGCCCGGCTTCGTGGAGAAGCTCGAAGGCGAGCTGGTCTTCTGCCACCAGGACAACATCAACACCGACGGCATCTACCCCGGTACCCACGCGCTGTCCATTCGTCGTCGCCCCCTCCCTCCCTCTATTTGCGCCTTCGTGCTCATTCGTTCGTTCTAGGCAAGTACACCTACAACGAGGACATCAGTCCGCAGCAGCAGGCCGAGGTCTCGATGGAGAACTACGACCCCGCGTTCACCAAGAAGGCGCGCAAGGGCGACCTGCTCGTCTCGGGCTACAACTTTGGCACCGGCAGCTCTCGGTAGGCCACACCACCTTTCCCGTTATTCACACTCGCTTCGTCTTCGCTCACCCTCTTCTACTCCAACCAACCGACAACAGAGAGCAGGCGGCGACGTGTCTGAAGCACTACGGCATCTCGCTGGTGCTGGCGGGTTCGTTCTCGGAGACGTATAAGCGTAACGCGTTCAACAACGGCTACCTGGTGATCGAGGTGCCCGAGCTGGTCGACTACCTCAAGCAGAAGGCCGCGAGCGACAAGGGTACCAATGAACTGACCCAGCGCACGGGCCTCAAGGCCGTGCTCGACTTCAAGTCGTCGGTGCTGAGCGTGGACGGCCGCAAGTTTGCCTTCCCGCCCGTGGGGGCCGTCGCCCAGGAGATCGTACTCGCCGGTGGTCTCGAGCAGTGGGTCGAAAAGAAGCTCTAACTCTTGTACACACCATTTCAACATCTCAACATCACAACAGAGACTTCTTTTCTGTTCTCTACACGAAAGCTTGGTGTTGGTTGTTTTTTTCAACTCTTGGTTGGTTGTTGTTGGTTGGGGCTGACACGTCAGCTCAAGTAGTGGCGTTTGGAGGAATAAAAATGGAGAAGATGAGAGGTGCGTAGTTAGTTGCTGCTGGTGGCGGTGACCGCGGGGCGGCTGCCGGAAGCTGTGAGGCCGGCCGCGGTGTTCTTCTCTCTGTAGTGGACGGGGCAGTATGGCCTGCCGCCCAGGTTGAAGAAGCCGGCCGAGCCGAAGGGTTGATCGCACGTGGTGCACACAAAGCACCCCTTGTGCCACGCCTTGCCCAGCGCCGATTTGTCTCCCTTGCCCACCACCTTGTCACACTTGGCGCACAGCCACCCCTTCTTCCTGTAGTAGTCCTGCAACACGCGTAGGACAGCACGTAGTCGTGTCAGCAGGTCGTACAGTGCGGTGGAGGGCCATTCATGATCGGTAGCGCTTACCTGTTTGCAGTAGGGCGCGTTGGAGATGGTGCAGTAGTCGCCCTCGAAGGGCTTCTGGCAGGTCGTGCACACGAAGCAGGAGTAGTGCCAGTTCTGGTGCATCGCCCTGCGCACCGCCATGCGAGAAAACGAGAAGGTGAGGCGTCGGTCTGTGTCTGGTCTGCCATCATAGGAGAGGGGGCGAACACGTACTTGACCAGTGGGCCACTGATCAGCTCCGAACACTTGACGCACTCCTTTCCGGCCGTCTGCGCGCGTCCAAGGGCGGTGAGGCACCACCATACAGTGATTCTGATACACACGAGAGGCTGGGTCTTTCTTTACCTGCAGGTAGTGCTTTTCGCACAGGGCCTTGCCGTCGTGTTCCCAGTAGACGTCGTCGAACGCCGCCGAGCACGCCGAGCATGTGAAGCAGCTCATGTGGTAGCTGGGCACGCACCCAACCGTTGGTCGCGTCAGCAACAGAAAATTCACATACCGGTGGGTGTCGTGTGTCGTGTTTGTCGCGTGTGTCGTGTCGTGGTGTCGTGCGCGCGCGAGAGAGAGCCGTACTTTGCGCCCGAGTCGACCTGGATCATAGTTTCGTCGGAGATGAGTTGGGAGCACTTGCTGCACCTGTCCTCCAGCTGTGCCTGCTTCACCCTGAACTTGGTTCCCTTGAGCGACTCCGACACGACGGTCGAATGCGTGCCGTCTACACACGTGTGTGCGGCGCAACATGAGTTGAAGAAGCCCATCATCGGCGACACGACACACGACACACGCGACACACAAGACACACACGACACACACGACACACGACACGACACACACGACACGACACACAAGGCACACACGACACACGAGGGCCGAGGAAGTGGTGTACGGACCCTTGATGACGGGCTTCTCTTTCGTCCTCTCGCGCTGCACCTTCTTCTCCGAATCGACCACGGCAACGGCGGCCGCGGGGGGTGCAGCCGGCTGCTCGGCGGGCTTCTGCTGAGCGGCCTCCATGGCCCTCCTCAGTTCCCTCTCCAGCACGTCCAGGTCCTCGTCGCCTTTTGGTCAGCGGCCGCCCCCACACAGTCAAAGATCAGAACGAGCCGAGAGACGCAAGAGGGGGGGGGTGGCGGTACGAGCTGACGAGAGTCGGCCGGCGGCCACCGAATCGGTGGAGCTCTTGAGCTGGAACTGACGGATGAGAAGCCAGATGAACCCGAGAATCGTCTTCTCGTCATTGCTGGCGATCGCTATAATTTGGATGATGATGATGATGAGATTGGATTGATGGGGGGGTGAAGGCGATGGGCAGTACGTACACTTGGGGCCGACAGTACACCTGACGTGGTTGTCAGAGAAGAACTTGAGGGCGATGGAGATGTTGGACAGTCTCTGAGCCTGTGTTGTTGCACGTTCGTCTTCGCGTGAGATCGATTGGCTTCATGGGGGGAAATGGGTTGCGCAGCGTGGTGCGCACCATGAGCTTGGGGTTCCTCTCGTAGGCGGCGACGGTCTTACCGATGAGGATCTCGGCCAGCTGGATGAGGATGAGGCCGTCATCGAGGTCGCTGAGCACGCTCGAGATCTGAAGGCCGCGCTGCCTCAATATGAAGTTGATCCAGTTCGTGAAGATCTGTTCTTGTTGTGTCGATGGTTGGGTAGTGGCGAGAGAGATGGTGAGCATCCCACGGCCAACGAAGGTCAACTCTCTGATGGGGGCGGATTGGGGGGGGGTGAGGTGCGGGGGGGGGACTGACCTTCTCCTGTCTCTCGACGGCCTTGGCGTTGGCACGAACGCGCACGATGGTCTTCTGGCCCATCTTGCTGTTGTAGTTCGAGCCCGCATCGACACCCTGTGGCTGCTGCATCTCTCTTCTTCTGTTTTGTTTGGAGGAGGTGGGTGATGTTTCGCTGTTCTCTGTTCGTTCGACCCTTTCGACTTGAAGAACGTTCCAACGCGCGAAGAAGAAGAACTCGGTTTGGTTCAAGTGGAGGCAACTTGTGTTCGAGATTTTAAAAGAAAAGAAGCAAGTCGACCAGGTCGGGGGGGGGAGGGAGGGTGCAAGGTAAAGTATGGTACCTTCCAAACTGGGTCTTGAGACAACCTCCAAACAAACAACAGAGGACTGTGGGCCTACTTGCACCTTCTCTGTCTGGCCTTCTAGCCCGTACCAGTTCGCACGTGCAGTACGAAAAAGGTTTCACATACCAAAAAAGGAATGGCTAGGTTACCGTGGAGTCGCTTTTAGAGCCATGCCACGCGACTCTGCGTAGCACTGAAAAATTTGCCTGCAGCACCAGGCACACCAACCCGAGTCAACATGAATATCTCTGATAAAGTGGTAATAAAATAAAATGAACACCACCGGCGGGACCTCGAAAGCAAAGATGCTGTTTTGACGAGGGCGGCTGATTCGTTGAGTAATATAAAAAATATTTATAATCGCCTTCGTGGGTTGGCGAGATCTACAACTCGACGGTAGCTTCATCGTCTTCGTCGTTCTGCACCTTTTCCTTACCTTTGGCAGGCGGCGCCGTTGGCTGCCCATCCTCAACGTTGGGGCTTTTGGGCGTGACGTCGAACCGGTCGAACAGGAGATTGAACAGCTGGGGCGCCGACATGGGTGGCGTGTTGTCCTCCTCCTCGTCGTCTTCACCTTCCCCTTGCGAGCGATCGAGATAGGCCGTCACCTCGCCACTCACATCGCACAGCACCTCCCACAGAGCACCTGTCAACACACAGCGAAGGTATCGCGTCAGCGTGCCGCCGTTCCAGGCACCCTCTGAGGAGGAATACGCACTCACGGTAACGCGCTTCTCCCGCAGGAAGGCGTAGACTTCCTTGAGCGCGTTGGCCAGACCCGGCTCGCCGAACGTGAAGTACCTTTCAATTGGGTCAGGAAATGGTGATCATGCAGACACATGTGTGGCGAGAACTCACCTCAAAGGGCGACCGGCTACAGCGGCGGCCATGAGCTGGATGATCGCTTTGACGTCGTGAAAGCCGCCAAAGGCGCCGCAACCCCAATTACTATACAATTAAAGCGGAAGGAGGGAAAGTTGTTAAACAGCCGAAGCGAGAAGAAATGAGGCGCGTGAGATGGTGACGAGGGGCGCGTACCCGGTGGCGACTGGGGTGGTGTCGAGCGGAGGAATGGAGGGCGTGGAGAACGTCACGTAGCACTTGTTGAGCTCTCGTTCGATGTTCTCGAGCCGGTACTGGGCGAGACGGCCAATGGAGTAGCTCCCGAAAAACTGTCGACGCACAAGCGATCAAGTTTGGGTTGGTTCGGAACCAACAAATATATGTAGAAAACAATATAGAGGTATTAAAAAAAGGACTCGTACCAGAGCGTCCATGGCGATCACCTGCGTTCGTCTGCGCCCGAGCTCGTCCCGGGGCGTCTGGTCTTCATAGTCACCCGCATAGCGGAATGTCTTGGCGTAGCCGGTGTATTTGGAGTACCGCTCCGCTCCGGTGACTACTCAACGCCAAGGCCGGTGGTTAGTAAAAGGCGAATCCATCATCGCTCGCGAGCGCTCAAGGCGCCGAAGGTTCTCTCCACGTACTCAGCAGGCACTCGTTGTCCTGCAGTCGCGCAGTGAACAGCAGGGAGGCAATGAGCTCGGTGTTGATCATGAATCGGATCTCCTCTTGAATACAGCCGTAGCCCAGCACGCCACCGCCGACCATCCTGCCGAGGAAATGAGCATTGTACTGTGTGGTGTGTGTGTGTGTGTGTGTGTGTGTGTGTGTGTGTGTGTGTGTGTGTGTGTGTGTGTGTGGTGTGTGTGTGTGTGTGTTGTGTGCGGCACTTACTTGTTCGCAAAGTCAATCTGCAGACATTCCTCCTGCACGTCCTCAATACAGCCATCGTCGGAAATGATCAGCTCGGCAAGACCGGTATCGCACTCGCCCCACGGCGGTTCGTCTTCGAGCACCCGTCGCTCGAACGACACGACACCCGTGGGCACTGGAAAAGAGAGGGGGGGGGGAGAAGTCGGGAAAACATGCGTCAGAGAGCAAAAGCAACAAAGCAGACGCAGAGCAGCATGGCCGGCATGACGCACTCTTGTGTGCGACCCGTTCAAAATAGTGGAAGACGCAGCGAAGCTTGGCCGCTTGGTTGGGCAGGCATCGCTCGCCGGCGCCCATGAACAGGGTGTGGAACGAAAACGAAGGGTACTGGCCCTTGCGCCCTGTTGTGCCCCGGCCATACGCCACGCCACGAGATTTATAGGGTAAGTCAAACATGGTGATGGTGGTGATGGTGGTGATGGTGGTGATGATAGTTGGTTGAAGGAGAGGCGCACCTTTCTTTTGTGGTCCTTGCTTCGGGAATGTGCACAGGAAGCCGTTGGCGAGAAGGCAGGCGACTTGCTCCTGGGTCAGCACGAGGGTTCGATCCTCGCCCATAGCGAGCAGAGGCGTGGGTTCGCTGAACAGTTCGGGAAGACGCAGGGCAAGCTGGCGTGTGCGTCATCGCAGCGCAACCGACACACAACAAACACCGCATGTAGGGTGTGAGCAGTGATTCAGCCTCAAGCCGGCGGACCCACGCGGGTCGGTGGGAGGAGGGAGGGCACGCACTCGGATGATGAACGGCAGCGTGGTGTCGAAGAAGGTGTCAAACTCCTCCTTGGTGGCCAACTGCTGGAAGAAGTAGTGAAGCGCGGAGAAGTCCCAGTACTGCGCATACTTGGAGTCCTCCGTACAGTTGTAGGCGATGATCTGGAAGAAGAAGAAGAATCATGTCGGCTTACGTTTGGTGGGGTGTCGGTGGACAGGCCGTGGTGGTGTGGTGGGGCATTTGGTGGAGTACCGCTTCTTGAAGGTCGAGCGAGGAGCGCATGGGAACGGAGAGAACGGTGTGAATCAGGTACCACCTGGACAGCAGGCGACGCGAGCGAGTCCCCACCCGCCGATACGTGTTTTGTGGGGAGCACGGAAGCCTGCAAGAGAGAGAGAGAGAGAGAGGAGGAGGAGGAAAACACGACTCGAGTCAGTCGGGCGAATACAACACACTTTGAAGTTGATGGTCAACACTCGATCATGTCAGGCCAGGTCAGGTCAGGTCAGAGGTGGTGGGGGTACTTGATGTTTTCGTTGTCCCAGGCGTCGACATAGCCCTCCGGAAGGTCGGGGCTGGGCGCTTCCAGCGGCGCCTTCTCCACTGGTTTCGTCTCCTCCTGGTCCTTCTTCTCGTGCTCTGCGTTGTCCTCCTCCATTTCGACGAGCAGGGTGGGTGCGTCTTCCGCCGCGGTGGTGGTCGACGGCAGCGCGCCATCGCCTTCCATCGATGTGACGATCAGCTGCGTAGGCTCGCCACCGGTGTCAGCTTCCTGCTCCTCGCCACCACCGTCAGCCCCAGCCTCCTTCTGCTTCTCCTTCTGCTTCTCTCCATCCCTGTTCTCTTCTTCTCGCTCCTTCATCTTGTCCAGGAACGCGTCCAAGTGCATTTGAGACGAGAACTGCCGGGTCAGCTTCGGCTTCGTCTGCACCTGAGGGGAACGAAGGAATGAAGAGAGGCGTCAGCACAGGCGTGCGGCACCACTACAGTGCACGCGGCTTAAGCATTGGGGGTGGCCAGCGAGTACCGCCTCGAGCGTTTCCACGACCATTTGGGTGGTTTCTACTTCCACTACTTCTTCGATGATTTGCGTGGGGCCTTCGTCGTCGCCACAGTCCTCGGTGACGATTAGTGTGGGTTCCACGGCGGCAAACGCTTCCTGCTCTTCTCCCTCGTCGGGCTGTGTTGGCTCTTCATCGCCCTCAAATGGCTTCAATCTCTTTGACCCACCCTCTTCTTGTTCCTCCTGCCCCTCCACCTTGCTCTCCTCCCGCTTTCTCTTGCCTTCAATTATATCAGTCAAATGTGTCAAATTGATTGCGTTAAAAATAAATAATAAATCAAAATTGCAAATGAAATGAGCGAAATCCGAACCTTGTAAGATCTGCTTTACGGCCCCCGCAGCAGTGGCGAGCAGGTTTGTGCTCGATTTGCCAGTTGAAGCGGGGTGGGCATACTTGCTGAGGTGCTTCTTACTCTTGCGGAAACAGTTGGACCCGAACCAGCACACCGGCTTCTTCCGTTCCTCCTCCTCTTGTTGCGGCTCCTCTTCATCCTTTTCCGTGTCCCCTTCCTCCTCCTCCTCGACCTCTTTCTTCTCGCCGGGCGCCTCTGCCCCCCCTTGGTTCGTATCCATCGTAGCTGCGATCGATTATTGTTTGCTTGTTTGTTCGTAACGGTTCCAGGCGTAAAATACAATATTCCACAAATTCCAGGAAATATGTTCTTTTTCTTTTTCTTTCTAAAAAGAAATTGATTAGTAATGATAATCTGAATTATGGAAAGAAACTAAGATCGATAAGTTCCAGGCCGCGTTAAACATGCGCTTGGCCTTTGTTCTGGTTTTGGTAGCGGTGGCGCTGGGGTACTATCTCCACGTCGCCCCGCTGCCGTTCGACGCCGAGGTCGGGTCGTGGGAAGTGCAACCCAACCCCGAGCGTCTGGGCGTGCTCGCCCCCAACACGCTGCTCAGCGAGTCCAGCTTCCTGGGCCAGGTGGGTTCCCTCAGGCCTGCTCTCCCTCACTCTAAAGTGCTTACGACAGTCGTGCGGCCGAATGACAGGTTCAAGGCGCAGAGACGCTGGTGCTTGGTCCCGATGGCCGTCTCTACGGCGGGACGGCTGACGGCTGGATCGTTGCAGTTGACCGTTCCACGGGCGAGGTGGGTCCCACCTCTGAACGGCCGTATGTATGCTGTGTTGGCGTTTAGTAATACTGACAGTCCTCGCTACTGAAGACGGAGCACTGGGCCAACGTCAGAGGGCGCCCGCTTGGCTTGGAGTTTGACAAGAACGGTGACCTCATTGTCGCTGAAGCCCTCAAGGGTTTGCCCTCGACCCACCCTTTTATCAGGCAAAAGGCGCACATGAATGCTAACCTGCGCGTCCGCACCTGCCAGGTCTGTTGCACGTCAACTCGACCAGCAAAGTGATCACCATCCTGTCGCACTATGCTGAGGGCAGGAACATCAACTTTGCCGATGTACGCTCTCCATGTCAAGTCCACTTTGCTTTGCTGACTAAGCAACCAACAAAACGAATCATGGGGCGCCAGGACGTGGCCATCGCCGAGGACGGCACGATCTACTTCTCCGACGCCTCGTCCATCCCCCCTACGCAGATCGGATGCATTTACGATCCGCTCTATGCCTCGCTCCTTGACGTGATCACCAGCAAGCCTCGAGGACGGTACACACCAGCACCTTACCACTCATGTATGCTGGCTCACCTACCATTGTGTGCACAACCTATGCGTGTCCAGGTTGCTCCGTTACACCCAGCAGGGTGGCACCGAATTGCTGTTGGACAAGATTCACTTCTCCAATGGCGTGACGCTCGCTCACGATGAGTCCTATGTCCTTGTGTGCGAAACGCCTCGTGCCCGCATACTGAGGTACTGGCTCAAGGGACCCAAAGGTAAGCACACCCATTGGCCCCTTTCAGACAGAACATCCGACCTAATGCTCTTTCCTTCCTTTTAGCTGGTACATCTGATGTATTTGCTGATGGCCTGCCGGGCCTGGTTGATGGCGTGTCCCAACGCACCGGTACCAGCCCCCCTCCCCATATGCGCGCGTCACAGTTGCAGCTGATGACCGATGGGTGGCCAATCCTTGGCGCTGGACTCCACAACAGATGGGAGTGGGCACTTCTGGGCGGCGTTGGTCGCTCCCAGGAATCCCTTGCTGGAGGCCATTGCGCCGTATCCGGCCATCAGGAGCCTTATTCTTAAGTTGAAGCTGCCGCTTCTTGGCAAGCCGCATGGCCATATCGTGGGTGCGTCGCCTGCTCCTCGCATGGCTACCTGGAGTTACGCGCCGTGTAATTCCAACTCTCACGCCACCAATCCACGCAGAGTTGGACGGGCAGGGTCGCGTGGTACGCAGCCTCGAGGGCGACACACAGAGCATCACTGCAGTGACTGAGGTGGAGGGGCTGCTCTACTTCGGTCACCTCCACGCACCTTCCATCACCGCCTTCCAGCTCTCCTCCACCCACTAGGCAGCAGATGTAGTGTTTCAAGCAAAGGCCGCACATTATCGACCCGCAACTGTACAACACAAAACACACTGGAGCTGCCAGCTCTCACAGGCAGTGCTATCAGCTGCAATGTCCCGGTGCGCACCAAAAAGCGGGGAATGCCACAAATGCAAATTCAAACTTTCCGTCATAATTCTGCTGCTGGGGCACGCGCTACCATCTTCCCACCGCCCAGCAAATCACAACCTGCAATTGAGCACAGCGAGAGCAAACATGAACTAGTGCGATCTTCTCTCCTGTACCCCCTTTCAACTGGCTTTATTTTATGTGATCTATTTATTTCTTATTTTGCATATTTTATTCCAAGCCAAGCAAGCAGCTCTAATCGATATTGTTTTGCTTGCTGCACAGAATAAATCAAGCTGCGAAGATTGCTTCTACAAGACGCGAAGGAAAATGAAAGCCCAATTCAAAGAGAAATTCAAATCTACCGATTACACGAACTCCTGGAATCCAACGACGCCTGGACACTGAATCCCAACGCGTAACCCACTCCTAAACGATCCTACACATCACCATCACCACCACCATCATGAAACCCACCTCGCCAACTTCCTCTTCAACTTCTGTCCCCACCACGCCCGCCGCCGCCACCTCTTCTTCTCTCCCTGCTCCCGCCACACTCGCGCCCATGCTCGCTTCTTCGTCGTCCGGTTCGCACACGCCGCCTCCCACCCGCGCCGGCGGCGTGCTGAAGCGATTGCGCCAGATCTTGTGGGAAGGCGTCGGCCGCGATGCACCAGTAGTGGAGGAGTCGAGTGCACCACCGCGCGCCGAGCCAGCCGCTAGTACCGCCACCACACCGCAACCACCCCACACCGCTGCTGGCACGTCGAGGCCTGCGCCGACCAGACAGTCGACCAACACCGCCGCCGTCGGCGTCGTCGGCCCGCCGACACTACACCACGAGCACCTGCTCAAGGAGGCCCTCAAGCGCATGAGCAAGCACAGCCCGCTGCAGACTCGTCTCGCCCTCGTCAACGAAGTCTGCGAGTACTCGCGCTCCTACAGGTATATGCCTTGCTCTTCTTGGCTGGACTTGACAATGATCTGTCGCTTCAGCGCTGATACGATGTGTGCCTTGTCCTGACTGTCTTGTCGCGGCCCTTTCCTTTCGCACGGTGGTGCAGCATCGACGACGTGCTGACGGTGTGGGGCACGGTGAAGGACCTCGTCGGCGAGGATCAGCCCTCGTACGTTCGGAAGCTGGGCTACGAGATCATGCACGCCCTCATCGACGGCCAATATGACAGGCTGGGCTCGCTTCGGATGGGTACCGCCCTTACACCGTGGCCTCACCGACGAATCGTACACTCGAGTGCCTGTGGAGTTGCTAACGCGCGGGCGACTGGTCTTGCGACTTTCTCAGAATTCTTCGCCGTCATTCAAAGGAACAAACACAATTTTGTTGCTCGCCTCAAGAACCTGGTGGCGCTCACTAAGAATGGACACAACATCGCACCCTTTGAGGTAATGACTGGCCCGGGCCTGGCTGTTGAGTGCCTGGTTTTGTTTCTTTTTTTCCTATCTTCTTCGATTGACATGGCCTCCAACCCCGAACAGAACGACATATGCCAGCTACTGCTGACGTGGCTGGAGCGCGGGAAAGGTGCCTACTCGCACGAGATCATCGCCTTTGCTGCGAAAGTGGTCAAATACAACCCCTACGCACTGCCCGAAGCGCCAAAGGTTCGTTCGCGACCGAGTCACAGCTCATGTGTGCTGCCGAATTGGATTCGTCACCTTTTAACTGTGTGTGTCGCGTGTGTCGCGTGTGTCGCGTGTGTCGCGTGTGTCGTGTGTGTTTCCTCCTAAAAATGTCTGATACGCTAGACGGCCTTCATCTGTCACGTGTGCGCCATCTGCAACACGAGCACAGAGGTCAAGCTGGTTGAAAGCTGTCTCAACTTTTTCGACATTTTGGTACGGACATGCGCCCTCAATGTTCAACTGGAAACACACACAAGGTTGATTCGTTGACGTCATTCGTGGTGTCCTCACGTTCACAGGTGCGCTACAGCCACATTCCCGAGCAATCGCTGGTCGAGTTCATCAACGCCCTCTGTCGCACGCTCAACATCGAGGCGTGCTGCCAGCGCAGTTGGCAGTTGATGACCAACGTGCTCAAGAGCCCGTGCGGCCACCAGGGCGTCATCGCGCTCTGCGCCACCCTCGACAATCCCGACAACGTGCATGTCGTCAACCTCCTGCGCGGCGCCGTGTTCTACCTCAGTACGGAGTCGCTTTCACTGATCTTCGCCCCCTGGGTCAGTCACCCACTCCTTACTTACCACATATGCCACCACCAACCGCCGACCACCAACAGGTATGGCTTCATGGGGCAGCTACAGGATTTCGACGCTACACGTGACCCGCTCGGCCGTTCTGCCCTACCTGCTACGGGTGCTCAACAGTCAACACAACATTGTTGCCTACGAGGTGGCTCTTTCCATGTGCCGCCTAATTAAGAAGTACACACCTCTGTCATAGCCCAACGTGTCCAGCTGCGCCCGATCGCTTACGGCTCATCTCTCTCAAAACTTGGTCGTGGCCCGCCACAGGTACGGTCCGCGATTGCAGGTCGAGTGGGACGTGATTTTGCGCATCATTCGCAACCTCCTCCCCTATTTGGTGGGCCACGAAGACAACGAGCAGTACTCCCTCATCCCTGTCGTCAGGGAGATTCTCGAGGTCATTCACGGTACCCACCACCACCACCACCACCACCCACCACCCACCACCCACCACCCACCACCCACCACCCACCACCACCGGTGTTCCCATCTTGGCGTTGCCCAAAGGCCTGGGGGAGTGGGATTGAAAGCTGATAGACTTCGTTTCATTTCTTTCATTGGTGGCGGCAGAGCTGCACAAGAACTTCCAGTTCATGGGTCCCACGGAGGCGCTGATCGAGCTGCTGGAGGATTTTAGCGCCTATTGCAGGCACGACACGGTCACGCATCTCATCACCGAAAAGCAAGTGCTGGTACTGGTCCCCATCACCAATTGACTCGAATGCCCCTTCATACGCCGCATTGCGCTCACCTCGCGTGCGTGGTCTCTGTTGGTCTTCAGATCCACCCGGCCGTGGATGAATGGCAGCACCACCTCCATCGATTTCTGTTGTCTCACCTGCAGCGGGAGCACCGCGCACCAATCCAAGTCAAGGTACACCACTGTAGAATCAGGCCGGCCAGTGGTGGGTGTGAAGCGGCTTCGAGCTTGGTGCACACCCAACGGGTTGTTCACCATCGTGGTGTGTGGGCGTGCGTGCGTTGTGTGTGTTGTGTTGTGTGCGTTCGTGTGGACAGGCGCTGAGTGTTCTGGAGCACATCTTCACCGATTTCCACGTCCTCTACGGCGACGAGATCATATCAGTCATCCTGCCCGTCTTCGATGCCATCTACGCCAGCGGCACTGTCGCCCTCACCCGCTCCGTCTATCGGAGGTGCGCGCGCTCTCTCTCTCTCTCTCTCTCTCCATCTTCGTCCCCACAGCTGCTCACCACCCTTTTCCCCTTGTCCGAACACCAACACCTTGTTGTGAACAGGGGGCTGGATTTCCTCGTCCACGCCGCGTCAGTCACCAAGAGCAACAAGTTCTTTGCGGTTGCTGATGTAATGGAGAAGGCCTCACGGTACTCATACCTCTTGCCCTGGGCTAACCGCTCAGTCACTGAAAGTTCTTCTCTTTCTCTTTCACTGGTTCAAGGTGCAAGAAGGACGGACTGCGCTACGATGCGATCGCCGGCTTGATCCGGCTCTTTGTGAAGAAGTTTACGCAGAAGCGACACGCGCACACGCTCCACCTGCTCGACGTGATGCTCAAGCTGGCCAAGGAGCGGCACCCGACCCTGCGGGCCAAGGTGATCGTGTTCCTGCTCTCGTTCCGGGCCAGCTCTCGCTACCTGATGCAACTGAGCCTGCACCGCTACGTCAAGCCCGAACAACAACAGCAGCCCGACGACAACACCACCAACACCAAGGACGCCGCAGCTGCGATCGCAGGCGGCGGCGGCGAGAGTCTGTCGAGTGGGAAGAGTGGCACCACCGGTGAACCCAAGCGCAAGAAGGGCTTCACGTCGCCGCTCACGTCGCCCCGCGGCAAGAAGGAGGCCGCCGTCAAGGACAACGAGGAGAACTCCGTCGCCGGCACCAGCGCCAAGGACCCCGCCGCCGCCAAGTACGCGCCCTCTCCACCGACGCACTATCTATCAATTTTTTTTTAGTGTGCCTCGATACTAGAGACGTGCGGCCACTGACTGTGTAAGCAATCGCTCTTCCCTGAACGATAGGCCTGCAGAGTTTGTGCAGGAGCTGATGACCACCCCGTACATCGTCTGCTGGCGTCCGCGCAGCAGCCGGCCCTCTTCGCCGCCACCGCACGACCCGAGGAAGAAGGAAAGCGTGGGCCTGCTCGCCGTGGGTCCGCTCCTCGACACGCTCATCTCGGCTCTTCAAATCGAGCCTGTCTATGAGGTGCGTACCAGCCCCTGCCACTGGCCCCTAGAGAGCGCTCGCTGACATAGTTCTTTGTCGCCTGACTCGATACACACGACACACGACGCACGACACACGACACAGATCTTCGTCGTGGTGGCGCGCGGGCTCATGGAAATGCTGAAGAACTACTATATCCTGCGCGCTGCGGACGTGTGCAGCCTCGCCTCGGTGCTGTGCAAGCTTTTGCGCAGCGGCACCTTCGGCGCCTGCGTCGATCCCACCGTGCGCAAGGACAGCGCCGTGCGCGGACGACTCCTCGAGATGGGCTACGAGCTGCTGATCATGCTGGTCGGCTACCAATCGCAGCTGAAACGTATGCCTTACATTCCTTCCCTATGCTATGATGTGTTGTCTATTTAGCTCACATATATGTTGTTTTATCTCCCCCACACCTTATTTTTATATATAAAAATACAGCCAAATACCGGGAATATTTGATCTCGTGCCTGTGCGAGGGCCTGACCTCCAACCTGTCCTCGATTCCGCCGCACTCGGCCCTGGCCGTACAGCGGATCTGCATCAACGGCCTTTCCATCGGTCTCAGCGAAGTGCCCGAGTCCATGACCCAACGCATCTCGGCCATCGTGGGCGACATGCACAAAGTGTGCGAACGCAACCTGGGGCCAAAGCGACACCTCCAGGTATGGCCACCTTTCCTTTTCGAATGCGCTCCCCTGCGCTTGATCCCGAATACGCTTATTATTCTTATCTTATTATTGCTCATTACTTATTATAATATTATTGCTTATTATTCTTTCTTATTATTGTTCTTTTCTGTGCAGATGCCTGAGAAGTCTGAGCTGGCCCGCCATGTGCTCGAGTTCTTCTCCTTCCTCTTGGATGCGCCGTCCATTCTGTCAGCCCTCAAGGACGACGACCGCCAGCGGCTCTTCCTCACGCTCATGCTCCTTACCGACCAGACCGAGGTACACACCACACACACAACACACACACACACACACGTGCTATGCACACCTGCTACTGCTAACCCTCTTTCTTCTTCTTCTTCTTCTTCTTCTTCTTCTTCTTCTTCTTCTTCTTCTTCTTCTTCTTCTTCTGTTTCTTTTCTCTCATGGTTGTAGTTTGCGCCGCACGTGTCGAATCACGCCTATATCGTGTGGGCCGACTTCTTCATGGCGTCGCCGGTCCATTTGCGCCTGGGGTACTACCGCATGGGAGCCAACTACCTCGTACAGAGGCTTGTCATGGACAACACGCAGGCCAGCGGCGCCGCCAAGGTGAGCGCCGGGGACTCCAACTACCTGCTCATGGCCACTCTCGATCTGGTACCATACCACCCACCACCGCTCCTCCCTACCTGCTCGTGGTGTGTTTGAACGTTTGCGTTCAGTCGCAACAGACATGGCTCATAGCTTTTTTCCTAATTAATTATTATTAATATAAATAATTAATCTGGTGTTTGCACCCCGCGTAGTTCGCCCAGTCGGTCTTTGGCAACTGCGACAACACCCCGCTGCCTCCGCCCGAAGACTCGTTTCTCTTCGAGAACGCGCAGGTCAGGAACTGGGCGCAGGGTACGCGGCTTTCCCTCCATTTCCCTCCATCGCTCGCTCGCTCGCTCGCTCGCGCGAATGGTCTGCTCACATACACGACACGCGCTGGCCAGGCAACTGCATCATAAAGATGCGCGTGGGCAAGATGGGCTGGGTGGAGGTCGTGGTGAGACGACCGGCCGGCAGCCAGCGCTGGATCATGCAGATCCAGAACGTGATCCATCAGGTGGCCGCTCCGGTGAACACCTTGAAAGTCGACGAGTACGTTCCACTCCCAACTCCAGGGCGAGCAAATGTTCATTCTACTTTTCTACAGATATGCGTACATATGCGCATATAGCATACATTCATACAAAATATGTATTAACATTTCTTCTATCTCGGCAGGCAACTGAAAAAGTGTATCGAGGAGGCACCCTGGATGTTTACGCACTTGCAGGCCGGCGACTCACTGCTGCACGACCGACAAACGAAGCTGATCCCAGAGAGAACGGTGAGCGATATCGGCGCCAGGGGTCGACCTCTCCTGCACCGCGAGGCCAGGTGACGCTCCCCTTTCTTATCCTCCTTTTTGGTTTTCTTCACTTCCCCCCCTTCACACACGTTTTTTGAAATTATTTTTCACAGCCGTGCGGTGCTCACCGAGTCGCGAGAGCTACAAATGCGGCCGCGGGAGGAGGCCCCGCCGGTGGTGATGCTGGCCAAGCGCTCCCGCTCTGCGCCGTTGCTTCGGCGCGGATCATCAGCGCGGCTGGACGAGGCCGACGACACGACCACCGCAGGCGACAGCTCCAGCATTGGCAATCTGCCCCCGACCACGACCGGTGCCTCGGCGGCCACCACGGGGCAGACGGACCCCATGCTCGGCCTCATGTTGGACATCGGCCACGCGATGGGGTCGGCCGAGCTCGACAGTCCGAATTCGGCCAGGGCCGACGCCGAGGCGGAGCCGGCCAAGCCCGCGAGTCGCGAGTCGTCCTTCGCGGCGGAGGAGAGGCCCAAGCGAGACAGGAGCGTGTCGGAGAAGATCACCGCCTCGGGCGCCGTAAAGGTGCGGGACACCCGACAACACCAGCACCACGGCCAGCACCACCTGGCGCCCGGGTCCAGGAGGGAGCACAGGCCAGGGCCGATGCCGCCGCCGGCTTCACCGCCCGCCAACACAGCATCCCCTGCACTGCGTACGCCGCCGCCGCCGCCGTCGCCGGTACTCAGCCAACCAAGCACCGCCGAAAACGAAGAAAAAGGAGAAGAAGAGGTGCCGCCGGCCTCGCCCCCTCGGGCCAGCGCGGACGCCCCGACCGGCGAGGCCCATGGTGTGGCGTCGGGCTCCTCCTCCTCCGGGGAGATCGTCACCAGCCCGCCGCGCAAGTGGACCGACCCCTCGACCGACGAAGTCCACGCCGCTCCGGCCGCGCCCGCGACGACGCCCATCACAGCCACGACGGCCGCGGCTGCGGCGGTAGAAGGCCAGGGCGCCGGCGCCGAGGTCCCGACCACGCCCTTGTTGGCGGTCGACCCGGCGAGGAGGGGCGAGCCCAGGGGCAAGGAGAAGATCGAGCACTGGCGCAAGAAGTTCATCTCCAAGGTGGGACCGCACCACGGGGTCCGGGTCGTGCTGCCGCCGCATGCCGACGAGGGCGTCGAGCCGGACGGGGCCGACATCCCCCGCCGACGCTCATTTTCCGAAATCGCGCACGAGGACGCCAACGCCAACCTTCACAAGGCACCAACTCCCCTCTCTGCGTCGTGCGTGCGTCGTGCGTGTGTCGTGCGTGTCGTGTGTCATGCGAGCTGATAATCGATGATTTTCTTTGCCCGCAGGCTAAGAGGATGCACAGGCGACACGCGTCGACGGTGGAGTTTTCGCTCTCGGTGTTCTATCCGCCGCTGCCCTCCTACGAGGGCTCCGAGGAGGAGAAGTCGCCGCCTCTCTTCGTCCCACCCCGACACGGCGGCGACGCCCTGCTGTGGAAGCGCGGGCGTTGCGTGTCGTACGAGCACGTCGGTACGCACCAGTTGCCCAACGCTGCGTGTGCGTGTGCGTGCGTGTGCGTTGGCTGGGGCGTTGCTTGTTTGCTCACCGCCGCTATCCTACTGTGCGGATTGATAGATCTGACGAACCAGAAGCTGAGCATCGAGGGCCAGATGCTGCTTCACGCTGTGAGCTCGTCGCCCAAGTCCCTCGAGGAGCCGGCGCTGCTCATGCGCGCCTCGCCGCCCACCGCCAACGATCCCGACCACTCCGCGGAAGCTTCCGCGACCGACCACCCGCCCGTCATCGGGGACATCGAGAAGGAGGACCTCGGCGGCGCTCAGGCACCTGCTGCGCCCAAGGCCGCGCCAGACGCAGGCCTGCTCGCTTTGCCCGCACCGACAGCGGCGGCCGGCATGCTCCATCACCAGCCCTTGGCTGTACCGCCGCCACCGCCGCCGTCGTTGACTCGCGTCGTGTCGCTCGAGCTCGACGCCTACACCCCGCCCGCGGCGGGCCAGCAGCCCGAAGACGACCTCACCGGCCTCTCGCTGGTGCAGGAGGTGCGGACCCTGCTCCCTCCCGAGTTCGACATCTCGCCCTCGTCATCGCTGGACAGCTCCAGTGCGCCGACCACCCCGCAGCGCAGCTCTGTAGTCGCGGCTGCCTCACCAATGACGGAGCCGGTCAGTCCGCCGTCACTGCCGCCGGCCGCCGCATCGTCGTCGATGACCATCGTCACTGACCATCATCACGGCTCCGAGCCCACCGGGGGCTCCACGGCGTCCACCCCAAACGCCAGTCGTGCGACTACCGACGCCCAGCAGCAGCCAACGTCGACCAGCGAGCGTCAGCCTTCATCGTCGACAGAGGTCGAGGCGGTTGAGCTTCTGCAGGATAGTGGAGAGACGGCCGTCACCGCCCACAAGTCCCCGCCCGCGGCGGAGGCGGCGGAGCCCAAGGCGGAAGTGGTGGGTGCAGCCTCGAGTGTTGCTGGAACCAGCGACCACCATAAGGGCGGCCTTGCGGTCGACGATCAGCACCACCACCACAAGCAGCTGAAGGAGCCCAAGAACAAGGGCGGCAGCATCAGGAAGGAGAAGGACGAGCTGATGCTGCTCGGGAATGGCCTGATCTCGCCCAGCTCGAGCGGCATGATGCTGCGTGCGCGCGAGCCCGACGAAAAGGAGGCGGACGAGGCCGACGCGCGCGCGCCGGAGCTGGAGAGGGGCAGCCCGAGCCCGAGCTTCTTCATGCCACCCCGGCCGCCCGCCGAACGCCACACGGGCGCAGGCGGCGACTTCACGCCGCCCAGGCCCACGTCGACGGGCGACGAGCCTCCGTCCGGGGCTCGCAAGGAGCGACGCACCTCGCTGCTCCACAACTTGTTTTCGGTACGTGCGAGTGCGAGCTGTCTCGTTCTGCACAAAGCGCGCCTTGTTTGACTGACGAGCGCGCACACAACACACGACACACAGTTGCCGTCTACGCGCAGGTCCAACCCCAGCTCGCCGGCGCCGGCGGTCAGTGCAATGCAGGGCTACGCCAAGCCGTTCAAGATTCCCTCGACGCTCTTCGACATCCACCCGAGCTTCGTGTTCTCGCAGATGAAGAACATCCCCTTCATCGAAGACTCGCCGCCTAAAGGTACCTGCTGACGTCATCCAGCAGTACTGGACTCGTGTTTGCGTGAGGCGCTGATCCACCCCGCCCCCTTTCTCCCATCCAGAGCTAAAGTCGGGCGACGAGGCGCTGACACGCGCGCTCTCCATTCTCGATCGCACGCCCACGACGGTGTGCGCCAAGGTGGGGATAATCTACGTGGGCGAACACCAGGAGACCGAAGAGCAGATCCTGGGCAACACCGCAGGCTCGCCCCGATACTTTAGCGTACACTCTTCTTCTTCTTCCACAACTGCTTCCCGTTTGTTGTTGTTGTTGTTGTTGTTGTTGTTGTTGTTGTTGTTGTTGTTGTTGTTGTTGTTTAGAAGAGTCGACTAACACAGCGCCCACATGTCGTGCAGCTGCTTAATCGTCTGGGCGACAAGATTCGGCTCAAGGATACGGCCATGTACGCAGGTGGGCTCGACACCAGGGAAGACAGCGACGGCCACTACACCATCCACTGGCGCAGCGTGTCCACGCAGGTACGGAGCTCTACTCTCAAAGAGTGTAGCTCGCAGCAGCAAGCGAAGAAAAGGCGATACCGTACGCGTCGTTTCACAAAAGCTAACACGCTCGGTTGTGTGTGTGTGTGTGTGTGTGGTGTGTACACATAAGGTGGTGTACCATGTGGTGACGATGATTCCCAACCAACTGCACCTGTACCGCAACTATCAAAACAAGAAGCGGCACATCGGCAACGACAACGTCAACATTGTCTACTCCGACTCGCCCAAGGAGTTCAAGCAAGACACCATCCAGGTTCGTTACTGGCCCGTCGCACACTCCTCCACTTCACTGTTGTGTGTGTGTGTGTGTGGTTACCGTCATCAGGTCTGGACTGTCTCGCTCACACCACACATACACCACACCCTACACCTGCAGGGCCAATTCAATTTTGTTCATATCGTGGTGCATCCGCTCAAGGAGGGGTTCTACCGCGTGGAGGTCAAGAAGAAGCCGCAGGTCCCCTCCTTCGGCCCCATCACCAGTGTACAGATCGTCTCCGAACGAGCCATGCCTACCCTCGTCCGCCAGGTACCCTGCTACTCTTCACCACCGCCACCACACTCGGCCGCTGTCGTGTGTCGTGTGCGTTCAGGCACTCATCTCCGCCATTTGGTCAGGTGGCGCTGTCGGCCAATCTGGCGGCGTGTCTGGTGCAGGACCCGCACCTCCAGCGCTACTCCAACCTGGAGGAACGCCTCCGTCAGCTGCGCAAGGTCGCCGAGCGCTTCGCCAAGCCAGAGTAGGCGTCCGCGTTTTGACCTTGGTGAAGAGGAATGTAGAGTATTTGGTGTTTTTCCTCAGCGAATTTATCGCCCATTTCCTGGCGGCTTTTCCTGGTACAGCTACAAAAAATAAAAATAAGAGTTTTATTGTGGGGAAAGATGAGGAAGGATGAGGACGAGGTGCCGCCCTCGTATGCGATGTCATTCGGGTCCAACTCGTCATCAACGACCACACTGCCCTCCATGGTGACGCAGACCGACTCAATTTCGATAATCGACATCTGCAATCAGCGAAATCTCGGCCGCTTGAAGCAATTTGTGGCGCACAGAGGCCGTGACGCGGTGCGATTTAGGGATGAGCATGATGGGACGACAGCCCTTCATCACGCCGCGTGGAACGGCGATCGCGAGGCCGTCATCTTCCTCCTGCAGCAGGGAGCAGACGTCGACGCTCGCAATAACGAAGGGTCGACGTCCCTGCACTGGGCCGCCTGGAACGGCCATCTCGAGGTGGCACGTCTCCTCCTTGCGTGCGGAGCCGACCCATGTGCCGCCACCACGACCGGCGACACCTGGTACTGTACCACCCTGGCCAAGCCTTCATCTGCCATAGTACACATTTTGACGTTGGGCGGCTACTCTCTCCTCTTCTCCTTCAGCTTGCACTGGGCAGCGCAAAGCCAATCGGCCGAGGTGTGCAGGCTCCTGCTGGTCGCCGGCGCGTCTCCCAATGCAAGGAACCGGCACAACTGGACACCGCTGCAGGTACACTCGAGTGTCGGTGTCGTCCCTGCTATGCCTTCACACACACACACACACACACTCGCACACACAAACGCAGAAAGTGAGATCGCTGGACCTACACACGCTTGTGAATACACGTATGTACGGTCCTGCTGTAGGCCTTCTATTCGGCCGGACGCTGCTAACCCCCCTTCGTTCGTTCGTTCGTTCGTTCGCTGGCTCGCTCCACGCAGCCGTCACGCCCAAGCAGCGACAGGAGTTTGCCAAGGAGATGGAGGAGCTCAGGAACCAGTGCATCCACCCGCTCACCCCAGCCGAACGTGCGCACCACTCTCATTATTGTTTTTATTATTATTATTTAGATGAACTGGTTGTTTTACATTATTGATTGTTTTATATCTATTTATCTATTTATCTATTTATCTATTTATCTATTTATCTATTTATCTATTTAGGTCTATCGCGAGAGTACTTCGAAAAGGGGTTCCTCGACTTCACGGACCGTGTGGAGGACGGGTTCTACGACGCTGGGCGAAGCGGTGAGTTCAAACCGTACGAGGAGCTCATCTCCCTGGATCGAGCCCGAGAGGTGCGTCCACCTCACAATAAATAATGTCTGAGCGCAGCGTGCCTGACCCGGTGCTTATATACGCAAGGTCATCCTGGTTGACGCAACGCGAGATCTGCGACTAGCAGAGATCAGGACCAAAGCCGAAGCGCTGCTGGAAGAGTTCCCGCACCTGGAGACGAAGATAAGGTCTTATCTTTGTGTGTGCGTGTGCGCGTGTGTGCGCGTGCGCGTGCGGCGATTCGTGTGCGCTCGTACAACTTGTTTTCAGTGAGCCCCCGGCATCCGGCTCATTCCTGTGTCGCCTTTGGTGGCCGCACAGGATGCTGGCAATGTTTGTGAGCAACCTCATGGGCGGCACACAGATCGACGAGATCGCAGCACCCAACGAGATCGTCAAGCTGACGGACCAGGTCATCAGCTACGTCAAGGAGGTCCTCCAATCCAACGTGGTGCGTGCCATCATAACCAACCCGTGCCGCAACGTCGCTGTTGCCCTCCGCTTCGTCCGCCAAGGTGGAGGTCTTTTTTCACACAACGCAAATTGGGCAGGTGCCGCTCGGGTGCATCACCCACGGCGTGTGCCGACACCGGGCCATCATGTACAAGTATCTGTGCGACTTCTGCGGCATACCTTGCCGACTTGTGCGCGGCGCGTATGACGACGTACACCACGCCTGGAATGGTATGGAGTGGCCAGCGTGGATATAAGACCTGCGCCTCCACCACTCATTTCTCTCTTGTTTTGTTTTGTTTTGTTTTGTTTTGTTTTGTTTTGTTTTTTGTTTGCTACAGTGGTGCTGCTGGGCAGCAAGTGCTATCTGGTGGACATCATGCACGACCCGATGGCCATCTATGCGGAGGAATCGCCAGAGGTGCGCGCATCCGCTCGTCGGCCAGCCACATATCATGCGACGACGTCGTCACGCTCACCGCGCACTTGGCTTTGCAACAGGCCCAAAACTATGCGCGCATGGGCCGCGTCAGTGGGCAGCTTGCCCCAATAGGCGGCATCGGCGGCTCATCTGTCCGCATCGCTCCACAACTAACCACGGTACACTTCTTCTTCTTCTTGCCTCCCACTTTTCTTTTATTCTATTACTCACACGTTTTGTGGGTTGTCGGTTGTCGCCGAGGACGGCACAGCCCAATTACCGATACATTCCGCTGCGCGACTTTCGACGCGCCGAACTGGAGCTCTACGAGAAACTGGGCTCGGGCAGCTTCGGTTCGGTCTACCGATGCTCGCTCAACGGCTTCACCTGCGCCGTGAAGATCATGACACTGGGTAGTTGATCTTTTTGCCTTTCTCGCTTTCTTTTTCTACGACCGCCACCTTTTCGCTGATGAATCGATTGATTGTGCTCACACAACACGCAACTCTCGACCCAACACAGGCGACACAACCACGGACGCGGACAACAACTACTACATCAAGCAGGAGATATCAATTTTGGAGTCGCTTCGACACGACAACGTGGTCACCTATCTGGGCCACGACGTGAAGGAAGACTCGGGACGGCGGGTGCGACTACACGACACGACACGCACGCACGCACGCACGCACGCAGACGGTGTGAATGACTTGGGCTCACGCGCGTATTGTTTGTGCGTGTGCGTGTGCGTGTGCGTGTGCGTGTGCGTGTGCGTGTGCGTGTGCGTGTGCGTGTGCGTGTGCGTGTGTCGAGCGCAGGTGATTCACTTGTTCATGGAGTACTTCCCGCTGTCTTTGTCCAGCGTCATCAAACACCAGCGCGAACAGACGAAGAAGCCCTTGTCTCCGGCCGCGGTCCGCACCTACGCCCTGGAAGTGGCCAAAGGTATGCAAAGAATCCCTTTCTCGTGTGTGGGACACGATCGGTGTGGTGCCAAACTCATCTGTCCTCCCTTTTCCCTTCAAGGCATGCACTACATGCACAGCCTGGCGCCACCAATTTTGCATCGGTACCAGAAGAAGATTGGCGTTGACCCATGTGTCTCGAATTGCTGACAGTGTCAACTTCTGTTGCCACCTTCCCAGCGACATCAAGAGCAGCAACGTGTTGGTTGCTTTGGATGAGCACGGGAACCCCAAGAAGGTCAAGCTTTGCGACTTGTACGATCGCCCCCCCCCCCGAATGGTGGCATACCCCGGAATGGATGCTCACTACAAACCCACTCGGGGGTGTCAAAAACAGTGGAGTGAGCAAACTGCTGGAAGGGACCGATGTTGCTCGCACGATGGTGGGCACTCCAGGGTGGATCGCGCCTGAAGTGCTGAAGAACAGCCAGAGCGGATACACGGACAAGGCAGACGGTACGGCCCCGCATCTTGCCACGTGGGCTTGTTTTTGTTTGTGGTTATGATGTGATCTACAATGTTGATGTTTTATGTTTTCTAGTGTGGTCCTATGGCATGTTTCTCAACGAGCTGCTGACGCTGGAGCGACCGAAGCTGACGCCCGGCCATAGCCTTCAGCCGCCGACCAATGTGGAGAGAGCTCTGTTGGTACACTTCCCCCAGAACCCACGCTCACGCCTCTCGACCTGTCGCGTAGCTAACGTGGAAGTGGTTGTGTTGGCCATCCACTCCATATAGCCGGTCGTCGATCTCATGATGGCATGCGTGCGGCTCATGCCCAGCCAGCGACCAAGCTCGCCCGACATCATCTTCCGCCTCAGCACCCTAATCCTCTAACACTCTATTTTTAAAATTTTAAAATAGAATTAAAAAAACAAAAACAAACAATTAAAAAACAGAATTCAACCAGATCGAGTTGAGATATGGCTGTGGTAGTGGACGGCGGGGGTGCCAACTTGAGATTTGGATTTGCTAGTGAGGACCAGCCGAGCGGGTGCGACATGTTCACAGTTCGGACCATCTGCATCTTCATCTGCATTTCTGAATGAGCTATTGGGCTGTACAGGGTGGTGCCCAACCAGGTCGTGCGACCAAAGCGAGACCGGCGCACCTACGTCGCCGATGAGATTGACCAGTGTCGCGACATCTCGGGCCTCTACCTGCGGCGTCCCTTCGAGAAGGTGCCGCCCCTCCACACACCACCCCCACCACCCACGCCCCTGCTCCTGGCCTGCTCAGGCACTCACCGCTCGCGGCGAGTGCAGGGCTACCTGGTGGACTTTGAGCTGCAGAAGGAGATATGGGACCGCGCCTTTGGCAAGCACTACCTCAAGGTACCCACCGTCATCACACCATTGGCTTCATGATGATGATGATGGCTTCATGATGGAACGAACAACACAACACGACCACACGGTGGGGTGCGCAGATTCAGCCGAAGGACCACGACCTGGTGCTCACACAGCCGCTGTTCACCCCTCTGGCCCTGCAAGAGGCCACGTACGTTTGGGCAAGGGGTGTGGGCGCAAGTGCGTGTGTGATGATCGACGATTGATTATCTGCGGTGTGTGCGGTGTGTGTGGTCGGTACAAGGCTCGAGCTGGTGTTCGAGGAGTACGGATTCAAGTCGCTGTTCTGCTGCTCTCGTATGACACACACACACACACACACGACACACACGACACACACGACACACACACACCGTGTGGGGTCGATCCCCTTACTCGTGTGTGTCGCGTGTGTCGATGCTATTGCACCCCTCCCCGCCCAGCTGCCACGGCGGTCATGCACTACTACCAAAAGCAACCCGAATCGATGCACATGTTGGGTACCGCGTGTGCGGTGTGTGCGGTGTATGCGGTGTGTGCGGTGTGTGCGGTGTGTGCGGTGTGCGGTGTGTGCGGCTGTGCGGGTTCACAGTTGCGAAGTACTAACAAAGGCTCGGTGTGCGTCGTGTAGGCAAGTGTCCGCCTTTGCCCGCCGATGCCCCATCGGCCGCCGTGGTAGTCGACAGTGGCTACTCGTTCACGCACGTGGTGCCCTTCTTCGAGGGCGAGCGACTGCACAACGCCGTCAAGAGGTCCTCATCCCGCCCCCATCCCGCCCCACCGCTAAAGTGGGGCTGGCTGACCTTTACGTGGCGGTGGCGGCGGCGGCGGTGCACCACAGGATCAACGTGGGCGGCAAGGTGCTCACCAACCACCTCAAGGAGATCATCTCCTTCCGGTACAACTGCCGCTTCCCGCCCAGTGTGCCCCTCGAGTCTGTCTCACCACGCTCGCTATTGCGCGCAGTACATGGAACATGATGGAGGAGACCTTTTTGGTCAACATCGTGAAGGAGAAGATGTGCTACGTGTCGCTCGACTTCATCGAAGACATGCATGAGACCAAGTGCGGCTTACGCCACACGACACACACACACGACACACACCACACACGACACACCACCTCACTGTGGGCGTGTGTGGTTGGTGGTGGAGAGCAGGCGACCCAACAACCGAATCGTGCAGAAGTATCTGCTGCCCGACTACACCACCACCGACCGCGGCCACGTATTGAGCGAGGACGAGGCGAACCAGCGACAGGCCGCGCGCAAGACGGAGAGCGCTGCCGCGACGGCCGAGAAGGACCAGATGGTGTTGGACGAGCAGGTGCTGGTGATGAACAACGAGCGGATAGCCGTCCCCGAGATCCTGTTCCACCCCTCCGACATCGGGGTGCCCCAGGCTGGCGTGGCGGAGACGATCGCCCAGTCGATCGCGTGCGCACCGCGCGAGCTGCAGTCGTGGCTCTACGCCAACATCATGCTCACCGGGGGCAACACCCTCTTCCCCAACTACCCCCAGCGACTGTACGCCAACCCTCCATCCCTCCACCCCCTCTCCCCGCACGCCCTTCGTCCGCCGTGTTTGGTTCACTCATCTTCCTTGTGTTCTGCGCAGATACACGGAACTGCGCAAGCTGGCGCCCACCGACTACCCGGTCCGCGTGTTCTACCCCAAAGAGTACGCGCTACACCGTTCACGTGTTTTGGTGTAGAGCTTGTGGTGGTGCGTTCGAATTGACTTAGCCTTGCGTCGTGGCGCGTGTGTGTGTTGTGTCGTGTGCGCAGCCCTATCAGTGCGGCATGGCGTGGCGCTGCGTTGATGGCCCAGGATCCGCTGGTCGGCGAGCAGCACAGGATTACAAAAGAACAGTACAAGGAGATGGGCTCCCCAGCGAGCGCACGCCACTTCCAACGCTGGTGACCCCAAAACAGCAACAACAGCGACAAGAAGAACAACAACAACTGCGACATGTTGCTGGCATGAACTTTGTTGTTTGTTTGGGGGCAAGGTGGGACGAGGGATATAACTTATTGTCGGTGGCCGCACACACGCATGGTGGTGGTGCGGCGCGTAATATGTACAGTACACGCGGGCGATGAGGCCGCTCGTTCTTCACGAGGGCAAACGCTTCGCGATCACGGGAGGAAGCGAGAGGACGAAAGGAGGAAGCGCGCGGGACGAGCCTCCAGGCCGAGCCTGACTCGAAGTCGAAGTAGGAGCGCTCGCTGGACCCGGGCGTGGGTGGCCAGTCGAGGCTGGAGGTCGAGTCGAGTCGCGCTGCCTTGGCTCGTGGCGGGTGCCGAGAAGGGGCGAAGGCCGGCCAAGAGGTCGAGGGAAGAAGCCGCAGGATTGCTTTGTACAGAGGGAACACCCAACCGCCGTTCCGCGTGGACGGAGCGGCGAGTGGGCGGCTTAGGCCTGGACGGTGACCTCGTCGGGCTGGGGCATGGGCACCTGGTGCTGCGCGGTGACCTTGTTCCAGTACTGGCCGTAGGAGTGGAGCGCCATGAGGAGGTAGAGCACGAGCGCCATGCCTTCCTTGTTGGGCTTGCCGCCGGACATCGCCTTGAGGATTACGTCGCTGAGCTGGATGCCACCGCTGGGCACGGCCGTCGGAGGCGCGGCGACAGGGGCGGGCGCCGGCGCAGGAGAGGGAGCGGCGACAGGGGCGGCTGAGGCCGCGGGCGTAGGCGTAGGAACGGGAGCCGGCGCGGCCTTCTTGGTGTTGTTGTACAGGGCGAAGGCCTGGCCGAGGTTGCTCTTCTCGATGAGAGTCTTGAAATCGTCCAGCTCCTTCTTGAGCACGCGATTCTCGATCTGCAGCTCGGTAATCTGCTCCCTGAGGCGCGAGTTGCTCGTGTCAAGACCTTCGATTTGGATCTCAAGCTCCTGCTGGTGGTTCTTCCTATTCTGCCGCGACAGCGAAGCCGATTCGCGATTCTTAATTTTCCTGTAAACATCACATTTGATGGGTTTCCACGTCAGCAGATGCGAATGTAGATCGCAGTGCGTATCGACTGGGGCAGAGGCTTATGGCCTGATTGGAGCGGGTGCGCACCTGATCCACTCCTTGAGCTCGGTCTGCTGGGCTTCGGTGAGTGGCTGCGTCTCGGCGTACTGCTCGAGCTGCGCGCTGTTCATCCCCCGCAGAGACCCGATGAAATCGGAGGGCTGGGGCTCGAGCTTCTGCTTCTTGGCAGCGCGGGCGGCCTTCTTCTCCTTCGAAGAGGATGATGACGAGTTCTTGCGCTTCGGCTCCTTGGGCTCATCCTTGACCTTGACGAGAGGCACGGCCGTGGAAGCGGTGGTCTGGACGCTGCCGCTCTCGATCTCCTCTTCGCGCTCCATGACGGGCTCTGCCAGGTCGCCGAGGATGGGGAAGATGTCCGTGAGGCCTGCGAAGGGGTCGTCGAGGCCAGGCGACGAAAGGGACAGGCCATCGGACGGTGGCGTGGGAGGCGGCGGAGGCAGGGAGAGAGCTGCTTGTGTGGTTGCGGAGGTGTAGGAGGGCTGCGGAGGCAGTGAGGGTCTTGCGGCTTCCTCCTCGGTCGGATTGCCCTCGTTGAAGGCGAATTGATCGGGCACCAAGTTAGGGTCTTGGGTACGCGCCTGATCTTCGGTCTTCATGGCGACGGGCATCTGCTGCGGTGCAGCCGATCCATCGAGCAGGAAGTTCATGAACTCCTCGTCCATAGAAAGGCTGTCGAAGCTGTGGCTCAGCGAGATGGTTGCCATATCTACGGTGCTACTCGAGTCTTGCATCGCGTGAGGTTCTTGCAGCAGATGTGCGTGTGAGGTGTGGCAGATTGATTATGGCTGGGCGTGGCTGTGGGGTGCTGTTCGCGGAACACTCGATCTGGTCTGTGGTGAGTCGGGTGCGGCCGAACAGCGTGCGTGAGATAAAGCAAGACCTTCACGCGGCGTAAGCGGCCCTTTCTTTGTGGTTGCGTGACCTGCGGTGAAGGGTTTGGCGGGAACTGTCGCTTTTTGGCATCCCCTGGTACTCCGGCCACGTCTGATTTCATCGAAAAAACGAAAATTCTCGGTCGACCTCTCCTTACTGCGAATTTCGACGTTTGTGCTGACTTTTTTCCAGGTGCTTTCTGTTCTGTCCAATCACGACGCGTGGTGAGACGCTTCCTGGCTGACGTGTGACATCCGCCGAAAACTGGAAGGAGTAACCGCGTTGCGGGCTTTAGCCAAATTCAAGGTACGCCGCTTTGCCGCCGACAAGTCGGCAAACACGGTACACGTTTCAAAAAAATGAAAACGAAAATGAAAGTTTAGAAATGGCAAATCCGCGGAATGCCATAAATTCTTTCTCCCCTTCTGCACGGAAGGAAAAGCCGCTTCCCTTTCGGGGCTTGGGAAAACTCTCCGTCGCTTCCCCGCCCATCGCACTGCGCCGAGCCCAGCAACAAAACACGCACAACCAGCAAACGAACGACAGCCGCTTCCACAAACGATCCAGCTCTCTCTTCTCGCCCGCGCAAACTTTGATTCTTAGCACGTTAGCTACAGCATCAAAAAAGATAGACAATGAGCCGCTGGCAGCTAGACAATGTGGAGGAGGAACTGGACGATGAGGAAATCGCTCGCATTCTGCAGGAGGAAGAATACGAAATCGCAAGGCAACAACAAAGGGAAGCACAGCAGAGACAACAGCAGGCGAAACAGCCAGCCGCTACACAGAGACCAACTCAAGCTGCACCCCTACGCTACGGTTCAGGCCCCGTGCCTCCCACCTCCACCGACGAGCTCCTGCTTCTTCGTACGTTCTTCGCACACTCCCCCCTCCCCTTGGTAGCGATTCCTTGTCTGATGGGGCCTACGTTCAGAGTCGCGCTGTAGTGCGGTGAGCGGCACCACGGTGTTGAAGGGGTCGTGCTATTTGTACCGCAACATGTTCAAGTTTGTTTGCGTTGAGCGTGGCAAGGAAGTCGACGTACGTCGCTCTCTCTTCAGCTTTCTCCCCTTGGTGGCCGTTGAATGACGGGGATGGTGGGTTGGCTCTGTGGTGCGTAGGTCCCTATTCATGTCTCGACCATCGAGCTCATCAACCCGGCGTTCTCGGTTCCGAGCAAGGACAGCCAAGCTGCACCGCGTGTCGTTCCCACGCCCAGAGGCGCCCAACAAAATGTTCTGCAGATCTACACTCAGGTACCTTCTCTCTCCTATCTCGTTGTCACGCCGAAGCGGCATGGTGTGGGGATTGACTGTTGTCGTGGTTCGCAGGACAAGAGGATACACACGTTCTTCAACTTTGCGGACGACAAGACCTTCCACCAGTTCTTCAACATCCTCACCTCAATTCACAAGAACAAGACCGCACCGGTTCCTCTTCCTACCATGATTCCGGTTCCGGTCGCTGCCGCCACCTCTCCTTCCCCTCCTGCCACCGCTGCCGTTTCCTCGCAGCTGGCGCCGAGCTCGACCTTCGCCGCCGCTCCGGTGGGCACGCCCTCCGTGATGGCCCCACCCGGCTACACGATGTACCCCGGAATGTACCCGCAGGCCTACCCTGGCGCCTTCCCGCCGCAGCCGTACTTCATGATGCCGCCGCCTCACGGTTACCCCGTCCAGCTCGCGTCGCCGCCGCCGGCGCAGCCGCCCCAGACTGCTGATGCTTCGGTGTCCGACTTCCACCAGCTTCATCAGCAGATGATGAGACTGCAGATCCAGCAGCAGCAGCCGACGCAGCAGGAGGCCTCAGGCCAGTCGCCGCAGCCGCAGCTGCAGCCCTTCATGGGTGCGCCTTACTACTACCCGTACCCTCCGGCAGCGGCCGCGCACCCCACGCTCACCAGCGCGTCCGACGCGCCATCGACGCCGGGTGATCAGCAGCAGTCGTCGGCCCTCGCCGGCGTGGCTCCGCCGCCCTACTACTACCCTCCGCCGATGCCCTACGCCATGCCGACCGGCGCTGAGTTCCAGCCCTACGGCGCCTCCCCCTATCCGTACCCCTACGCCGTGTCCCCTCCCGCCCAGGTCCCGCAACAGCCCCAGCCGCCCGCGCATCAGCAACAGCAGCAGCAGTCCCAGCCTCCTCGCCCTTCTGGTCCTCCGGAAGACCTGCTGGCCTGAAGATGTCCCCCGTTCTTCCTCATTCCACAAGGTTGTAGATAAATGAACCTAGAAAACTTGTACGCCGCGTTCCGCTTGGCTCTTGTGCTTGAGGTGAAGAATTTCAAATATGTAGAGGTTACCTTGCGACGAATATTTTGGAATCCAGGCGACTGATGGGCGGAGCAGCGTGGCGAGCACAGAAGACAAAAATAAACACAAAAAGAAGAACCACAAATACATCAAGAAAGCGCAAGTAAACTGTTGGAGGGGTCGCCTGGGCCGCGGTGCTCATGACGGACTCAGCACAAGGAAGCGGTGGACGCGGAGACGCGGAGACAAAGCAGCCACTGTTCTACGCGCCCTCGCCGCTCAACGTGTTCGGCGTCGACCCCAAGCATTTCCAGAAATGGCTGCAAGTGTGGGACGAAAGGCGAACGTTCAACGATGTGCAGCCCTCTCCCGACCACCCAAAGAAGCTAAACTGTGTCTCTCCCGACTTTGTCCTTCGAGGTACCCCCTCGGCTCCATCTCTTCACAAATTTATATGATTTGTTGATTTTATACGACAAGACTTTTGTCTGACGCGTTACCTATCCACTTGCCGAGTGATTAGCGGGAAGAAGCAAGCAATGGCGTTCAAGGGTGGTGGTGCTGCGAGGCCACTTCCTCTACTACTTTCGTTACCCCGTCAAGCCCGTACGTAACCAGGCCACGTTTTGCTTTCTGTCTACTTCCCTAATCACGCGCTACGATCACGCGGTCACAGAACCACACATGCAGAGGCGTGGTGCTGGTTAAGGGTACCTCTTCCTTCTGCCTGCCAGCGTGTTGATGCTTCTGCCGCATAAGCTCAACCTCCGTGCTCACCCCTGGCCTCATTCTCATTCGTTAGGGTGCGCGGTGACGACCTTCCAGTCGTTTGAAGGCAAGGCCAACGTGGTGATGATTGGACCCAACACCACTCGCAAGCCGGGGTGGCGGCCTGATCTGACCAGGCGTTTCTACTTCAGCCTCAGCTCGCCCGCAGAGCTCAAGAAGTGGTATGCATCACTACCTGCGTACCCCCACGTGCTATGCATGCCCGAAGCAGGAAAACTGACTGTCCGCTCTGCCAGGTATCAGATGCTGAAGCTGGCCGCGCACACGGAGAAGACATACAACAAGTACATGGTCAAGACCATCACCGTCCCGGCGACCTCTCCCCCTGCTCCTCCCACCCAGCAGGCGGCAGCAACGAAGGATGCCAAAGCGTCAGCAGGGAAACAGGAGCGAACGGTCGATAGCGACCCGCGCCCTGTCCAGCACAACAACGCCGAAGGGCAGTCACCGCCGCCGCCGCAGCAGCAAAAGAAAAGAGCAAACAGCAAGAAGAAGACGTCGTCGGGCGAGCGATCCGCCACCGCCGATGGAGCGAGCGGTAAAGTGTCGGATGCTGGTGGCCAGACAGACGACGCAGCGGCCGAGCAGGCGGCGACGAACCAGCCCGACCCCATCGATTCAAGCAAGGACAAAAGCAAGAAGAAAAAGAAGAAGAGCAAGAGGAAGCAGACCGACGACGTCAATGAAGCGAAGGAGGTTCCCAACGAATCCTAGCGACTCCTCCACTCACGCATACTCCACCCCACCATTTGTACATTACCACTTATATTTGTATATTCATCATCACCAGCGCCAACGTTGGCCCCGACTATCCTCCCCCCGGCTCTGGTGATGTGGCGGAGCCGATGAAAGAAAGTAGTCGATCACGAAGGAAGCAAGTGGTGTGCTCGTCGCCGAGCTTGTCGTTGGTGAACACGAGGTCCCACCGGCCGAAGGAGTCCAGCCCGGTCTCCGTCTCTGGTGGTACGCGAATGATGTGAGTGTGAATGAGAGCAGGGACAAGATGCATCTAGTACCGTGGCTGTCGATCGGGCTCTCGTGCCACCCCAACTGCTTCTTGAACTCCAGCGGGGACTGCACGCGAAGTCGTACCAACCGCACATCATCAGCGGCTCTGCCACATCAAGACGTTCTCGTGAGTGTCTTGTCACAAAAGACGCCGTCCACACGCATGCATGAAGGACATGACACGCACCTGTGGAGAGATTGCTCAAAGTACTCTATCTCCCACGAGTAGCGAACGCCGGTCACGAAGAAGAGTCGAACCTGTGCAACATCATCGCTAGCTGGGTCTGCGGCTGTCTGGCTAAACATCTGGCGAGCCTGCTCCAGCAAGCGAGAACAGTAGCGAGTTTGATCCAGGGCCTTGATCTCCGTCCAATAGGCAGTCATCATCATGCGGTGCTGCTCCTTGTACTCGCGGTCCGTCAAGAGTCGGTCGTGGTCGATCTCATCACGGAACTTGAGCGTGAAGTCCTCCTTGAAAAGATCCGTCGTCGATGCAAAGACGCTCTCTACGCGTGGCCCACAGCCTTCCCTATGTCCCCCACCGAACAAGCCCTTCGCCACCCCCACCAGGTGGTCCTTCCCTGCACCCGGTCAGCCCCGACAAACCGGCAACAACGTTCTGCGCACACAGTCCGGTGGGAACCATGGTTGCCGCCATACCTGAGAACCGCTTGCCCGATACGAGAACGATGGCGTTGGCGGGTGTGCTCAAGTCCATGACTGTGGCTCGTTGAGCTCAAGATCAATTTCTCCATGTTTTCCTTTTTTCCTGACGATTTTGCCCTGGGCGCGGTGTTCTGCCTTTCTTCTCTGGCGCGGAGACGCAGTTGTGTTGTGAAGGATCCTCATCTTCGGCTCGCGATCGCCTCCTCTCTTCCGCTTCTTTCCCTCTCCACGTTCTGAAGGGTTGTTGTCGCGGTGCTGCATCCGTAATCACCGCACCATCCACTCCGGGATCAATTTCCATTTTTAATTTTCAAAATGCAGTCCGCTGCTCAGCCTTCGTCTTCATCCTCCTCTGCCACTGCCTCCACCTCCGCCGCTCCTTCTTCTTCCTGGCAGGAGCGCATTGCCGGTGGCCGCATCACCACTGCTCCGCCCGCCTTCACCAAAGATGGAGAGTACGCAATCTTTCTACTCGTTCACATTATCTCATGAGATTTTCCCATGTCTGCGAAGTGCCTCCCTCTCATGACTATTCTTGATGTTTAATCTTTTGAATTTTTGTTCCGAATCTCACCTTTCTCGTTCCCACAGTTTTTTGATCACCTGCGCGGCCTCGGTGCTGAAGGTGTACAGCGTCAAGACGGGCGAGGTCGTCAAGACCCTGCGACACAAGTCCCGGGTGACCGGCTTCTTCTTCAACCCGGCCAACGCCCTGCAGGTACCTTCTTGTTCCAAGAGCAAACAACAGTTTGGCGTTTGTTTTTGTCGCCTTGTCGAGCCGCTGAACACGTTTGGTGGGTCCAGCTCTACTCGGCGGCAGAGGAGGGCATCATCCGCCTGTGGGACTTTGAAGACGGCGTGCTCCTCAAGGTATGCTGCGTTTGACTTCGCGCTCTTTGGCTTCATGTTGCGGCGCGGCGGTGCGCAAGTGGTGAGCGCGTGCTAACGAAGGCTTGCTTGCCGGTATGGCATTCGCGACACAGAGCTGGAAGATTGGTGGTGAGGGGAAGATCAACCAGGCTGTTCTCGACGCGACCCAGCGCGTGGTCTACCTGAGCATCTGCAAGGTGGACCCCAATACCAGTCAGGAGACCCATCTCATCAGGTACCTGACCCGGCCCGGGCGCGAGCGTCGGCGCCAGGCAACAACGTGCTGACACAACGTGTTATCTCTTCTTTCCCCTCTCACCGATCGCTGCAGCACATTCAACTTGAACACCTGCACGAGCCGAGTGCGATACACCACCAGCAAGCCCCTTGCCAAGGTACGAATCGACCGCATGAGGGGCACGTGACAGAGAGCTGGTGCATGCGCCCGCTTTCATCCGCGTCTGACCGTCAGCTCTCTTTCATCACACGCAGCTGTACGTCAGCCCGCGGGGTGACTTCTTTGCCGCCCTCCAAGACAATTGTTGCGGATTCCAGTTGTTCAACGTGAACACGAAGGACATGCAGTCGTACGTTGCGCCGACTGTTTTATATTTATATTTATATTTTAACTTAGTTGTCCAATCGCTTACGCCCTCCTTCGTTCGACAGCATCCACCACCCCCACAAGATCACTTCGTTCGACTTCCATCCGACCGAGCCGTGCGTGGCGTACGGAGATGAGGCGGGCGTGATTCGAGTAAACTACTGCCTCCCCCGCGTCGATCCGATGGACAGCGACGCCAAGCCCCAGGTCCAGCCCAACAAGCAAACCCGCATCGACAGATACGACTGGCACACCTCCCCCATCTCTGCGCTTCAGTTTTCTCCCGACGGCTTCTACCTGCTCTCCGGCGGTCAAGAGGTGCGGCCACGTTGCTTCCAAGCCTTCCTGCGCCTCTTTTCTTTTTCTTTTTCTTCTTTTTCTTTAATTTTATACGATTCTGACCGTGCGCGCAGGAAGTGTTGGTTCTCTGGCGTCTGAACACCAGCGGCAGAATTTTCATTCCCCGCCTGGGTGCCGCCATCTCGTCGGTCACTCTCAACGAGCAAGGAACGGTCTACGCGGTGTGCTGCGCCGACAACAGCGTCCGTATCATTGACGCTTTGACGAGGGACATGGTCATGAAGATCCAGGGAATCAGCTTGGGTAGCCTTCATTCCCTTTGCCTGTTGAGCTTCAAACGAGTTCTCGGTCCATCTCACTCCACAACTTTGACACCACACACGCACACGCACACGTCCAGATATCGGCAGCATGCCTATTATCATCGACCCGCGCAACGACCTCGTCGTCACGTCGTTCAAGCACGGGTCCCTGCAGCGCTACGACTCCGTGCGCGACAGGCATGTCGACGAAATGGAGATCGTTGCCAACCCACAGATTGATGAGAGAGGGCATCTCCCGTTTGCCACTGTGAAGCATGTGGCCTTTGGCCCCAAGGGCAGCTTCATGGTCACGGTACATAGCCCGCGCCCTCTTTGTGGCTTGTGGGTGATGAGACATGTTTGGCGCTTACTCACTTCCACCGCCACACATGTGTACAGACCGATTACCGTGATTACACGGACATCGACGCCGAAATTGTCATCAAGTTTTGGCTGCACGACGGAAAGCAGTATGACACCCATCCACCCACCCGCCATTGCGATACACTGCGGGGTGAGGGGACTGACCCTCTGTCGCCACGACGCAGGTACACGCTCAACACCACGGCGCAGAAGGCCCACAGCGCACCTATCACGGGGCTGGCTTGTCACCCCATCCTCCCGCTGGTCGCCTCGTGCTCTCGGGACGGCAAGTTCAAGCTTTGGGAACAGATCGAGAGGCCACCTCGTACGTACACACACACACACACACACACACACACACAACGCGCGACACGCATCTTCGGCCCGCTGACTCCATAAAATTCGCTCTATGTGTCATCTCGGCAGCTCCCGGCAGCAAGAACAAGGACGTGACCCGCCCCGTCTGGGTGTGCCGCTCGGTGGGCGACTTCAAGGGTCTGTCGGCTTCTGGCCTCTCCTTCTCCACCGACGGTTCCCTCCTCGCCGTTGCTTACAAATCGGTACGCGTCCGCCTTCGCCACTGTCGAACGCATCCATCAACAAGCGCTCTGCGCGGCTTCGCTCATTCGCCCCCCCCCCGCACTTCGCAATGCGCAGACGATTACCCTTTGGGACCCGATGTCGAACACCTTCCACCGCTCGCTCACCTTCACCAACGGAGTCGCCAAATCGATCAAGCATTTGGCCTTCATTCCCTCGTCTCGTTATTTGGTCTCCGCCACCCGCCACCAGGTAGGAGACTCCCGACTCTCTTCTTTCTCACATTCGCCGCAGTTGACTGACGCCAGTCCTTCTTCTTCTTCTTCTTGCCGGTCATCGATTGCCTGCTGTGTATAGCTGTTTGTGTGGGATCTGGTGCGCTGTGCTATTGTGTGGAGCTACAACGTGGAGGTGCACAGGCTGGCGGTGGATATGTCGGTCAACTACAAGGCCAACCTGGTCTTCCCGTCGCCCGCCTCCCTCGTCTCGTCTTTCGTGGTCACCAACGGGCAGCACATCTTCCTCTTCAACCCGTCGTCGCCCAAGGTATACGAAGCCTCCCCGCCCCACCGCACCGCGCGCCCGCGGTCGCTGACCCACTCTTTCCCGTCATAGCCCCTGCACGTGTGGTCGGCGGAGAAGCGCGTGGTCCGGTCGCTCGCCTTTGTGGCGACGTCGAGCCTCTTGCCCGAGGGTCGTGTCGTCTACATGAACGACAAGTGCGAGCTCGTCTGCCTGGAGAAGAAGCTGGACAAGAAGACCGAAAACAAGACAGGTACACACACACACATGCTCAGTTGCCTTTGCTTTTCTTTTTGTTGGTGCGTGCTGCTCACCTCCGGTTTGTTCGTGCGCAGACCAGGAGAAGGTGTCGCTGAGCATGTCGAAGGTGAAGGGCGCCAAGAAGGAGGTCACGGAGGAGAAGCTGTCGGCATTCGAGAGCGCGTTCGGCAAGCTCTCGGTCGCCGGCGCCACCACGAAGGAGGGCGGCGAGGACACGGGCGTCATCATCGCGCGCGAGGACACCGGCTCCCTCTTCAACCCCATCGCGCCGCAGCTCTCCCATCTCTTCAACGGGCCGTCCCATCTGTTGCCCTCGCCGGCCAAGATCTACTCCTCGTTCATGGAGGGCCTGCTCAAGAAGGCGCACACCCAGGTCGCCGCCACCGCCGACGCTGCTGCCCAGCAGCCAACCGGCGCCGAGGATAATGGCGACTCGGCCATGCAGCTGGACGCGCCGGCCGAGGCCGTCGACGACAAGAAGAAGAAGGAGCACGCCGCCGCGGCCAACGGCGTGGACGATGCCAGCACTTCGAAGAACGTACGCTCACCATTTGACACTTCTCCCTTCTACAAAGTGCGCGTGTGTGGGCGCTGACATTTCTTTCTCTCATGAATTGAACTGTTCACAGCAACACAAGAGGCAGACCAAGATTACGGAGAAGACCTTCTACGACTCGATGTTCAAGTTCTTCTCCTCCTACGCTGCTCGCGACGGTAAGTGTCCTGCACGGCCCTGCTGCTGCTGCTGCTGCCCTCTTTGTGTGAAGAGAAGAAGCTGAGGCCATGCATTTACAGAAGAAACGGAGATGCCGGCTTCGCTGCTCAACGAGCTCACGGCACCCGTGCGGCCGCCGAAGCAGGCCACGCAGCAGAAGCAGGGCAAGGGCAAGGCCAAAACGCAAAGCGGAAGCGGCGGTGACAAGAACGGCAAGGCCAACCCGCAGCAGAAGAAGGCCAATAGTGGCAAGACCGAGGAGGCAACGCCCGTGACGACCACCGCCACGCCGGCGGATGCCACGCCCGAGGCGGTCGCGGCCACTGCCACCACGCCCACTCCCACGAAGAGCCCGCGAAAGAAGAAGCGCGCTTCGGTGCCCGCGGCAGGAGGTGAGGCGGACGCCATGGCCGTGGAAAGCCACACCACCACCGGCAGCAGCGGACCCCGAGAGGAGCCGGCGCAGGCGAATGGCACCAAGACCACCACGCCACGAAGGCGCAGGAAGAGCTCGAACGGATCGCAACAGCAGGAGTAGTGGGCGATGTGCTGCACATCCCCACACCCACACACAACGTACTAAATCCCACTTTTGAACGAAACACGTGCACGTCACATTCGCGGCCACGCCCACGAGGCCTGTTCTCCTTCATCACCGCCTTCATCACCGCCTTCAACGCCCATCGTGCGTCGCCCTCTACGCTTGGTTCCCTCTCCGTTTCGCTACTTTTGTCGGCGAGCGAGCGAGAAAGAAGCAAAAAGAAGGTGCGATGCTGGGATAAATCCGGGCATTAACTCCGCGCAATCCAGGCAAAAAGGCGATAGCCACGTCTTTCTTCTCTCTTTCTCCTTTCTCTCTCTCTTAAATCGGCCGTCGTCGTTCAGGCTTTCAGTTTCTGAACACATCGCAAAGATGGGACGCAGTACGTACCCCTGCATCTCTCGCTTCTATGTGTGCCTACATGTATTGCCCGTTCTTGTGCTGCGTGGTGGTTGATCCTCTATGGAATCAGACCTATGACCCGTTTGATGCAAATTGTTAATCGAATCATGCGCAATTCTTAGGACCCGCTCGTTGCTACCGCTACTGTAAGAACAAGCCTTACATCAAGTCCCGCTACTGCCGTGGTGTCCCCGAGCCCAAGCTCAGGATCTACGATCTCGGCAGGAAGAAGGCCGGCGTGGATGAGTTCCCCTTCGTTGCCCACCTTCTGTCGTGGGAGCACGAGCAGATCTCCTCGGAGGCTCTTGAGGCTGCCCGTATCTCGTGCAACAAGTACATCACCAAGATGGCTGGTAAGGACTCCTTCCACATGAGGGTCCGCGTGCACCCCTACCACATCCTCCGTATCAACAAGATGTTGTCGTGCGCCGGTGCTGACAGGTACGCTTACGCCCCTCGCCCTCTCTTCATTTTCATCCATTGTTTTTCTGTACCCATTCTCACCATGCACGCCTGCAGACTGCAGACTGGTATGCGTGGTGCCTTCGGTAAGCCCGCTGGTTGCGTCGCTCGCGTCAAGATCGGTCAGATCCTCTTCTCTGTCCGTTCCAAGGACAACTCCAAGGCCCACGTCATCGAGGCCCTCCGCCGTGCCAAGTACAAGTTCCCCGGCAGGCAAAAGATCGTCCTCTCCAACAAGTGGGGTTTCACTCCCCTCCAGAGGGAGGAGTACCTGCAGCTCAAGAGCGAGGGCAGGATCATTCCCGACGGTGTCAACGCCAAGGTGGTCAAGAACAAGGGTGTCCTCGGCTTCTAAGTCAACCCTGCAAATATACACCTTATGCCACACAATTGATGAAACGTTTGTATCCATCTCGAGGCACACGGGCGTAGCTTCATCCATTTTTTTGCTTGGATTTTGTTGTGTCGATTTGTATGAGCTCCAAAAAAGAGAACGGCGATCCATTTACTTGCTGGTGTTGAGCATCATGGTGATGTTGTCGCCCTTGAGCAAGATCCTGCCAAGGGGCGTCCTGGTGCCGCGCTTCGTCGACACCTCCTCAGCCTCGTCCAGCACCAGGTTCATGTACTCGTCAAAACCCTGCGGATCAAGAACATTCATGCAAATAAATAAATAAATCAATGAAAATAATAAATAAAAATAGAAAACAACATGAGGGAAGAGCCACATGAGGCGCAAAGCGGGTGGGTATGCGTACAATGATGCGGCCCTCGATTCTAAGATCGGTGTTCTCATAGAGCATGATCTGAATCCTCGATTTCTGAAAAGAACGAAGGAAATGGAAGATAAGTAGACGGAGATGGATCGCATAACAAGCAAGGAGGAACGTACGTTCTGGAGGAACCGGAAGATCAAGTTCTGCAGTGCCGCAAGCAAAATTGAGAGGGGGGTGAGTGATTAATTGACAAAGAAATACAGCCAAAGAAAGCTGTGCAAGTGAGTTGGGGGCGTACGATCGGCTGAGTCATAATCTTCTGCACCTTGGGTCCGCGGGCCGCCATTTTGAGTGTTGAATCGAAGGCGAAGGGTTGCGGCTCTGTTTTCTTCTTCACGAGATGGAGATGATGTGCGATCAGCCCACTCTGGTGTGCTGGCAAGAAAATTGCTGGAAAAGTTTTTTATTTGGCACTAATAAAAATAAAATTTAATTGTTCACCGGTCATCGGCTGCCTTCTGCCTCGGATTCACTTTCGCTTTCGTCACTGCTGGCAAAGTCCCTGATGTTAATGTCTCGCGTGATGTACTTGAGCCGCTCAAGCGATTCCTACACGACCACGACACCAGGTCTTGGTCAGACCACATTCATTGTCATTGCCGATAACACTGGCGCCAAAGACGACGTACCTGGACGGCGTAGGGCGGGAATTCGCTCAGCTCGTCGTGGATCTCCTTGCCGTGCGATCGCACGAACTGGTACAGGACTGTGAGGGCCTTCTTGCGGAACTGCCGCGGCACGATCGACGTCGGCGGGTCTCCGAACCGCGGCTCGTCCGTCTCCGCGCACAGGCCGTTGAAGAACTCCTCCAACTGTGGCGATCAGGTTGTCATGAAGATGGTGAGGGACATATATTTGCATATATATATTACATAAACAAAGAAACGTTGATATATAATATACTTTTGATACGTGGAGGGTGAAGTTGTACCTTGCCGACGTTACGCTCGATGAAGCCGTTCATGACCTCCATGAACTCCTCCTTGCCGCTGAAGTCGTTCTTGTTGGCCAGGTTCTGCAGCACCTTGGCGATCAGGATCAGCGTCCGGTGCGTCTTTGGGTGCACCTCGCCCTTGACTAGGCCGTAGCTCTGTGGCACCAGCAGCGCCGGGCACTGCACTCATCGCGGGCATGAGCACTGACACGCACACGCACACGCACGCACCACCGCACACGCACACGCCACCGCACACGCGCGTGGGTCGGCGACAACGTACGATGAAGCGGAGGAAGATGAGGTTGCCCAGCACGCGGTGGATGTAGTCCGGGTGGTCGTAGCGCATGTCCTCGTAGAGCATGTGGCACAGCTGCCGCAGGTACAGCGGGAAGTAGGGCAGGGAGGTGAAGATGCGGGTGGCCAGCTTCTGCAGGATGAGCTCCAGCTGCAGTCGCCCGACCGAGTTGTCCTGGCCCTCCTCCAGGTGCTTCGGGTTGATCTGGTCGTCGGCGCACGCACGCACCAAGGTCACTCCCCCGCCCACCCGACAACTGTGCACCTCACCTGTGTGGGGCAGGTACCTCGACCGAGGTAGTGAGCGAGAAGATGGTCCCGAGCGGCGCCGGGTCGCTGTCGGTGACATTGCTCTTCGACGGGTTGCTCCCGAGCTGAAAGCAAAGGCACAGAAGTGAGTGTGACACTTCATCAAAATGACGATGACGATGGTGATGGTGATGGTGATGATGCCGATGATGATGACGGGTGGGTACGTGGGCGTTGTTGGCGAGCTCGAGCTCGGCGATGGGGAGCGCGAAGGTGTTCCAGAGGTAGGGCAGGCCGACCATGCGGCTGAAGACGGAGAAGGCCTGCACGCCGGGCGTGTCCTCGCGGAACAGCACCTTCTCGTCGTCGAGCGCCATGAGCTCGTTCTTGAGCAGCAGCCGGATCAGGTCCGTGCCCTTGTCAGACGACTGGTACACCAGCATCTGCGCGCCCATCGGGCGACAGCTCAGTCACTGTGAGCCATGCCTTGGTGTGTGTGTGTGTGTGTGTGTGTGTGTGTGTGCGTGTGTGTGGTGGGTACCATGGCTGCGGCCACTTCGTCGCTCGACGAAGGCTTGGCGTGGGCGACGTTGCCAATGGCCTGAACCACGTGCTTGTCCATCAGGAACTTGATGACACACGACGCACACGACGCACACGACGCACACGACGCACACGACGCACACGACGCACACGACAAGCCGACTTCAGTCCCAAGCGAGCGCGAACGGATCAAGCAGCAAGCGGGTTGTAGGTGGTACCTCCTCGAGCACGGTCTGCACCTTGACGCTGAGGCGGCGCATGGGCAGCATCTTGACCTCGGCCCCGGCCTCCAGCGAGTCCCGGCGCCACACGAGCAGCTGGTAGTTGGGCTCCTTGAGGATGAGCTTCGGCCGCCGGTACCGCATGTACCCGAGCACGAGCACGGCGACCAGCACCGCCAGCACCACCGCCATGAACGCCAGCGGCAGAATGACGCCCAACGCAATCGCCAGAGTGTCGTCCGAGCCCGACGACGATGACGAGAAGTCGCAGAATTCGCCTACACACGACACGACACACGACACACGACCAACGACACACACGGCACGACACATGACACGCACGGCACGACCAACGACACAACACGCGGTACGGCACGGCACGGCACGCGCGACGCGACACGCATGAGCAATCGATTGGTGGTTGGATACCGGAGAGGGAGGTGCGGTGAACCAGTGGCGCCAGGGGCGGTGCACTCGCAGGAGCCGGCGATGCAGTCGCCGTTGCCGTTGCACAGCAGCTCGGTGGTGGAGCCGGGCGCGATGCAGGTCCGGCGTGAGGCGGTGCTGGTCACGATGAGACCCGTGGCAAAGCCCGTGATCGGACCCGCAGCCAAGCCCTCTCGATACACCTGCACCAGGACTGGTCAATCAAACATAAAAAGAATAATAATAAAATGAACGAATCGCAAGGCGGCGCACGTTCTCGGCGGTGCGGACGGTGGTCTGCACGTTCTGGGCGTTGGCGGGGATGACCGCGTAGCCGTCCTGTCCGCTCGAGATGTAAGAGATGGTGGTGAGCGAGTAGTCGCGCTCGGGATCGACCAGCGTCCAGGTGGTGGCCCGCTGGGTGGTCGTCGCGGCGGCGGCGATCGCAGAGTCTTGCACCCACACGTTGACGATGCGCATCCCGACGGACTCCTTCGCATTGAATGTGAACCGAAGCCCCGACACCTGTGAACGAAGGTGTTTAGAAGAAAGAACGAAAGCGAGGCGAAAGCGAAAGGCAAAGAACGAAGGATGGTGGTTCGCACCTGGAGGAAGCGTCCGATGCCCTGCGAAATTTCAAAGGAGGTCTCGTTGGAGAGGGACACCGAGTGCTCGAGCACCTCGAGCAGGTGCTTGCCCTTGAGGTCCATTGTCACGATCAAGTCGGCCGGGAACGGGAACGATCGCACGAACTGCGCCAGCGTGACGTTGCCCGCCTCGACCGACCCTCTACCAGTGCGTGCGTGCGGTGGTGATCAGCTCGACCGGTGTGTGTGTGTGTTGTGTTGTGTTGTGTTGTGTTGTGTGCGTGCGCGCGTGCGTGCTTGCGTAAGTGAGAAAGAGTGTTTACCCGAAGGAGCCGCCGTTGACGATTCCGATCTCGGTCCGGCCGGCTTTCTTAAGCGCCTCTGCGGTCCAGCTGCCCAGACCGCACTCGCCAAACATGCATCGATGCTGCGACGTATAACCAGTGAGTGCAGGAGCACAAGCAAACGTGCGTTTAAACAAACAATAAAAGAAAAGAAAAAGAAAAAGAAAGGAGAAAGCAGTGTGCTTACGTTGTAGTCCAGCGGCACCTCGGCCGAGCCGATTACTCGGCTAAGACCGGCCATCGAACGGTTGTAGTCTTGAATCACCTCCGCCTGGGTATCGATTCAAGTGAGCGAAACAGCAGCAATCCAGCGTGTCGTGTCGTGCGTGTCGTTGCACAAGTGCACATGGTCACCTGAATGCTGGCCACGGGCGTGATGTCATCGTCCAACGGGACGGCGTCGCCAGAGCAGCTCTCGACCACTCCGTATTCGTCGAACACGACGTCGAGCTTGCCCACGTGCTTGCCCCACACCCCCACGCCGGCGATGCACACCTTCTGCTTCCACAGGAGCCGCTCCACCACCGGGTACGGGCCGATCGGAGTCTCCGAATCTATGACCCCAACCCACACACGAGGGCCTGGCGTGAAAAGGGGCGCAAAGAGCAAAGTGGGGTGGGCTTTTGGTGAGTTAGTACCGTTTTGGTTGGCGTAGAACTGGCCCTGCACGAGCACGACGTCAATGCCCAGCACGCGCTGGACGAGCGGCTCCACCAGCCGCAGGTTGCTCACCGCCACCACGATCTTGTTCACTATACAGCACCAAGAAGAAGAAGAAGAAGGTGATGATGATGAAGAAGAGGAATTAGTGTCAGAACAAGCCCCAAAACGCTCCAATCAACGCACCTCCTTCGTTGAGCAGGCTGCCCACGGCCACCTGCAGCGCCATGATCTCCTCGGTCGAGTCCTGGGGCGAAGCGAGTGAGTGGTGAGACGGTGGGTGTGGAACCACTCACACGCGACAGAAACAGACTAAAGCGGGTCCGGGGCGTCGGACAAGGTGCGTACCAGGCGACCGGGCTGGGAGACGAGGCCGGCGATGTTGGCGGGCATGGTGCCGGCGAACCCCACCTTCTGGCCGTCGGTGTAGCCGATGGTGGCGTACTGCTGGACGGTCAGGTTTGCCAGCGCGGACTCGTTCTGCATCCCCACCAGGTTGGAACACACCGCTGTCGCGCCGTCGGCCTCCATGGCAGCCAGGAACGAGCTCAACTGCGCTCCGCACACACCCGCAACGATCGCCATAATGGAGCCATGGCAGCCATGGTCAGTTATGATGTCTCTGCGGCACGCGCACGTGTGGACACGTACCACGCTGAGACCGCCCTGCATGTCGTAGAGGTCAAGTTTGACGACGTCGTAGCCCACGCCCTTGGTGTAGTTGGTCACCAGCTCCGGGCTGAAGAGGAAGTAGTTGGCTCCTGCAGTCCACACACGAAGACAGAATTAGATACCATCGTTTGACCCCCTGCATCGGCCAGAAAGAACGAAAGCGACGACAAAACAGCGAAGACGAACAGCGAAGACGAAGACCTCGGCCGGAGAAAAGCGGCGAGGCGGGAGCGGCATACCCGGGAGGCTGTTGCCAGTGTCCACGACCAGCGCGTGTGCGCTGTCATTTCGAAGCTGGGCGATGAGGGCGGCGCGACGGGCCACCCCGCCCAGGCAGAAGGGCAGGTCCGACGTGTAGGACGTGTCGGTGGGCGCACACGGGTTGTTGGCCACGTTGACGGCCACCACGGCCCCGAACGTGTCGCCCGAGTGCACCACCGTCAGGTTCCACCCGGTCACCCCTGGCGGTGTCAAGATGAGTTAATGGGGGGGGGGTGGTAGTGAAGGTTAGGAAAGGTTCAACGTGCGTACCCGAGGCAGTGAGAAAAAAGACGAACAAAAAGGTGTAGAGGCCTCGCCGGGGGTCCATTGTGGCTTGTGGTGGCGGCGAGTTGCGTGTGTACTCGCTTGAATGTTGACGGCTGGCTCCGGGCGACGGGGCACGAGACAAGGGTGACAAGCGATGCCGATCCGCTGTTCGCGTACTTCCGGAGGAACTGCCGCTGCGGAGTGCAGGACCAATAGCACACGCTTCATAAGCGGGCTTCGCTTATGGTACAATTTTTATCTGCTCTCTTTTTGTCAATTTTATCTGCTCGTCGAGCTGGGTGATGCAAAACTGTATTGACGGGTCTGTGTGGCCGCCTTAGCAGGCCAGAATGGAACATTCGAAGTCGGTGATGAGGGAGGGTGGGTCAAAGTGGGGGTAGGGATGGTGGGCAAGGAAAGGGACCACTATTGGTGGTGGGGAGGTGGCGATTATCATCGGCTGGCCTAGGCCTAGGCCTGTGGTCGGGGCGTGAGCGCCGTCTCGTCGGCCCTGTCGAGCTCGTCCTGATCACTCGTGCTGCTGTCATCATCGTCGTCCTCGTCCTCATTAAGTGTGTCCACCTCTTGCGCGAGGTACTTGAGTTGCTCCAGCGCGCTCTGCATTCGTGCACACGATTAGCCCCAAATGTCATCATCAACGGCACGTGCGCAAGCGGTGAGGTCCGGAGTGGTGTGTGTGTCGTGCGTCGTGCGTCGTGCGTCGTGTGTGTCATGTGTGTTGCGCGCGTGTGGTGGGTGGAGGGAAAAACCTTGACTTCATAGCTGGGGAACTCGTTGAGCTCGTCGTGGATCTCCTTGGCGTGCGATTGGACAAACTGGTGCATGACCAACATTGCCTTCTTCTTGAACTGTCGCGGCACGATCGACGTTGGCGGGTCTCCGAACTTGGGCTCATCCGTCGGCTCACACAAGTGATTGAAGAATGCCTCCAACTGGTAGAAGACACAAGCGACACCACCGTCGGTTGGCCAGCACTCACACACACACACAACACACACACAACACACACGACACACACGACACACACAACACACACACACAACACACACACACAACACACACACACACACACACACACACACACACACAGCCCAGGACCAGCGATGGGAGCGACGATAGGGCGTACCTTGGTGATGTTGCGGTGGATGAAGCCGTTCATGGACTCCATGAACTCCTCCTTGCCGCTGAAGTCGTTCTTGTTGGCCAGGTTTTGCAGCACCTTGGCGATCAGGATCAGCGTCCGGTGCGTCTTGGCGTGGGTGTGCTCCTTGACCAGGCCGTAGTTCTGGGGCACCAGCAGCGACGGACACTGCGCAATGCGAAGAAGAAGAAGAATAAGGGGCGAGGTGAGCTTGTGGTGGCTGCTCACCTACGTAGACTGGGCGCAACGTACGATGAAGCGGAGGAAGATGAGGTTGCCCAGCACGCGGTGGATGTAGTCCGGGTGGTCATAGCGCATGTCCTCGTAGAGCATGTGGCACAGCTGCCGCAGGTACAGCGGGAAGTGGGGCAGGGAGTCGGTGATGCGTGAGAGCAGCTTCTGCAGGATGAGCTCCAGCTGCAGCCGCCCGATCGAGTCATCCTGGCCCTCCTCCATATTCTTCGGGTTGATCTGCCCAACGCCAAGGAAGAGAAGAAACCAATTAACAGAGCAGCCTATGTTGCGTGTGTGTGTGTGTGTGTGTGTGTGTGTGTGTGTGTGTGTGTGTGTGTGTGTGTGTGTGTGTGTGCGTTGTGCCTTGTGCGTTGGTTGTGCCTTGTGCGGTACCTCGATGGTGTTGGTGATGGAAAAAATGCTCTGCAGGGGGACGGCGTCGTTGTCAGAGACGTTGGACTTAAGCCGCGGCGAGGCCATATCGTCTGAGTTGTTGGCCATCTCGAGCTCGGCGATGGGGTAGGCAAACACCGACCAGAGGTAGGGCAGGCCGACCATGCGGCTGAACACGGAGAAGGCCTTGACGCCCAGCGTCTCCTCGCGGAACAGCACCTTCTCGTCCTCGGAGAGGAGCTCGTGCTTGAGCAGGGTCTTGATGAGCTTGGTGCCCTTGTTGGACGACTGGTGCACCAGCATCAGCGCGGCCGACACCTCGTCGATGTAGGTGCGCTTGACGTGGATCACCCCGCTGAGGGCCTTGACCACGTGCTTGTCCAGCAGGAACTTCTCGAGCACGGCACCCACCTTGACGTTGATCTTCTTGGCCATGATGGCCTTGTCCTCCATCGATTCCCGGCGCCACACCAACACCTGGAAGTTGGGCTCCTGCAGGTAGAAGAGAACACAAAAAAATAATAATAAATAATTGTTGTAGTTATTATCATTATTATCATTTTTTTCTGATGCTTATTAGTTGAATAATCAGAATAAGAATAAAAAATAATAAATAAGAATAATACGGCGTGAGTTGTACCTTGAGTACCAGCTTGGGCTGCTTGTACTTCATGTAGCCCCACAGGAGGAGGGCGCAGATGATGGCCAAAATGAGCAGGAGAAAGACGAGAGGCAGCACCACGCCCAACACGATCGCGGTCGTGTTGTCGCTCGAGCTGGAGGAGCTGACCGGGCTGCAATGCGCGCCTGCCGACAAGTTGTCACGCGCACGAGGTCAATTGCGAACCATAGAGCGCACGCACGCACGCAACTACGCGAGAGGCCATGCGACGAACCGGCGGTGCCTGGGTCGCATTGGCAGGCGCCTGAGACGCACAGGCCGTTGCTGTTGCACAGGGAGCCGTCCGCGGCAAGGCAGTTGCGCTTCACGGCAGAGCTGCTCACAATCCTGGGCGCGATGCCAGGCATAGCGATTTCGGCCCCCAGATGTTGGAGGATCACCTGATTGAGCGTGTAGCCGAAATTGAGCACGTTGGAGCCGTTGGTGGAGAAGATGGTGTAGCCGTCGCCGCCCTTGGCCATGAAGTCCAGCATGGAGAGCGAGTAGCGCGTGTTGTTGTTGATCAGCTCGGCCCGGCCCTCAGAGTCGATACTCCAAGCGTTCACCACGCGCCAACCGACATCTTGGTTGCTGTTCCAGGAGAACTTGAGACCAGAAATCTGCGTGTGCGTGTGCGGTGGTGGGTGTGCGTGTGCGTGTGCGGTGGTGGGTGTGCGTGTGCGTGTGCGTGTGCGGTGAGTTCGGTGCGCATGGGTAGAAGCTTGGGGGGGGGAAGAAACTACGGCGACGAACCTGAACGAATCGTCCGGTGTTGATCAGGGACACGGAGTTCTCGAGCGCTTCGAGGAGTTCGGCGCCGGTGACGGACATGGTGTAGACAAAGTCCTGGCCGTACTTGACCACCGTCTGCACGTCGATGGCCATAATGGGTCCCTCGGCCCAGCCACCGCTGTACAGGTGCCGCGATAGAGGGTGGCAGCGGTCAGCGGCGGCCAGGCCAGTGATGAAGCTTGCGCAGCAAAGCGTACCCAACGCTGCCGCTGTTGATCATGCCGATCGAGGTGTTGGTCGCCCGGCGCAGCTGGTCGGCCTGCCAGCTGCCGATCGCGCACTCGGTTATGTTGCAACTCCCATCGTAGCTGATGTCGGCGCCCGCCGTGCCGACTTGCGTCGTGTACAGGGCCGCCACCACATCCGTGTAGTAGTTCACCACGTCGTCCTATTAAAAGGGGCGAGGAGTGAGAAGAAGAGGAGCCATGAAGTTTCATTTCATTGACGATCAGAACGCAGCAGCAGCAGCAGCAGCAGAAGAAGGAAGAAGAAGAAATGCGCAGCGCGTGCGTACCTCCACGGAGGCAGCTTCGGGGTAGCTCGACGTGAGGATATGCGCGTCACCGCCCTGATCATTGAGGAGAAGACCATCGAGTGAAGCGCGTGAGTGGGTGAGTCGGGAATGGTGACGTTAGCTCGGAGCCCAGAGGCGGAAGGGAGTGTACCCAGGCCGTGATGACTCCGTACTGGTCGAACTCGAGGTCGAGCTGGCTGATGTACTTGCCGAACGATCCCGAGCCCACTACCAGCACCGGTTGGCCCCAATCCACCTAAACACGAATGGGGGGGGGCGAAAAAATGGAAGCTGTGAGTGGGAGAAGACCACAAGCCAAAGGCGCGGGGCAAGGCGGAGGGTACATTGTAGATCGTCGGGTGAACGCCAAAGATCTCGTCGTTCATAGAAACTGATTGGCGGGGGCGGGAAAGGCTCGATGAGTCGGAAACGAGGGATCCGAGAGTGAACAGCGCGAAAGGTGAGAGTAAGGCGCGGTACCGGTGGGGCTGGTAATGTACAATTCACCGTGAACGATGAGCACATCGATGCCCACTACCTCGTTGATGACGGTGCCAATGAGCGTCTCGTCGTAGATGGTCGCGATGATCTTGTTGACTGTTTTTGGCAACAATGCATCAGCCACGGAGGTAACAAGGTAGTGGGAGGGTCGGACACGCACCGCCGAGGTTGGTCAGTTTGCCGACAGCGGCCTTGAGTGCCTGCACCTCGTTTATAGAGTCCTTTTGCACACACGTGCGTGGAATGAAGGGGTGGTGAGCGCACACATTGCCTTTGATGTCCTGTTGTGGAAAAGCGATGGTACCACGACTGTATCTGTAGTGATCTTGACCCGAATGGACTTGCTCACACCTCCGCAGAAGCCCACCTACCACACGCACCACCGCACATGCACCACCGCACACGCACACGCAACGACGTTGTGTTGTGTTGGCGATACGTCTAAGCGGGTGTAATACCGGCGACAGCGGAGTGCCGTCCGTACCCTTTCGCCGCCGGCAAAGGTGTGGATGGCATAGGTGTCGATCGTGTAGTTGCCCAGGTGCGAGTCGTTGCGGGTGTTGATGAGATTCGACGCCACGATCGTGACATTGTCCACGGCACCCAGGAACTTGCCCAGCTGCAAGACCGACAAGGCACCGCGGTCAGGCATTCGTACACGAATCAGGCCAGCTGCCCAATCAAGGATAAGCTTTAAGCACAGCCCAGCGAATGCGCACCTTGACGGGGTCGGCCACGTCGTGGTCCCCCAACTTGAGGATGCTGTACCCTGTGGGTGCGCATTCACATTCGTGTCCACCAATAACAGGTTGGAGAGTAAAAGGGTAAGCGACGATTGGCAGGTTGTCAACCAAACAAACAAAAAACGGTCACCACGAGCACACAACGACAGAGTGCCCAGAAGCGTGAAATTAAAGGAGCAACGATCCCGGACACAGTACCCAAGGTGGTGTAGAACTGACCGAGAGCCTCCGCGCCACCGGCCGCCTCGAACGGCGAGTCTAGAGAGCACAGATAGAGGAGAGAGAGTGTGAGTGTCAGCCCTTTTCAAACAAAGAAAAGAACAAAAAAACAAACAAATAATAAAACGCGATCTTATTCGTGCTTTAACGCCTAGACCCGGAAAGCGACGAAAGGAGAAGTGTAACTAACGAGTGGTCCAACGGTAGGAGAAGAACGGGAGGGCTCAAGGGAGGGGTGGTACCGGTGAGGAAGTTGCCGCCGTCGACGAGGAGGACGTTTGTGTGGGCGCTGCGCGCGGCGTCGATGTAGGACATGCGGCGGCCCAGGCCTCCAAAGCACTTGGGCGGGTAGGAGCCGTTGGTAAAGGGGGCGCAGGCCGCGTTCAGCTTTGTGACGGCCACCACGGAGCCGTAGGTGTCTTGTGTGTGCAGCAGCGTCATGTTGAACCCCTCGACCACTACTGGGTCCATAGATGAAGATGATTAAAGATTGATGATTGATGAAAACCAACGGTCAGCCATATTCCACCACAGCTGGGCATCCACCTCGTGAGTTCGTCGACGTACCCGCATTGTGCACAAGGCACAGGAAAAGTGCAAGGGCCACGATGGCGAGGCGCACCCGCAGCGACATGATGACCCTTCTTGTTGAGCGGTTTTGGGTACTGTCCGCACAAGTGGCGGTCCTTTTTCCCGCAAGATCCGTATCCCAGCGACCGATTGCAAACACGCCTAGTTCCGTCTCGTGCTCGGCGAACCTCAACCAATTTAAAAACAAAATGAAATGAAAGAAACGAAACGAAACGAAACGAAACGAAACGAAACGAAACGAAAGTGGCTTCGTTTTCGTCGTTGGCCTTGAGCTGCCTTGCGCGCGAAGATGGAGGAGCCTGCATCGAGTGCCCACAAACGAAAGCGCACAGACCAGGACAAAGATTATGACGAAGGTATTGCGCCCACTTTCGAATTCGAACAGGCGAATAAGCGGCACCGCGATGACTTGGAGTCAGGGCGCAAGAGTAAGGGCGCAGAGAAGCGTGTGGAGAGTAGCAGGAAGAGGGCAAAGCAGAACGAGTATGCTAAAGAGGAGGAAGAAGAGGAAGGCGACGACGATTCTGAGGAGGCAACGATGGAGCTCGACGTGTCGAGTGATGGAAATGCAGAAGCCGTAGACGAAGATGGGGACGGCTACTTCGGTTGCCAGCTGGAGCTGTTCGGAGAGGCGGTACAGGGCAGAAGAACGCGGGTCATCCAAAAGAGATGGCGGCCGGACAAGACCTTCAGCATCGGACGCGAGCAGTTTGCCACCTCAAGCTCCTTCCATCGGATTGGGCTCGATCGCATCAGCCGACAGCACTTTGAGATTCGCTGCGGGCGGGTGCCAGAGACCCATGCAGGGAGGAGCGCGAAGCGCAAGCGGCATGCATCTTCTACGAAACGATGCTTCTTCCTCAAAGACCTCTCCGGTGCGTTGTACCCACGGGTGCCCCCATCTACGTCTGTTTAGTCTCACATACGCCTCTGTCCTCTCCATGTTCATGCTACCTCGAACGCAGCGAATGGCACACACCTCAACGATGAATTGCTGGGCAAAGGCGTGGAGCGGGAGCTCTGCCACAGGTATGCAACTAGACTTGGACCGACGCGTCGTATGCTGCGCATCCCCGTTTTGACAACTGACGTTCGTGCAGGGACACCATCACTGTTTTGATGAGTTCGCCGGGCGAGCGCCGGACTCTGATAGGGTTGGTTGCTCGACTCTCTCGTACCAGCCCCGTGGTGTTGCGCAGTTCTGATCCCCTTGCCCTATACACCTACAGGTACAGATTCAGCGTGGTCAAGGCACCAGCCTCTTCCCATAGCAACGACGCCTACGCTGAGGCCTGGAACGCAATCGCAACTCAAGAAGCGGATAGCTTCGACCCTCCCGCCTCGTCTTCACCTGTCGGCGAGCACCGCGGTGTGTCTCCGACTCGGGTGGCGGCTGTGGTGGGACCTTCGTCATCGCGATCGCCGGCCTCGTCGACTTCGCCGTCTGCATCGCCACCGGCGAAGGCGTTTCGGTCCATGGGCAAGGCCACCCAGTACCACGGCGACAACAAGCTCTCCTACTCGCTGAAGGTAAGCACGCACAGCAGCATCAGCGTATCGGCGCAGAGCAACCGAGAGGTGATGTTCATCACCACGCCCGCTCTCGAAGAAGCCGCCCCGGCGGCGAGCGACATTCCCGCTCCTCTTCCTCTCGGCGACTCGACCACACCTACGGCGACAGACGTGCAGCAACCGCTCAAACAGCAGCCACCGCGGCGGAGCGAATGGCGCGCTCTACTTGTCTGGCTGCTCGGTCGGCTGGGCACTGTGCTATACATTCTGGTACGGGTCCCCTTTGCTTTGCTGTTTTTCTTCCGCACAACTCTGTGCTCACCTCCATTCCGCCACCTCCACAACACAACACCTCCATGCACAGGCCACGGTCGGCATCAAAGTTCTCAGGTACGGCGCGTGCTTGTGTGTGTGTCATGTGTCGTATGTGTGTCGTGTGTGTCGCGTGTGTGTTTGAGCTCGTTTGATGTGTGAGGCACACCTCTGATCGGGGCATGTGTGTGTATGTGTCGTACACACCGACGTTGATGTGTGCAGCCTCTACTTGCTCGTCATGTCTGTCTACAACTACTTCTTTGCCGGCGGCCCTGCATCTTGAACGTCACCCGTAACAAGACAAGAACAAGAACGAGGAGAAGAAGGAGATGAGGCGTGTCGCTTCCTGTAAATATTTTTTAAATAGCAGTCTGCCACCATGCAACGGAAACGTGATCGCACCCGGGTGGTTGCAAGGAGTACGGAACGTTGGTTCCGCTTTCGGCCGCGCACGCGGCACGAAGCCCCTCTCCGCAGTGTAGTAGTGCGCAGACCACACGACACGACATCGCACACAACCACACAGAGCTCTACATCGATCATCAATCAATCGTCGGAGCTCTCATTAATCTCATCGCTTCGCATTTCTTGAGATCCATCGCGTTCTGGGAATGGACTCCGCCGGCCAGCAACTCACCCTTGCCTGGTACGCCCCTGGCCCTTTATGTTTCGTTGAGGGAAATTAGCAGCGAGGGCATGAGCCACAATTAATCTTGATCATCAAGCCAAAATCATCCAAATCATGATCGTTGGTTTGTTCTTGCTGTTTTAAGACCTCCATTGCCGCCAGCTTCTTCTGCTGCTGATTCACTCCATCCTCGGACGTGATATGATGTAACGGCACGCGCACACAGGCTCGCGAGCACGTATGAGATGTTCGATGGGGCGAGTGTGGCTCGGCGCGACGTCTACGGGGAGTATTGCGACTTCTGCCAGCGCTACAGCCTCAACGCTACGACGGCCGCCATCTTCGGCAAGCTCGTCCGCATGGTGTTCCCCGCCATCAGCTCCCGCCGCCTCGGCCGCCGCGGCGCCAACGTCGTCCACTACTACAACTTCCGCAAGAAGCTCGCGCCCGGGCCGGTGCCCACCACACCCCACACGACATCCACTTCCACCTCGTCATCATCGACTTCATCTTCGTCTTTGACGTCTGCCATCGTCATCAAGGACGACGACGAGCACGACACGTCGGCAGCCGCCGCATTGCTGCACGCTTCGGCGCAAGGGCACGCGGCCCCGCCGCCGCTTGTGTCGTCGCTTCCGCGTGGGAGCATCGCCGCACTGCTCTCGCCCATGACGTCCGATGTGCCGCAACCGTCGATGCCCATCCAGATCCCGGCCTCTCTGCCCTTCTCCGTCGACGCGTCCAGCTACTCGTTTCCCACCTTCACCACCGATCTTGGTACCCAATACTGTTTAATATTTTTAATGTTTTTAATATTTTTCTATTTCGGATCAGTACTTTATTTATGTTTTTTGCCGTTTTTTGTGTTTTTTTGATTTTATTTACATTTTTTTCTTTTTTTCTTCTTTTGCTGTTTTTTTCTCTTTGCTTTTTTCTTCTTTTGCTGTTTTTTGTTGCTGGTTGGCTTGAAAACAAAACCCAAACATTATGAACTGACCCGATGCGTTGTTTTACACATGTCTAGCAATGGACGATCCGTACACACTGGCATCGTCGGCCCAGGCCCGGGTGAATGCGCCGCCGGTGGACCCGAGCCGGATCTACGTGAAGCCGAGCCCGCTGTGGCCGGCGTCGGCGTCGGGCCAGTCGGGGCACCACCACGTGATGGCGCTCGCCGCCCACTTCATGCACCACTACCGGCGCGCCTACTTCATTCAGTGCCCCATGCACCCCGCCGCGCTGGAGGAGAACAACATCCGCTACATCCTCTGCACCAGGGAGGGCACCGAGGAGAGAAGTGCTCTCTCCTTGAACGTCTACTTCGCCCTTTCTCTCGGTACCACCAGCCACCAGCCACCACGCGCGTGGACCAGTCTGACCCTGCGCGGCCACTTGTCTCATCATCAGGTGCGATGATTTCGGGCCACATCGCCCACGCGCGCGACTTGTTTCAGACGGCGAAGGAGCACCTGAGCGACGTGTTCGACATGACCGACTACTCGGTGGCGCAGGCGCTGGTGCCGATGGGCTTCTCTGAGCGATTCTACGCGCACGACGAGGCCGAGGGGTGGCCCGTGACGATCTACTACCTCACCCTGGCCAACCAGATCTGCCGCCGGCTGGGCGCGCTCGCGAGCGACATCTACAGCCGCTGCTCGAAGGCCGTGTACTTCATGGAGGACGTCGACACCGAATCGCAGCCCAATCGCGACGAGTCGGCGCCGCCGGCCACGAAGCAGGACACGTCGTGGGAGGAGGTCATCCAGACCGAGCTCAACTTTCATGAGCGGATCCAGCAGCAGAAGCAGAGCTGGCTCAACTACTCGGGCGCGCGCCGGACCCACAAGATCCTCTACGCCGTCCTGTTCGCCATCGTGCACCTCATGGACGCCATGAACAACCTCGAGAAGCTGCGACAGACGGCCCAGGCCAAGCGCCAGCAGCAGGCCTCGTCGCATCGCATCGAGGAGCCCGTCATCGACGATGACGAGGTGGTGGAGTACACCAAGCGCCGCGGCGCGGGGCGAACGCTGGCGCGCCTGCTCGGCCTCCTCGTACCGAAACCGGCGGCCAGCAGCAGCGAGACCGAAAACGGAGCGAGCGGCAGCAAATGCAACGGCGACTACGGTGCCGCCGCCGCCGACGACGACGAAGAGGAGGACGCGCCATTCTCGCTGAAGAGCGTCAAGGAGAACGGCCTGGGCCGCAAGGACGTGGCCCGGATCGCGCAGTACTTCACGGACCAGCTCCTGCTGCTCGATGAGGAGCTGCTGGTGCTGTACCAGGGCACGGAGATCGGCGAGCGCTACCTGTCGTCGGAGAGCTACAACATGAGCCGCATGTTCATCTACGGCCTCCGGGTCGACAACAAGTGGATCGCGGGCGACCGCGAGGCCGCGCTGGCGCTCATCATGGAGTTCCTCGAGCTCCACCGGCGCGAGAAGGCCAACCTCATGCTGTTCGAGAACAAGCCCACCTTCCAGCGCATTCTCGACATTCTGCTCGAGATGGGCCGCTTCGACGCCCTGCGGCAGCTGCTGGCACAGCTGGCCCCGCTCGTTCAGGTGTCCCCCATCTTCGCCGCCATGTGCGACCACTTCCGCAAAGCGATGGCTTAAAAAAAAATGAGTGTTGAAAATAAAATAAAAATGGCTAAAATGATCCAATGGGCGAGAGGGGCAACGAAATTGGAGTGGAGGCAAGGCAGTCGATCCGACGATCAATCAAAAAAGATCAGACAAGGAAGATGTCAGGACTCGCAGGTGCCAACGATAAGGAGAGGCTCGACAACCTCATCGTCAAGACCCACAAGGAGCAGGCCGTCTGGTTCCTCAACGCCTTTTGGGAGGTACCGATACTGTTTTTCCGCTCGCTGCGGCCATCTTCTTCATTCTGCTGTTCCTCGCTTTCTTTCTTTGCCCTTTTCGTCGTTTCGTTCTTTTTCGTTCTCTTCCCCCCCTTTCAATCTGGGCACTTTTTTTATGTGTTTTAAATGATTTTATTTTATTTATCTGTTCTCATATTTAGCTGTTTTTTTTTCTGGGCGCGTAGGAGTTTGCGCAGAAGGAGGCCGAGAAGGTGTGGTCGTTCGTGCACAAGGCCGTCGAGCTGGACGAGGCCAAGCGCGCCGAGGGCTCGGACTTGGACGAGTTCCAGGCCCACCGCTTCCTCGAGTTCTTCAAGGAGACCCTCACCGTGCAGGCCATGCGCGACAAGCTACGGTCCACCGGCGCCATCGTCGGCCAGGTCAAGCGCGTTCCGCTCACCCATCTCCTCATCTTTAAGTACAACGCCGACTGGCACACGCTTGTCAACGCCCCGCAGGGCAGCCGCGAAGAGATCGCCAAGGCCCAGAAGATGCTGGATGAGGTGTCGGAGGCCTTTGCCGCGGCCGAGGCGCGCAACCAGGAGGCCGCCGAGGCCCTGCGCGCGGCGACGGCCCAGGAGGCGGAGGCCAAGCGCCGCGAGGCCGACGCCAAGGAGCGCGAGGCGGAGGCCAAGAGGCGCGAGGCTGAGGCCCAGCGGTCGGCGGAGGAGGCCAAGCGCACCGAATCGGAGGCCAAGTCGCGCGAGGCCGACGCCCGCGCGCGCGAGGACGAGTTGCAGGCGGCCAAGGCCGAGCTTGAGTCGGCGCTGAACGAGCTCAAGGCCCAGGAGGACGCCTTCAACGGCCGCACGGCCGAGCTGCAGCGCCTGTCCGAGGAGGGCTCCATCGTGCAGAAGAACAAGGCCAAGAACGAGCTCGCCCAGCACCTGTCGTCGGACCCGCTGCCCCTCAGGCGCGCCAAGATTACGCAGGAGGCCGCCGTCAAGAAGGCCGACCGCGCCGCCCAGGCGGCCAAGGAGGCCACCGACCAGGCCTCCGCCGCGCGCGCCGCCGCCGAACAGGCCAGGTACGCACACGACACACACGACCTGGCACGACACACACGACACAGCACACACAACAATGTAGTCCGTGTGACTGACTTCATTGCCGCAACAGAGTGCAGGCCGAGGAGGCTGCGCACCAGGCGTCGCAGGCGCGGGCGATCGCTGAGGAGGCGGCCCGGCAGGCGTCGCAGGCGCGGGCCAGTGCCGAGCAGGCCCGCCAGCGGTCCGAGCAGGCCAAGGCCGCGGCCGAGGAGGCCGTCGAGGAGGCACGCAGGAAGCTTGAGGAGGCCGAGGCCTATCTCGAGGAGGCCAAGAAGAAGATGCCCCACGGCGCCACCTGGTGGATGGAGCGTGAGCTGCATGAGAAGCGGGCCTACCTGCCCAAGAGCCGCGGCGGCTTCAACCCGCGCGAGCAGCAGTAAGCCTGCCCGACTGCAAAAGAAACTTGTTTTCCTTTTACTTTCTATGTTCTTTTCTAATTAGAAAAGAAAATTGTGATCATTCCCTGAACAAGAGAGGAAACCACAATCGTGTGGTGAGGGTGAGCGGTTACGCACAAGAGGGGGAAGATCACGGTGGTGCTGTGTGGGTGGTGCTTGTAGGAGGAGATGTATGTCGATGGAACAAGGCCGTGGCGGTGGTTGATACCCAGCGTCGCGCGATGGCCGACGTTCATCAGATAGCACGTTGATGCATGTACGAACCAGTCCAGCTTTGCCTCCAGCAATGGGGGTAGAGCAGCGGGGACAAAGAGGCGATCGGGTGCGCCTCGGTGTGGCCCAAGAATTAGCCACACCAAACTCACACATCCACGGCTGGCAGCAAGACCAGCATTTCACCAACAAAAAAAGATGACCAACAACCTGGTCCTGATCAAAGTCTCCGCCCTCAACCCACCACCCTTTTTTTTTGAGTGCCGTGTGCCGTGTGTTGTCGTGTTTTGTGTGTGCTGTCCCATTCCGTGAAGGCGTTGCGTTTCCCGCCAAAGCACTTCCAAGAAATTAGAGATACTCAAACTAAAACAAAGAAATAAAACCCCACAAGACAGGTGCCTGGGTGCGACGCAGTCCCAGATAAAGATACAGACATGTCGGTACAGCGACTGGAGGCCAAGTGCGTGGAACTTGTGGCGCGCCGCTATGATCGGTATGCGAGCGCGCTGGAGCGAGCCGGGGCGGCGCCGCAGGTGTGGGACGCCCTGTGGGAGTGCATGGTGCGGCGTAACCTCCTCGCCGTGGGCTCCGCCGAGCGGTGGGACTTCGGCCCCCTCCTGCGCCACCACCTCCGACCTGTCGTCAGCCAAGAAGGCGGCGAGGTGATGGCCCTTGACGTCTCGGGCGACGCCTCCGGTGCCCGTGCTGCGCCGCTCACCCTCTTCGCCTGGCTCGCCGAACAGATTGTTCGCGCTTGCCCCTCCCTCAATCGCCTCGTACGCCCTCCCGTATAAAATAAATAAATAATAACGATAGAATAAATAAAATAAAATAAAATGTAATATTGAGAGTTAAATCAATAAAAAATGTCGATGTTATTTGTTGTAGACTGTGGGCAGCGTGGCGGACAAGGAGCTGGCGACGTTGCTGGCGGGGCTGTCGGAGTTGCGAGGCCTTGAAGTGGAGTCAGCGGTCCCCATCACGGACGACGGCCTCCTGCCCTTCTTCAACGATTCCTCCCTTGCGTCTCGCCTCACCGTGCGCCTTGTCCCTCATCGCGGCCTCACTTGATCGCCTTCTTCTTCTTCTTACCCTGCGGTAATGGTTAACCACGCGCGTGCGCATACAGACGCTTCGATTGAACAGGAATGCGACGCTCGCAGGCGCTACGCTGCGGCGGCTGGTGGAGGCGTGCGCCAATCTGCGCGAGCTGACCCTGACCCACTTCGGGTGCATGGAGCACATCACCTCGGAACTTGTGCACACCATCGCCCATGCGCCGCTCCATACCACCCTCACATCGCTCTGGCTCAATGACTGCAGCCTGGTCACCGATGAAGGTGCGAGGCCCTTGCACCATTGTCGCGCATTGTCGTCGGAATCGTCGTCAAACGCGTTTTGTTGGTTCGCACGCACGCACACCATCGCACACGCACGCAACAGCAATAGCAGATGTGCTGGATCGGTGCACGGCACTGGAGGTGCTGCGCATAGGTATGGGCATGCAGATACAGGGCGAGTGCTTTCTCCACCTCTCGCCGCAGAACGCCGGCGCCAAGCTGCGGCGGCTCGACTTCAACAACTGCCCGCTCCCCCGCCCCACTTTCATGTACATCGCCTCCGTGTGCACCAGTACGCGCGTCTCCTTCTCTCGGCTTGCGTCCGCGTCGCGGCGAGTGTGTGCCTAGAGTAACCCGGCCTGGACACAGACCTGCAGACACTGGGCCTGTCGAACTCGCCCACCCCAATCGACAAGGAGGCGCTCACGTACCTCCTGCAGCAGTGCCCGCACCTCAAGGACCTATCGGCCACCCTCGCCACATCCGACACGTTGACGTACAAACACCTCCACCATAAATTTATAAAATTTATATTATCATTTGTGATATTCTGTGGCGATCTGACACGTTACCCACATATTAACTTGAGATGGCACACAGGTGTTTTGAGAGGGAGAATCAACTGCGCTACCTCTACCTGATGTTGCTGCCCACGGAAGTTGGAATCGGCCAGGCTTTTGACGACGAGCATGTGCGTAGCCTCGCACTGGGTACGTGACCACCTACACGCACGCGCGCACGCCCTCATTCACTCATGATCGTTGGCAGGCTGTCCTCGATTGGAGAGCCTGGACCTGTGCAAGGTCAGCGACAGCGCCCTGTGGCTCCTGACGAGCAAACTCCCCAGCCTACGGACGCTTTCGCTTTACATAGACCGGGCCTCGGGTTCGTCGCTTTAGCTCCACTCAGCTCAGCACAGCACCGCGCACACGCGCATTCACATTTTCTCCAAACAAACAGACCAGTGCAGGACAGAGCTGCCTACGCCGGTGTGTCTCGACCTGGAGTCGTTGCGCCTGTCGTGCAGCAGCATCAACGGAGCGCAGATGCACCACCTCCTATCGACGCTGGCCTCCAGCGACGACAGCGCTGACATGGGTGCGTGCGGCGTATCTCCTCCTTTGCTGCTGTGTGTGGGTGAGCCCAATGAAAGTAGGCTCATGCCGGTGCGGCCGCTGCGGCTTGGCAGGCTACCGGCGCGGGCTCAAGGAGCTGCACCTCACGAGCTGTCCCAACGCCGACGACGAGGTGCTGGGGTGGGTCTCGCTCTGCTGTGCCGCCGCCCTGCGCAAGCTCGCGCTCTACGCCTGCCCGATCGGCGATCGCGCCATGGAGGTCCTCGCCCGGTGCTTCGTGCTCGAGTCCCTCAGCTTCAAGAAGTGCGACCAAGTATCGCCAGCCGCCGCCTCTCGGTACCACCCCTTAACGCACGCACACATACACACACGCTCCATCGCACACGCTCACAGCTTTCCTGTGGCTGGCGCTACCAGACTGGTGCGGTTGCGGCGCGACAGCCTGCTGCAGGTGTTCTTCCCTCAGGGGCCGCACTTCAGGAAGGAGACGTTGGCGCTGGTCAAGGACTTGCCCCACCTCCGCATCGCCTAGCTCTAACAGGCCACCATGACGAGCTTGTCTACACGCGTGTTTGCTTCATGAACTTTGTTTTGTTGAATGTGGAGTTGTACAAGATGTTGTGGGAGTGTGTTGGTTTACTGCCTGGGCTGGGGCGTTCGTGCGGCGGTGATGCGGGTGAGGCCGAACACGAGGAGGCCGGCGGCGGCAGCGGAGCCGACGACGAGGCCCATCATGCGGTTGTAGGAGCGCAGGACGGGGGCGTCGACGATGCCCGGTCGGTACATGCACCCGAGCGAGGGCCGACTCACGAGGCCGGCCATCTTGGGGTTGTGCTCCATCCCCAGAAAGGCCTTGGCCTGCTGGGTTCGGGCGGCCTCTTGTCGTTGCGCCAAGGCGTGCAGAGAAGAAAGCTGCTTGTTCATCTTCACACGCACTCTCAACCAAAAAACACAGCTGCGATAATGATAATCAGGTGTTGTGTGATGATGCCAGGCAATAACGTTGGTCTATCTCTTCCGCGATTACGCATCGTTGCCACATCTGTAGAAAAACACAACAAAAAGTTGAGGAAAATATTGAAGAAAAAAGAGAAGTCAAGGAAAAAGGGAAAATATTGAAGAAATCAACAAGAGTAGACGAGAGCAATGCGGGGAGTGCGTCTGGCGAGCGATGCCCGCTTCGGTGGCCCCCAGCTCGCTGGTATGTGGCATCCACACCATGCTGCTCACCACCGCAGCGCCTTCCAACGTTGGTGGGCGGAGCCAAGTAGAGCGGGGGTGGTGGGTCTGAGGCCTCAGTCGGGCGGCCTCAGCCGCACCCCGCTGCTCCTCGCTCGTTCTGCGGCTTCGCCCCTCGATTCGCGATGGATGGGAGACGCCCGGCGCCCCCTCAGCCTCTCCGCTATCGCTGCCGCCCGGCCCCGGAAAGATGCAGCGTCGGTGGCCCCAGCCGCGCCCAAGCTCGAGGCCGAGGAGGCCACCAAGCCACGCCGGCGGAGGGCCAATGCCAAAGCGACGGAGGAGGACGTCGGGACAGTGTCCGAGCATCATGATAAGCCGAATAAGACGGAGACGAAGACGAAGAGGGCAGCACCAGCCAAGGCTCCGTTGTCGACGGAAGAGGCAGCCGCCGACCCGAAGACGACGACGGCGGACAAGAAGCTGAAGGCATCGAAGAAGACCAAGGCCAAGGCCAAGGTGGTGGACGAGCTCTCGGGAGAGGAGGTCGCCGGCAGTGGTACGCCGATGAAGAACGCGCGTAAAGGAGGCGAGAAGGCACCCACCACCACCACAGGAGAGATGGAGAAGACGAAGAAGGCCACCAGGAAGACGTCTTCCACGCTCAACAACGACTTCGACTACGTCTACCACAGCAATAATGCTGTCGACTCTATGGACGCTATGGCCGCAGCCGCAGCCGCAGCCGCCGACGCCGACGCCGGCGCTGACACCGATGCCGAAGCCGCCCAGCACCGGATGAAGAGAATCACGCACTCCGTGCGGGAACTGACGCGCTCGCCTGGTGAGATAGGGCACATCAACGACGGTGGCAACAAGGCCGCCGGCGCGTCGGAGAACCTGGACGACGAAGAACTTGGAGACGAGCTGCAGTTGGAAGACGAGCTGAAGTTGAACGACAGGCAGATCGCGGCGGTGGAGCTGGCGATCGGCATTCCCGAGCGGAAGATCAAGGCCGCGCTCCGCCTGCGCCTCGTCGAGGGCAACACCGTCCCGTTCATCGCTCGCTACCGCCAGGTACCGTCGTCGTCGTCGACAATTCATGTGTGTGGGTGGTGGCTGACGCGTTTCATGGGGCGGCTACCATCCAGGAAATGACAGGCGGCCTCGATGAAGAGGAGATCAGGAAGGTCGAGAAGGAGTACGAGTATCAGCGCCGCCTGGAGCTACGCAAGGAAGCCACCATCAGTGCCATCGCCAAGCAAGGAAAGCTCACTGACGAGGTATGGTCCCTCGGGCTCATCATCATCATCATCATCATCATCATCATCATCATCATCATCATCATCATCATCATCATCATCACCGAGCTTAAGGACAATCAATTGATGTTCATCGTCGCCGCAGTTGGCAGAGACGATTCGGAGCTGCACGAAGCTGCAGAGGGTGGAAGACCTCTACGCGCCCTATAAAGAGAAACGGTGCGCCGACCCATCATCACCATCATCGTCATCGCCATTATCTAGGAACCACTCTCACTTGGGCTTGGGCCTGGTTGCACGTGGAACGAACGCGCAGGAAGACGCTGGCGTCGGCGGCGATTGCCAAAGGCTTGTTGTCGCTCGCACAGCAGGTACTCGAGCGGCGGATAACCGACGCAGAACTCGACGCTCATGTGGCGCAGCACGTCGACGAGGAGAAGGGGCTGCCGCGACCCGAAGACGTCATCGAGGGAGTGAAGCACATCATCGCCGAGATGGTGGCCGATAACCCCGAGGCGCGTACCCACCAACTTCAATTCATTCATTCTCTCAGCTCGCTCGGCTCACTTCTTCCCACACAGGTCAAGGGCGGGGCGCGCGATCTTTTCGAACGGATCGCATACATCAACGCTACGCGCGCCGCGGAAAGCGATAGCAGCAAGTCCACCGCCAGCGATGGCAGCGTCTACGCACACTACGAGGTATGGTACCCACATATATGCGTATGTTTCTATTTTTTATTTATATATAGTGTTTACATTTCAATTTTACTCGTAGAATTTCTCGAAGCTGGCACGCTACGCGAAGGCCCACCAGATCCTGGCGCTCAACCGCGGCGAGAAGCAGAAGTTTCTCAAGTTTGACATCGTCGCCGACCATCAAGCGCTGCTGGACCTGATACGCAAGGACTACAGGCTGGTGCACCACCAGCCAGCAGCGGCGTCCGACGACGGGAAGAAGTTGAGCGTGGCGGCTGCCGCCGGCGGTCAGGTCGTGGAGGTCATCGAGCAGGCGATTGCAGACTCGCTCAACCGGCTGCTCCTGCCTTCGCTGAAGCGAGAGCTGCGCGCCAAGCTCACCGAACAGGCCGAGCAGCAGGCCATCTCCATCTTTGCGCGCAACGTCGAGAACATCCTCATCGCACCTCCCGTCCGGTGCGCCCACCTGCCCTCAGACTATTCCCTCGCTCGCCTTCGCTCATGGTTGTTGTTGTTGTTGTTGTTGTTGTTGTTGTTGTTGTTGTTGTTGTTGTTGTTGTTGTTGTTGTTGTTGTTGTTGTTGTTGTTGTTGTGACCTACAGAGGCAAGACGATCCTGGGAATTGATCCGGGCTTTAGGTCAGGCTGCAAGCTGGCCGTGATCGACGAGGTGCGCAACTCCTCATCTGCAGATACTCAGCCATCGCCGCACGTTTATTAAAAAGAATAGAAGAGAGATTGAGTTGTTTTTTTTGGCTTATGGCGTGTAGAAGGGGCAGCTGGTTGAAGTGGACACCATCTACCCGCACAAGAACGCTCGTAGCTACTCAGTACGCACCAACGCACCTGCATTCCATTTATCTAATTTAAATATTTAGAAATAAATTAAATCGATATAGTTTAAATATCACGTGTTGCCACGATCTCACTTGGTTGGTTCGGACAGGAGGCGATGACTCGATTGGCGGAACTGGTCGTTGCGCATGGCGTCAATCTGGTGGCGATCGGCAACGGCACGGGCCATCGCGAAGCCGAGGAGTTGGTGTCGGAGACCATCAAACGCCACCTGCCCGACCACGAAGCCCTGCAGTGCGCACCATCGCCTCCCCGCCCCTCCCTCAAGCAGCATGGACGTGGCTCACTGTGTGTGTTCGGGTGCAGGTTCGCGATTGTCAGCGAGTCCGGCGCGAGCGCCTATTCGGCCTCGCCCGAGGCGGCCCAAGAGTTTCCCGAACTAGAGGCCCAACAGCGCGGCACCGTCTCCATCGCCCGCCGCCTCCAGGACCCTCTCAGCGAAATCATCAAGGTACTGATGCTGATGCTGCTGATGATGATGATGATGATGATGATGAGGAGGAGGGGAGGAGGGGATCGGTGATGGCGCTGCTGACGCTGATGACGACGTGCCACGTCATCTCCTGCAGGTCCCGGTGGAGAATATCGGGGTGGGCCTGTACCAGCACGATGTCGACAGGAAGGGCCTGGTGCAGGCGATCGGCGAGAGCATCGAGAAGGTGGTCAATCGCGTGGGCGTGAACCTCAACACGGCCTCGCTCTCCCTCCTGCAGTACGTGTCGGGCCTCGACGCCGGCCGCGCCCGCAAGATTCTGGCCTACCGCCAGCAGAAGCCGGGGCCGATCGCCAACCGGGCCGAGCTGCGTAACGTGTCGGGCATCGGGGCCAAGACCTTCGAGCAGGCCGCCGGGTTCCTGCGGGTCTATCACCGGGGCGAGGGCAAGGAGCCGCTGGATGCGACGTCGATCCACCCCGAGAGCTACGGCAAGACCTACAAACTGTTGGAAATGCTGGGCATCTCCAGAGAAGATCTCATGAAAGAAGGCACCGCACACGACGCAACACGACCCATGACACATGACACACACACACGCGACACACGACACACACACACAAACGCATGGCAGGACCATTCATGTGTTAACCGCGACACAGAGAATCACGTGGTCAGATTGGTCACGCGAGCGCTCCGCGACGTCGAGAGTGATCCGGTCTGGCGACGGAGCGTGCAGCAGCAACTGGACGTGGGCGAAGCGACCCTCGAGGACATTCTCACCAACCTCAAGAAGCCCGGGCTGGACATCCGCGACGACCTGCCCCCGCCGCTCTTTCGCCGGGTGCGCCTGCTTTATTTTTATTTCTTTCATCTGATGTATTATTAATAATTTTAATCATTTATTAATTTATTATCATTTATGGGCTTTCACAGGAGGTGGCCACCATCGGCGATCTGAAGGTGGGCGACGAGCTAATGGGCACGGTCACCAACGTGGTGCCCTTTGGCGCGTTCTGTGACATCGGCGTGGACACCACGGGGCTCTGCCACGTTCGCCATTTGTCGCCCGACCCCACGAATGACCGGAGGAAGGAGGTCGACGTCTCCGACCTGGTCGCAGGTATGTTGATTGATCTTCCACACAACATCACATTCCACCCTCACATTCCACATTCATCATATTTACATTATATTGCAGTGGGGGACGTGTTGAAGCTGAAGATCATCAGCATCGACCTCGAGCGAAAGCGGATCGGCCTCCAGAACCTCTCGTCCGCCACCAGCGACCCCGTACTTCCTGTATAACACTTCGCGCGCCTTACGGACTAAGATTGATGTTTGGCAATGCAAAGTGTTTTGCTGCTTCCGTAAATCAATACCATTTTTGTTTATGGCGTTTTGACGATCATCAAAGGCGAAGAACAGAGACTGAAGATGGACCCCTGGACTGTACCCACTTTGCGAACGGGAAGGCTCACCCTCTCCACCTCCCTTGTCATGCGCACGCAGGGCGTGAATGACCTCTTCGTCAACCCCTCCCAGGACCGGTACATACGCCTGCCAGAACTGAGTCTAGTGGTAAAAGCAAACATATCACTTTCTGGCCCAAACAGTCTAAGAGGGGAGGTCGCCCCCAGCCCCAGCTCGGGCGTTTCGATGCTGCAGCTCAACACTGAAAACGGGGAGCTTTTTGCGCTCTACCCCACCAACTACCCTTCCATCTTGAAAGATCGTGTGCCAGGTACCTTGTTTGTCTACATAGGCAGCGACAGACCATGGGAGCTGCTCACAACGGTGGGTGTTCCTGTTGGCCTGGCTGAACCAGAGGCTGAGTGGAAGAAGATTGTGGACAAGATCAACGAGATATGGTCGGTACTGGTGACAGCGCACAAGAAGGTGTACTCGGGCAACCTGCTGTCCTACACCGTCTTCGCCGTGCCGGTCCACCTCCACAAGGAGCACAAGTTCCGCGCCCTGGAGAGGCAGATCCTCCAGGAGATGGGCACCTACCTCGATCAAGTGCGATGCCCCCCATTATTATAACACGCACACGCACACGCCCACCGACACGCACCACCGCACACACGCACACGCACCACCGCACCACCGCACACGCATACACTAAACACCACTTAACAGGAGAATATCAAGATTGCGGACAAGGGAGTCGCTATCTTGTTCTTCAAGGAGGAGGCAGAAGGCGACTTGCCCACGTCCTACTTCATCGAGATCAGGCGGGAGTAGTAAGGTCATAGAGCAGCCTGGCTGGGCCTGGCGGCGAAAAATACACGCGGCCTTTCGATTCATTTCCTGTTGCGCGAGCTTGAGCTCACGAAGGTGCAACAGTGGCTTCACGCATTGTTGAGGATGGCCCGTGCGCAGTTCTTGCCGGCAGCGCCCATCACGCCACCGCCCGGGTGCGCACCCGAACCACACAGGTACAGTCCTGTGCGTGCGCGCGTGCCCGCTCGCGATGTAAGAAATCAACCATCACACACAGGGACGCAGCGAAAAAAGGGGTGTAGTGCAAACCGGGAATCGGTGTTTGGTAGCGGGCGAAGCCGGACGACGGGCGCATGAAGAACAGCTGATTGAGCCCCATGGCGCCGTGGAAGATGTTGCCGCCTGCCCACCCGATGACGCGCCGCGGCCGAGTGAGTTGGGCACCCACAGAGCCGGCGAGCGAGCGAGAGACTACGTACCGGTGAGCCCGAACACGCGCTCCAGGTCGGGAGGCGCCAGGATGTCCTTGAAGATGACCGACTGCTTGAAGCCCGGCGCGTACTGGTCGATGAGCGAGAACACCCTGTCGGCGTACTCCTCCTTGGTCTTCTCGTCCCACGTTCCGCCCTGTGATGAGTGGTGTGGTGAGGGGAGAAGGCCGCGGCCACGTCAGCGGCAGATGGTGGCCAGGCCACGAAGCAGAGGGAAAAGGGGGCGATCGGGCGGTCCGTACGCGGATGTGGTAGGGCGCGTATTGGACGAAGAGGGACGCGACGTGGTGGCCCTCGGGGGCCAGCGTGGGGTCGAGCGAGGAGGGAATCGTCATTTCGATCACCGGCTTGCGCGAGGGCGTGCCCTGATGGTACCATCGGGTCAGCAAAAGTTGAGAAAATGAAATCATTTTAAATTAACAACTAATAAATAACAAATATTAAATAATAAGTAGACAGATAAAAACAGAACCGGTTACAAACAAAATATGAGCGAATAAATAATAAATAATAAATAAAGTCTACCTGCAGGGCGTCCTGGTAGGCGGTCTCGATGTCGGCCATGGACTCGGCGCCCAGGTGGATGGTGCATCGGTGCTGCGGACCCGCTGTAGAACGCGCCACAGGGTCAGCGGTCTACAACTTTAGATATGGCCCAAGCTCACCAAGAAGCATCGCGAGGGGGGGGTCAAGGGGCGCTCTGGCTCTGGTTTGGTGCGCACCTACGCCGGGGGCTTGGTTGGGGAGGCAGGTGAAGTTGGGGATCTGGTTGAGGGCGATGTTGATCTTCATCACCGGCGACGTATAGTCGTAGTGCTTGAGCTGCTGCCTGCGTACACCAAGTAAAAGTCAGGTCGGCACGCACGCACGCACCACTGCACACACACACACACACACACACACACGCATCACCGCACACGCACACGCACACGCACACGCACACGCACGAGAAAAACACCACTTCGTTTGTACCTGAAGCTGCTGGGCAGCCGGGCCTGCGATTCCTGGGAGAGCAGCGAGTGGAACGTGACTTCGGGCGTCGCGTTGGAGATGACCAGGTCGCTCTCCAGCTTGGTGCCGTCCGCCAACTCCACGCCGCTAGCGCCACGCTCTGCGTACCGGGGCCTTTAGTTTTTTTTTTTCGAATATAAAAATTTCTTGTTTGTGGAGAAGCGCAGGTGGTCTGACAGTACCTGACACGATGATGGACTTGACGGCGGCGTCGGTGACAATGGTGACCCTAAGCAGCGCAGGAGACGTGCACGGTGTGAGCAATGCGAAGCACGCACGCAACTCGACTCAAAGGCCAAGCGCAAGGTATGTATGTACCCTTCGTCAGCGGCCGCAGAGGCAATCGCCCGCGAGATCGAGCCCATGCCGCCTTCGACGTAGCTCCACGCGCCCGGGATGCCGTCCGTCTCTCCCATGACTGCCAACATTTTTTTAAACAAGATAATATGTATTTGTTTTGTTAATAATAATAATAATTTTATTAATTTTAAAATTATCAACCATGCATTGTGGCGGGTGGTAAGGGCTGTGTACCGTGATGGAGGAGTACGTAGCCGCTGCCGGGCACTTGGGGGCTTGTCATGGCGCCGATGATGGCATCAGTGGCCAGTGTCGACTTCAACGGCTCGGATTCTGCACGCGCCATTTAGATGTGGGAAACAACGGCCTCGGCCACGGCCACAGCCACAGCCACAGCCACAGCCACAGCCACATGAATAGATACACTTACCGAACCACTTGTTGAGAATCTGTGCGGCGGGTGCCGTGACGATTTCGTAGAGGGGAGCGATGTCCTTGCCCAGCTTTGCGGTCCGCAACCCCAGTCGGGAGAGCGACGCCAGCTTGTCCAGCACCTACGATGATGGTGATTCCGTTGTCATCATCAAGAAGACGGGAGTGTTATGAGTGAACACGTCCACAGAGTCGACATCGAGGCTGTCACGACGTGTGGCGACGGTGGGTCGAACCTGCTTGGGGCTGCCCGAGAAGGGCGACTCGCCCAGGTTGGGCGGAATCTCATCGATGAGCGGGTTGATAAAGTGGACCAGCTTGTCGAGCATGGCCTCGTACTCGGGGTACGCCTCCGCATCGGCCTTGGAAAACTATATGTAGTATTCAAGCAAAGCAATGTAGTGTAAAAACATGTAATGTAGATAATGTGGTGAGCAATAGATTGGCTTTGAAACAACGTTGGGCGGATGGGTAAACTCACCTGAGCGATCGCGCGCTGGGTCTCCTCCATGGTGCCGCCGCCCATGAGCAAGTAGCGTCCATCGAGCAGAGGGGTGAATGACGACGGGTTCCTTTGATACAGCTTCACTCCATACTTCTACACAATTCACACAACACACGCACCACCGCACACGCACACGCACACACGACACCGCACACGCGACACAGCACAAGTCAGCGGGCGGAGAATGTCGGGGCGTCGTTTCTGTAGAATGCCAAGTATGTGCGGGAGGAGGCGGTTGAGGGGAAGATGAAAGCGGTACTTACCTCCTTGAGCTTGAGGTCCTTGAAGATTTGGGGTCGGAACAGGCTGCACAGGTACGACGCCCGCGAGAACTTGTAGCCCGGCAGGAGCTCCTCTGTCACCGCCGCCCCACCCACGACGTGCCGCCGCTCCAGCACCGCCACCTTTTTGCCTGCCTGTCGAGCGCCCAAAGATTTAATCTCGTTTCCTCCATTGCTCAATCGATTGAATCAAATGAAGTGAATTGAATGGGAGGGCACCTTAGCGAGGTAGGCAGCGGTGACGAGGCCGTTGTGTCCGCCGCCCACAACGATGGCGTCCCATTTGCGGCCAGACACTGTGGCCGAGGCGGCGGCGGCTGTAGTGTATGACCGCACGCTGCGGGCCGTAGCAACAACCCCGCTCCGTACAACTTGCTGCTCGCGCGACACCGACCCCAACACTCGACGCATGACTCTCGACCTACTCTTCTGCTCGGCACAACAAAATGGACCAAGCCCGGCCGAGAGAACATAATAGCGACAAGCAATATTGTCGTTTTTGCCGACAACATGTCCCGCACGTGCAGCCCAGAAGTCAACAAACATCAATAGGGGGAGACGAAAGTGAGAGAACCCAACGTTGTATTCTTCTTCTCCCGATTACTGTACAGTTCGCGAGCTGCATGCAGGTGCTGTGGGTCTAGTGTCGCTCCTGTGTGGAAAGACGGTTTAAAAAAGTGAGTGAAGGCGAACTCGCGAGCGAGGTCGGAGGTGGTCATTTCAAGGAGACCAGGGTACCTTATCTCCGCCGCGGTGCAGCAGATTCTTGAAGCTGAGCCGCTGCGCAACCTGTCCATCACCACCACCACCACCCGACACCCCAGCAGCACGTTCAGCCGAATGCACACCGGCGTAGCAGGACGGTGGTGTGACACGTACGGAAAGCTGCTTCTTGGGCGTGGGCGATCCCTTGGCGCTGTCGCTGGCGCCCTTGCCCTGCGGCGTCTTCTCCTTGTCGTGCGCGGCGCTTGCGGCCGGTGGCGATTCGGAGTCCGAGCCGCGCGCGATCGCGGGGCTGCGCGGACTCGCGGCGCTGCTGCTTGAACCCAGCCTCGTGCGCGAGCGAACCGACAAGCGCGGAGTGGTGTCCTCGTTGCCCGCTGACGTCGCGCCGACCACCGGCGAGTGCTTGCTCTTGAGCGTTGCGTACTTGCGCGGGCTCTGCCCCGTGGCCAACCCTGGTGACCCTGTGGGAGTGGCCGAGCCGCTGCTGCTCTGATCGGGCGACTGCGACGGCGACAGCGGCGGATCGAACGGAAGCAGGGCCGCGCGGCTCTTGCGCCGGCCGCTGATGGTGAAGCTCTTGCGGGCCTTGCCCGCAGTCCGGATTGGCTCGGCGTCTTCGCTGACCGAGCGGCAGGCCGCCATACCGTCGGCCCTGGGGCTCGGGGACTTGGTGGTCTTCTCCATCGCCGCGCGGGTCTTGAGCCCGCCCGCCGAGAGCGACATGGAGCGGTTTTGCTTCGACTCCAGGGCGCCGGGGCTGTTGAGCAGCGCCAGCAGCTCCTCCTTGGCGCTGCCCTCGTGCGGCACCGCCCCCATCTGGGCCGAATTGCGCGCCGACGACGGCGTCAGTGCCGGGCTCTGCTCGCCATCCTCCTCTACCGCCGCACCTCCCCCATCTGCACACCATCGTCATCACCACCCGCATGCGAGTTGGTTAGCAACCAGCCTGGAATCGATTTCTCAACGTAACAAGGTGGTGTGCACCGGAGATCTCCTGCGACTTCCACATGTTGCCGACGCTGAAGCTGCGGGTGAAGCGCTTCCATTTGTTGTCGCGCTTGGTCGTTGGTTGCTGCTTGGCCGGCCCGGCCCAGTCGTTCTCCTCCTCGGACGTTTGCGCGTCGGAAGACCGCATGCCTCCGGTCCCACTCTCCGCGGAGGCAAGGGCCGAGGAGGCGGCCTCGATCGTCACACGGGGCGAGGCCGCGCGGGACGAGGCCGGCGAGGGCGCCTCGGAGTCCGAGCAGAAGGAGCCGTGGCGTCGCCTTGACCCGATGTGGTCGCGCTCGCTCGCGCTGTCTGAATCCGCGGAGAAGTCCACGCTGCTCCGCCCTGCGCACACGAACCGAGAGGGAGAGAAAGAGCGAAGCGTTCGCCGCTTAATTCTTCGTTTCCCTAAAGTACGAACCGGGAGGGGGAGCACCTTCGGACGCAGAGTCGTCGTAGAATGAGGAGTACGACGACTGGGACTCGAGGCCCCGCCGCTTCCCCAGAGTGTTGCGGCGGTTGCGAAGCGAGGCCTTCCGGCGCGGCGATGCGCCGGTGATGCTGTCGGCCGATGTGGTGGTCGCCACGCGCGGGCTGGGTCCGGACTCGCCGCCGCCGTAGGTGGCGGGCGGCGACGACAGCAGCTTGATCCGCTTTTCCGTCGACTCGAGGCGCAGCACGCTGATCGCACTGTCCACGGACTGCGATTGACGCGACCCCACGGCGTGCGTCGGTTGGGAGGAATGGACCAGGAGGGCCTTCTTCTCCGTCAGCATGAGCGAGTAGTTCTCTTCGATATCGGGAAAGCCCTCCACGCCCGACACATCGACCTGCTCCCACGCCAGCGATTCTACGAAATAAAATAAAATAAAACAAATATTAATGGCTAACAAGAAAAAACAAGAAAAAGAGAAAGAACGAAGAGAGAAAGAGAAAAGCGAAGACGATCTTGGGGATCGCGTACCGGTGCGAAGAACGAAGAGCAGATGTTGATTTCGATTGCCGGGAGACGAGGTTCCGCCCACGAGGAAGATATCGTCCCCGTACGCACTCGCCTTGTGTCCCGCCAGCGCCGGAAAATCGGGACCGGCAGTCCACGACATGTCCTCTGCACCACAACGCGACGTGGTGTCAGCCAATACACGACACACACGACACACGCGTCAGCGGGTACCGGTGTTGAGAATGTAAATTCGACGCGAGGCCTCGCCGTCTGAGCGCCGACCGCCGACCACGAATATGCGTCGACCGACCGCTGTGGCCGAATGACTGCAGAGGCCGGGCGGCGCCTCGCCGGTGGTGGTCGCCGCGGTGTTCCATCGCCAGGTGCGTGTGTCCAATATGGACACCTCAGTGTAGTGAACGCCGCCATCGTCCTTGCCGCCCAGCACATACACACAGTCTTCAACGAGAGTCGCCGAATGGCCACTCCTGGGTCCGAGCTCAGCTGAATTGGCCAGCTTGGCCTAAGACACAAAATCTCACGTAAGCCTCGTGTGCGGTCGTGCGGTGGTGTGCGTGTGCGTGTGCGATGTGTGTCATAGCTCGGGAGGGTGTCGCACCTTTTCCTGGAGCCAGGTGAAGTTCGAGCACTGGAAAAGATGAACGTCACCTAGGGCGGCACGGCCGTCGATGCCTCCAATGAGCACGATGACGTCCTCCCCCTCGTGCTTGATCGCCGTAGCGCTGTGCCCTCGCCGCGGTGAGGGACCCTTGCCGGTCTTCTTCCTCCGCATCCACGTCAGCTCGTCTGTTAAATAAATAAATTTATAAATAAATAAATGATAAAACACGTGATAAAAGCAAGCGCGTACTGAGATCGAGCGTCCAGAGACACTTGCGGAAGCGGGCGGCAGTGGAGCCGCCAAAGAAATACACCATGTCACCGCACCGGGCCGCCGCTGAACCGTGTAGCCAGAGCCTGCGCTTGTCCCCGAGTGGCTTCGTTTCCAGGTCGACTGCGGCAGAAAAAGAGAACAGGGTGAGCCTTAGAGAGCTCGAGAGGGAGGAGTTATAGCTCCGGTGTGCCACGTACGGGTCCACTTGTGCTTCGTGTCGCCGATGGCCTCATCGAACTTGGCTATCCACTCCTTGACGTGCGAGGGCGAGGCGACGGTGACAATGAGCTTCGACTCCTGCGGGCTGGCGTTGAGGCTGGTCAGGTGACACGTCAGCCGGAACGAACAACCGTTGCTCGACTCCTCGGGCTCGACCGTGATCGCCGACACCGACGACAGACACTTGAACTGCATCATACGCCTGCTGTGACAAATCATCAGTGATGTCTAAAGCACGAGCGGCATAAAGCGCTCGCACGTACCCTCCTCTTGACTCCTTTTCCTCCTCTTTGGCGATGATCAAGATGTCGTTGAACAGGTACAGGGTGCGTTCGAGCGTCGACGCGACGCCCTGCTTGGTCAGTACCACTTTGCCCTCGTGGATGAACCGGCGGTGGGGTTGAATCAGCTTCTGCGCGCGCGCACACACACACAACGACGGAAAGCATTCAGCCTCTTGGTTCAATGATAGAGAATAAGTAATATGAGAAGAGGCTGCGTGTACCTCCTTGAGGCCGTGTAGCTTCTTCTGTATTTCGGCGAGGCGAAGGAAGTTATCGGACGTGCGCTTGCTCTGGTCGATGTACTGCGCCAATTCGCTGATCATCTGCACCGCTTCGCCCAGCTTGGCGTGCTCCTCCGTATCCGTGACCGGATCAGTGCTGCGATGCAAATCCTGCACGGATTGAGCACAACTGTCAGTTCGCACATGTCCTGATGCGCGTGTTGCGTGTTGCGTGCTGTGTGCTGCGTGTTGCGTGTTGCGTGTGAACGTGTTTCTCATGATAACCTTGAGTAGTAGGATGTAGCGGGGTATTCGTTGGATGGGCATCACCAGCAGCGACGACAGATCGTTCCTCTTCAACTGCTCCAGATTCTGGGCCTTCGTTTGCTGCGTACAGGGGTGGTGTGAGCGCAATGACCGGCAGTTGAAAGTACTCTTGGGGGGCTTGTGACTGGAGGTACGCACCTCGAGCCAAGCACGAAAGGTCGCGTTGGCCTGCTGCTTCTTCAACTCCTGCAGGGCGGCTCCATAGTTGTTGATGTACGACGTGTACAGCTTCAGCCCGGTGCCCTGCGCACAGCCCAACAAACACGACCCCTTGAGCCAACCGCACAAGGGCGCGCACATGAGGTGTGGCGCGTGTGTGTGGTGCAAGGTGGTTCATGTACCATCCGGAGAAAAATGTCGCCCAGGGGCGAGCCGGACGCCGAGGCGGCGGAGAGGTCGGCCAGGAGCTGAGAGTTGAAGAAGTGAATGGTTTCCACGTCCGAAAAAATGCTTCGTACGCTGTGGACATCGATCACGCCCCGGCCTGCCTTGGCCAGCTCCTTCAGGGGTTTGGCGTAGGCCTTGAAGAAGAAGAAAAAAATAAAAAATAAAAGCACGAGGCAGTGAGTGCGACTACGCTCCGACGTAGTTCCAGGGCGAGCAACACCAGGGCGCCCGAACGACATGAAAACAAAATAGGACTAAATAAATAAATAATAAATTAATAATAAAAGAACGAAAACAAAGAACGAAGGGAGAAACAGGGAGGAAAGATGAGCAATGATGGGACGAACCTGAACGAGAAGGGATAGAAAGGAGACATACGCGCGCTCCGTTTCTATCACTTCGTTGATGATGTGCTTCCGTTTATCCTCCTTCGATTGCAAAACGGCGGATGGGGAGGGTGCAAGATGGTAAGCCCTCCGAAATCTTTACTTGCCAGGCGAGGGGCAGCGTACCATCATGGAAGAAAGAGCTGCGGGAACCACCAGCTACCTTGGATGAAAAACCGAGATGTGGTTTGTTCACGTCCGCGAGCCGTTGTTGTCCCGAGTTCTGTTGGAGCTTTTTGTTGTCCTCTGTTCACTCCGGTGACCAAAAATATTACGAGCTTTCTTGTCGACAACGCAACCACCTGCACGAGGTTGAACAAGAGCCGATCTGGGGGACAACTCTCGCAGCCAAGAGGCTGCAACTGATCCCGCCGGCTCTCATCAAGTAGTAGTAGTGGAGGTCCTGGCAATGTCACTTCTTCCGTCCGGCAGCGGCGAGCTGCCGCTGTGTGCTGGTGATGGCCTCGTCTGACTCCGGGGTGGTCAGCTTCCCGCCGACAAAGCCCTCCATCTGGCCGAGCCACACAAGATATGTCGCATCAGAGAATGGACAAACAACAACAACAACTTCTCATGGGATGATGGTATGCACCTGCCGTATGAGCGGGTAGTCAAGCAGCTCCAGCAACATGGCGGCAGTCTGCATACATACATTTAGTTTAATAAATGGGTGAGCCGCGGCTCCTCGGTTTAGATATGTCCAAAAGCGCACCTTGGGGTGCTGGGTCTTGCACTCCTTGTCGGCCCTCATCGCCACCTTTCCAACAAACTCTTGCAAGTACTGCATTGCAACCACAGACAAAGTTAGTTTTGTGCGTGTGCGTGTGCGTGTGCGTGTGCGTGTGCGTGTGCGTGTGTGCAGACACATTGTTCGCGAGGTTTGTCATACCGAACGCAGGACTTCGTTGGTCTTTTCCAACTCTGCAATCCTCTTCTGTGCTTCCTCTCGCTTCGCAGGAGCGCCAGCTTGTTGCTCGAGCGCATTTGACAGCACCACGCCCTGTAGTCAGATCAGAGAGACGAAAAATCAAAACCGATGCCAAGACATCACCACTCACACGCAGTGAGATTGCACAACTCACCTTATTGAGCCATTGCATGCCGTTGAGGAACTCATCGTAGGTGATCACTCGACGGTTACCGGCCAACTTCTGGAACAGGGACGCCACTTCTTCCCGAGTTGCTCGGATTCCTGAATGAGCGCGCAAGCGGTTAGTGAGCAGCAGACGCCTTTGTTGACTAGACTTATCGGTAAACCAATTCTATGTAGGATTGGGTGGATAGCGCACCCAGCTCTACAAACACCGCGTTCAGTTCATCCTGCACCAGCAAACCGGGGTCAGCCCAGCCGAGCTTCGTCAATCAATGGCATGGAGAGAATAAATGAAACGAATTCATCGGCACGTACCATATCAATGGATCCGTCTCCGTTCTTGTCGCACAGGGAAAACAGTTCGCGGACGTGGCCGACCTCCTCCTGCTGCACACCCTGCTGCACGAGATCCGCGAGCGTCCTGCTCCGCACCAGGGGACGTGGAATTGTATGCCCCTTGGGCGATGGCGACGGTGACGCAACAGCAGCCGTAGGACGGTGGATCGTGGGGGAGGACGCCAGCGGCGACGCCGGAGAACTAGCGGCGTGTGGGTTGTTTGAGTTTAGTCGCCACGATCGTGTTGCACGGGCACAGGGCAGCCTTACCCGGATGGTCGGGGCATGTCGCGAGCGCCAGCCGATGCGCGCCGTGCTTGCGGACTGACTGTGGGGGCATTCAGCCTTCTGCATCAGGGTGCGATGTGAGTCTTCCGGGCTTATAAGGAGCAAGCCCGGGCATTGATGTACTGAGGCGGGGGACTGGCCGACTTGACGGGCGCGGGCGCGGGCGAGGCAGGTGCTGGGGCTGGGGCTGGGGCGGCTCGGAGAATGTACAGGCCCTAGAGCGAAACTGTTAGTGTTACGGGTAAGGGAGCAACAGCACAGCAGCTGGAGGGCGCCCTCACCTTGCGCAGACCCTGAATGCCGGTGACGAACTGTTTGAAGGAGAGGGTGCCGGTTTGGTCGTCATCGAGCTCGTTGAAAAACGAAATGAACTCTTCCTTGGAGGCCTCGACTCCCTGCTTGTGCAGGAAGTTCCACATCTCCCTCTTGCTCACCTGTGGTTGAGAGCTCAGTACACCACTAGTATCCTCAAGGTTGCACGCAGCAGAGGTAAGGAGTTGAGGTGTAGTAGATACCGTGCCGTCTTGGTCTTCGTCGCACTCTTTGAAGAACTTCTTCATCTTTGCCAGTTCTCCTTCGCTCAGGCCACCAGTCTCCTCGATAAACTGAGTGACGCTTCGGGTGCGGCCGAGCCGCCTTGGACCAGGCGGAACTGATGACGACGAGGAGGCAGAGCCCGGAGACGCAGGGGCAGGTGAGGAGCCGTTCGACCCGGGCGGCTTGCGGACTGGCACCGCGCCCGAGGACGCCGTGATGCGAATGGATTTCTGTATCCACTTGAGGCCACTGCGGATAGCAACGGCACGATTTCGTAGAAGAGCAAAGTGAGTGGATGAGCAATCAGGGCACAGCGATTGTCAGCCGTCATAACACCGCTCGAGTGTACCTGAGAAAGTCTCCAAAGGAGATCATTTTGTCGTTGTTGGTGTCCAATTCCTTGAAGAGTTGTTCAAACTCTTCCTTGCCCACCTGGAGGCCCAGTTCGTCCATCACTTGCCTCAGCTCTGTAGAGAAAGAGCCATCAACAAATCAGACGACAGCAGCCAAGGGAGCCCGAGCTCGGGTGTACAGGTGCGGTACGTACCAGAGGCTGCGATGTTGCCGTCACCGTCAGCGTCGCAAAGATCAAACAGCTCTCGCATGACTGTTATCTGATAGCCACAAACAGAGCCAGCGAAACCGTTAGCAGGTCCGAGCAAAAAGGCCAAAGAAGCGAGAGCTTCAAACCTGTTCATCGCTGAAGTCTTGTGCAAACTACATGTGGCGGAGTTCGAAACAGTAAAAGAGGTCAGTTGCGTGTAAGCCCGCAGGCAAAGCCGAGGGGGGTGCAGGTACAAAAGTAGCAAACAAAAAAAAAGAAAAAAAAAAGAACTGAGGCAAGTGACGGACGTTGCGAAGAAGGTACCAACTGAACGGACTTGGTACGCTCGAAACGTCGGTACTGGGCTGGGCTTGGCTTCATTGCGTCCTGCTCTGCTTCTCCTTGGCACTGAGCGAAATGAGCAATAGAGGGAAATGAACAAAGAAATTCGCGTTTTCATCTTTACTTTTTTTTTATTCTAAAAAATTGGCCGCAGCTGCGGAGAGGATGTCGGCTCTGGAGGAGGTGAGGCAGAAATGTAACCTGCTCGCCACGTCCACCAAGGTCAAAGAGCGCAAGGTAATTAGTACTGGATCTCGAGTTTGATCTTGCATTTTATCTTCATTCTTTGAGTAGCAACTGGATGGATTAACGATGGAGAACACTGAAATTCATCTTCGCGCTCATCATGCTCACAGGGAAACTTGGCCGAGCTGCTGGCACTACTCAGTCTCGACAAAGTGTGCCAGCAGGTGGACCAAAGCAGCGTCGCCGCACTACTCAAGCCCTCGGAGGCCCGAAAGAAAGGTGCTCATGGTGCTCTGCTCATGCTTGGTGTTGTTCGTTTGTGTCCACCACCGACCGCCACCATCGCACATACGCTCAGGGCATACGACCACATGGGACGATGTGGTGCGTGCCGTGGTGGCCATGGTGGAGAGCGAAGTGGAGCACATCCAGTCATCCAAGCGCAAGGCCGCCAAGCCGCCGGCGTTGAGGAAGGACGTGCTTGATGCTCTCAAGAATGCGCTCAAGATCGCTGAGCAACGTACGTCCGTCTCCTCATTGCTGTTTCTTCTCTTCTTCTTCTTCTTCTCAGCTACCCGTCAATGAAGAAGCGTCTTTCAGCAGCTCACTTCGATGTATAATTGCAGGCGGCCCACGGCTGTTCCTCTCGATCAAGGACCTCACGCAGCACTTCGTACGCATGCTGTGCCAGAGCGACGCCCAACAGCAGCCCTTCCTGAAGGAGTACAGCGATCTCCTATGCGACTACATTCTACCCGTCCCCAGCTACTGCCAGCTTGCGAGCTCGAGCTTCTTCGAAGGTTGGTTGACCCTCTGTTGGTGTTGGCTCCTGGTGTAAGACTTGCTGCAGCTCACATCAATCGGTCGAATGGGGTACAGAACTGCTGGCGCTGTATGGCGAGTACCTGCTGTCTACTCCCTCATCCGCCATCGAACATCAAATCTACGCTCGCACCTACCATTGCCTCCTGACTCATTACCCGATGGAGTTGGCGCCCTTCTTCACCAAGTTCTACGCCTTCTTCAAGAAATACTTCTCCGAGCACATGGAGGACAACAAGCCATCAGGTGAGCCCCCCAGCTCCCAGCGCTCCTCAAAGCTCACTTCTGATCACACTTTCTTCTGCTTCAGCTACGCTGTTGTCTGCCCTCAATTATCTGCTGCAGACCTGCGCGATGGACGAGGGGTCGCGTGCGCGTCAGCTCGGAACAGAGCTGCATGCCACCTTCCTGAAACGGTGGGACACCCGGCAGCAGCTGCTCAAGGAACAGATCGTATACTTCTTCCGGCTTCAGCTCCTGCTCCACACCTCCTTCACCGGCAAGATCCTGTCTACCGCCAATCCTGCTGTAGGTGCGTTACTGTAGTAATTCCTCTCTGGGAACTCGCGACTTCGTTTCCAAACTTTCTCATTGTGTCAAATGGTTCTTATTGTGATGCACAGAGGCCAGACTGCATTATGGCATCGATTACCTGGATACCCTGTTTGACCTGGTGACGAAAGAGCTCGAGAGGAGTGCAGGCCAGGCCTACCAGCTTCTCTCCAGGTACGCTATTACAATATGCGTTTTGTTTCCGCACTATTTACCACGTTGTCCATCGATCAACACATCTCGTTTGCAGCAACCGGATGCGACAGTCTCGCTTCAACGAAGAAGACCCTCTGTTCCTGGAAGATCGGTGGCGATCCTTTCTAGAGTTTGCTGTGGATGTCTTTCTACACATGGCCCATCGTCGGGCTTGCATGACGGGGCCTTCCTCCCAGGAGGTAGCTCCCCCTTCCCTTTCGCTGAAGTATGCCACCATCTCAGCATCATCAATTGACACAGGAACAGCTTGAGTCCAGCGAGGAACTGAAACGCAAGAATCAGCCCACGCCCACCAAAGCTGAACCCGAGACCACCAAACCGCGAAAGCGGCGGAAACAGACCGACGTGTTCGAGATGATGGCATCGGCTCTCCCGTCTCCCGCGGCGCTCAGCGCCACCAGCGGCAGCAGCAACCTACTGGCGCCGACGATAGCAGAAGGCACTAGCTCTTCTTCTTCACCTTTTCTACTTATGCGGTAGCTTATCTTTCTTCGGCCGAAAACAGGGCGACGAAGCAGCGGCGGCGGCATAACCATCATCGGAGCAGACGACGGCGCCTACGTTCTCTCGTCTTCGGTCCTGCCATGGCTGCAGCTCCTGACGGTCATGCTGGGCAAGCACCCGTACCTCTTGCCGCCCAGGTATCACCTTCAGGGCGTTGGAAGTCTGGCGATGATTCTCAAGGGCGATCTATCCGACAAGCCCGAAGTCGAGGTACGCCGCTCCTGACGGCCTCTTCTGTTTTCTGTCTATACGTTCGCAGAGCTGAGAACTAGATTTCCGTGTCTTACTTCTAGGCCTGGACACTCGCTGGGCTCATTGGGCTCGTGAAGACCGTTCAGACCACCTACGCTGGCGACCTGATGGAGTCGACGGTGCCAGAGCTGGGCCTGATGGCCCACACCAGCCTCTTCGAGCGCGCGCCGCTCAAGAAGACCGAGTCGCAGCGCAGGCTTGTGGATCGAGGCACGGTGGGCATGCTCTGGCAAGGCGTCTGGGAGACGCTGGTACGCAAGATGGCCTACTACAACTCGGGCAGCGTCGAGCTGGCGCTGGCGCTCATGAAGGAGATTCTCGACCACGATCTGGTCGACGCCAAGCTGGTGGGCGAGTCGCAAGGCGAGCTCTGGAAGGCCTCGCTGTTCAACGAGCCCGCCAAGTGCGGCATCGCCGCCATCGAGTTCGTCATCAGCTTCCTGCGACGCCATGAGATCAAAGACGCGGCCGCGGAGTGGGGCGGCCACGCCGAGGTGGCGCGCGGGCTGAAGAAGCGACGCTACGGCGATCCCTCGACCGATCCGACAGCGGCGAAGGACAACAACGGCCAGATCACTCAGAGGGAACGGCTCGTGGAGTGGCTGCTCCTGTCTCTCAATCGCGACACCATCAACGTCCGACTGTCCAAGAACATGCTCAAACCGATCTCGCCCTACCTCATCGCGTCGGCCGTCATTGCGCTGATCCGACCGGGGCCGTCGCCCGCCATCAAGGATCCTTTCGACGAGGAAGAAGTCCTGAGGAGCTCGAGCCAGGAGTCCCATCCGTTTCGGCGGAGTGTTGCGGCTGCCTCGCTCAACTTTTCGATTCCTGACCACCCCGCTTTGTTTGTCGGCATCGAAGACTACACCGGTACAGTGGCCAACCAACCAACCAACCAACCAACCAACCAACCAACCAACCAACCAACCAACCAACCAACCAACCAACCACTTCCTTACTCTTCTTTTCGCAAAACATAGGAGTGAGCTTAAGTGAATCGCAGATGGTGGAGCGGAGACTGGCGGAGGTCTACTGTTCGCGCAAGCTGTACGCTAGTGACCAGCTCTGCGCGACCCCGGGCGGCAAGTCGGCGCCGACCAAGCACCACTTCGGCAAGAACCAGATCTCGGTGCCTTTGCGCATTCGACTACAGAGCAGCTGCATCGAGCTGCTCTGTGGTCGCACGGACGAACTGCTGGGCCTCGGTCGTGCCCTGTTCGACAGCGCCCAGAAGCTGAAGACGATGGGACTCGACAAGCACAAGCTGATGCTCGTTCTGGTGGAGATCTGCAACCTCTCCCAGGTCATCGTCATCCTTCTTCCGCTCCTCCTTTCCTCGTCCGCGCCGTCGTCTTCGTCGTCCAAGTCAGCCGACTACTCCCTGCTCGCCGTGGACGTGGAGCGCGTGATGACCCTGGCCGACTCCTCGCTCGCCGCACTGCTCGACTTCCTGGCCACCAACGTGCCGCTGCTCACCACGCACCCTCAGCTCCTGCACCAGCTCCTCCAGCGGCTCTATTCGCTGGTCGGGTCATGGGCTGCGTCACGCAGCGGCTCGCCCCGGGCAGTCGCCTCCACCGGCGATCGTCCGCGAGGAATTAGCAACTCGGCCACACGACCCGAAGGAAAGACCCGCAGAGCCGAAGGAACCGACCGCACGCCTCGGGGGAGCGATGCCAGCTTTGCGTCGTCGATTGAGAGCGCGAGTAATCCGCTGGACCGCTACCAGCACCTCCTCCAGCCGCTCACGGCCTTCCTGATTAGCTACCTCGACGAGTACTGCGCCGCAGTGCAAAAGCAGAGCAAGGAGAGTCAGGGCCAGGTACTAAAAACCCTCTTGTTGCCCAAGTGCGTTGTATAATGACTGAAGTGTGTGTGTGTGTGTGTGTGTGTGTGTGTGTGTGTGTAGGCCCTCATAGCGACGAGGTCTCACTCTCGATCAGACACTGTGGACCTGGATTTGATGGAGGAAACCCCAGTGGTGCAGAGCCCCATGCGAGGAGGTCGAGCCAAGCAGGAGAGCTTCGGCGATACAAGTGCTAGCGAACTGGCTTCCAGTACTTAGGCCCTTACCTCCGTCCACTCGTGCCACAGAAGCTGACCCATCTTCTTCACCTCTCCGAAGGCGAAATGGCCAGCACGCCCAACGACGACTGTGTACTGATGGCAGCTCGCACGATAGCCAAGATTGCCACGTCGCAGCTCTGTCAGTCCGTCGAAAGCATCGGTGATGTGCTGATGGAGCTGTTCAAGCTCACCCAGATCGTCAACTTCAAGTTCGAGCTGGCTGCACACCTGCTGGACATTTGCAACAGCAAACCAGCGCTCCAGACGTCCGGTACGACAATCAACCGCAATACCCATAAGGTGGTTTGAACATAGCAGAGCGCTAGCTCACACTTCTAAATGATGGGTACCAGCTGCTCCCATCGACAAGGACAGCATGTTCTACGACGACAGCGTGTACCCTCCTGCGCTTCCGCTGGATGACGCGCGTCTCGCCGGAAAGGACCTGGGCCATGAGACCAAGGCCAACTATGTCAAAAAGGTACCGCATCATTTTGGCTTTGTGTGCGTGTGCGTGTGCATGTGCGTGCGTGTGCGTGTTCTGCTCAATGCGTGTGCACTGACTCTATGTTGGCCTGGTGCGTATATTTCACCCCCAAAGGTGTTGACGGGCATCAGACGGCTCACCTCGCAGCCGGACGCGTTTGGCCGGGAGTCCGTACGCCGGAATCTGCTACGAGTTGTCGAGCGCGTTATCGGTCTCCTCAACGCCAAGGTATTTGAACGCTCTTCTCGCGGCGCCATATGGAAACAAATGGACACCATGATGTGGTGCCCTTCACTGAACCATGTGCCTTTCAGATCATCAGCTCGGAGGACCACAGGAAGTTTGCAATCAAGATCGGCACCGCGCTGCTCAAGACCTTCGTCGCCCTCTGGGAAAACGGCAAAATAAGCTGGCCCACTCGCGTGGCCCTGGCGCAGTGCGTCCGTGAGTTCCTCAACCTCGAAGAGGAGGACGGCGAGGACTTCTCCGAGGTCTTTCTCAAGCTGCTCCAGGTACGTCGGGACTGGTCTAGGCCCCTTCTTTTTCCTCCAAACTTTTCCACTCACTCTTCGTGCCCGGCACAACACCGACACAAAGGACCCGAGCTATCAAGTGCGCAAGTACATGAGCCGGGCGATCACCCTGTTCTTCTCGCTCTACCCGCACCAAGCCCAAATATTCAACGACTTGTCGCCCCAGCTGCTGCCTATCAGTGCGTGTGCCCGCCTCCCCAACGACACAAGGGTCGCGGTTCTTCTTCCCGGCGCTCTCTCATTTTTTCAACTCTTTTTTTTTCACCCTGTGCGTGTGTGTTCACAGGCAAGTACCATTCCGAGGAGGGCAGAGTCACCGCCCTGCTCACGCTCGGGGAGATTGCGTGCGTGTCGCCGGACAACGAGCAGCGCATCCTGTTCGAGCTGTGCGTCATCAGCGGTAGCGGTGCTGAAGAGAAGAAACCCGCACCCAAGGCCGCAGCGACAACCAAGTCTTCTCGCAAGGGAAAAGAGAAGAAGCGCGACGGCGACGACGAAGAGGACGAGATTGAAGATGACGACGAAGGCGGCCGAGACGAAGCAGAGGAGATGTCCGACCTCGTGGCCTACATCATCGAGCACATCGCGCTGACGCTCTCCTATCCCTCGTCTCAGTCGCTGCTCTCCGACCACCTGCCCTTCCTCCTGGGCCGGTGGTGCGAGGCCAAGTTCCCACTCCACCTCTTCCCGATTCACCTCCTCAACGAAGCCAGCCTCAAGGACTTCCTCAGCCACTTCGCCGCCATCCTGCTGCCCAAGCTCGTCTATCTGACCGACCGCGACAACCTCGAGCTCGTCGCACAACAGTTGGCCGTCACTCCCGAGAAACTCGGTATGCTCTCGTGTGCGGTGTGTGTCAGTGGTGTGTGCGTGTGCGTGTCGGTCAAACACACAGCGTGAGGGCTTATGAAGTACTTTCTGCTCTGGACAGTGCTCCAGCATTATCCGGCCATCTTTGCGCAAACGTTTCCGCTCTACTACGCGCCGAGCAAGGAGAAGAAGGACCTGGGCATGTACATTTGCGAGACCTTTCTGCCGACGTTTGTGGGTGCGGAGGTGGTGAACCAGCTGATACCCAAAGAACTCGACACGATCCTCATCAAGCTGCTCGACCTCACCAAGATCCAACTGTCTGGTACACTCCATTGGTGTTTGATATCAATGCGTCTCTCGCTACAGCTCAAATTGTAACCTTACGCTTTCCACCATATTTACTGCAGTTGAGGATAGCGAGAGTCAAGAACGGTCTGCGGAGAAGGAGGAAGAAGAGGACGAAGATGACAGCAATCTCTACTTCTCCGCCGACACCATCAAGAACGTACTGAAACACTTGGCTCAGGGGTTCAAGGTGGAAGTGGTTTCCCTCTTCTTCAAGACGAAGGACCGAGTGCAGAAGATATTGCTACACCTCAACCAGCGCTTGGCTACCGCCCATCGGCGCCAGGTACCACGCAACTCAACTCTCTCAGCTTATGACAGTTGAGCCTGCTCAACTCTCGTCCCACTCTGCGGCTTCTGCTGCTCGCAGGATCAATTGAGGGCCTTCCGAGTGCTAAAGTTCTTCGTCGAGATATTGGGCGATAACGCCTGCACCGCCAGCGTGCTGCGTGACGTCATTCATACCATCCTCCGCTCGATCAACAACCCCAACCTGGCTTCGCTCTCTTGTGACCTGCTCAAGCAGATAGCGGTACCTTTTTCTTTCAATTTCTTTGCATTATATTTCTGTTCTGCTGAACTTTGCCTCCATTCAATAGACACTCGCGCTGGAGAAGAACGGCAAGAGGTTGGGCCACCACCTCAAGGCCATCGTCACTTCGATCGTTCCGCTCGCGCAACGGGTCAACAAGCCGGGTCAACTCGAGGCCCTCTCGGTGCTCTCGCTACTGATGAAGCAGACCCAGATCAAGGACGCGATACTGCACCTGGACCCATTCCCGGAGAGCTCCGTATTCGCAGAGATCAACAGAATCTACTACAGGTACCATATTATTTATTATTTTTTGTTCTTATTTTGATGTCTGGCCTTCACTCATGTTTGGCTGCATGTTAGTATGCGAGGCGAGTACAGCCTGGCCGGAGAGATCGAGCGCTTCATTCGCACCTGGGCGGGAGCTGGGACGGGCTCGATGGCACACAAGGTCGCCGCGTCATCCGCCATCTCCGTTGCGACGAAGATAGCTTCCCTGGCGCATCTCAAGAGGCTGCTCAAGACGTCCAAGACGGATCTCACTCGTCTACTGAAGCAGGCGCAAATGCCCTATTTGGGACAGCAACAGCAACAGGCACCTTCCTCCGAAGGTACGTCAACCAATCAATCAACCAACTGCACTCTTGTCTCTCGACGTTGACGAGTTTTTCTGTTGATTGCAGTTGCCTCGCAGGGCGCCGAGACACAGCAGAGCCTGATCGATCGGTTGATCTGGGAGCTCGTACAGCTGTGCGCTCCTCAATACGACAGCGCGATCCAGCAAATGGCTGGTGAGTGCCTGGGCGAGCTGGGTGCGGTTGACCCCTACGCCATCGCCTTCTCGTTCCCGCATGACGCCTCGCAGTCGGCTGGTGGTCCCCCAGGGCGGGCGTCCAAGGAGCAACAGACCAAGGCCGCCAAGGTACCGTTCAATTTATTTCTTTGCTGTTCTGTCTCCGTGCTAACCCTGCGCGCGTCGAACCGGCCGACAGATCTCTATCTTGGAGCTGTTGAATGCCTACCTCACCGACACCGATGTCGACGTTCTGCACATGGCCTCCAACTGTCTGAAAGCAGTCCTGTGCACCAACTCTGGCAACAGCGCCCTCAACGCTCTGAGCGAAGAGATCAAGGAGGAGCTGATGCCCTACCGCCCCTCGGTCAAGAACGCCAAGGTACATCCTTTCGTTAGTTTCTTTTTATATTTCTTTTAATTTGTATCAAGGCTTGGCTCCTTAAAGTTGCGCGTATCTCTGCTTCTCAGCCTCCTGCCTTCCCGTATGCTCTCCCCGAGATCGCTCTTTCCACGGCCGATCTCTGGTCTCCGCACAAGTACAACAGCTACAACGAATGGGTGTGCCACGTTGCCTACGCGTTGGCCAAACACGCCGTGAAGGACAGGTTCGTTGTCTTGCACTCATCAGCGCTGCTGGACCAAAAGCGCGTGCGCGGCAGTGACTTACATTTCTTGTTTTTATTACTTGATCTCGGGCAGGATGCTGCATTTGTCCGCTCCGATGTGCCTGAAGAAGCCCGAGTTTGCTGAATTTCTCTTCCCCTTCCTGGTGATGAACGTCATCTGCTTCCCCGACGACTCCACAATCACGCTCACCACGGCGTCATCGAGCACCGCTTCAACTATGAGCCTGGCTGCCTATGTCTCGTACAACTTGAGGTGCGATGCCTCGACCCTTTCATGCGCCCGTACACCACCATTACAGGAGCGCCAACACTCACTCACTTGACCACTCCTGCAGGACCTACATCCTGTGTGACGCTAACACCAATACTGAGTCGATCCAGCTTACGCTGCACACGCTCAATGTCTTGCGGAAGCAATTTATGGCACAAGGCGAGGAACCCGAAGAGCCCATTGTCACATCGAAGAAGCGAGGTACCTATCGCTCAACCTTTCGGCCTTTGCTTCCTGGAAGCGTTAGTTCTCATTTGAGTCGTGCGTCTTTGATGATGGACCACAGGCGACTTCAAAGCTCCTCCGGAGAAGAAGGGAGGAGCAAAGAGCGGTTGCCAGAGGTTCTGGCACACGGACTTCTGGAAGGACTTCAACTTCCTGGACATCGCACGTGCGGCTCAGAGGTATTATTGATGCTGATGCTGATAACGACGATGATGTAGGTGCTGTCAGCTGATACACTAACCTGAACTCCCTTAACAGGTGTTCGGCCTACCTCACCTCGCTGCTATACGTTGAGCTGTGGTGCGAAAAGGAGATAGGGCAGCTCCAACTGCCACCGGATGAGTCCTACTCGCGCTTCCTTGATGTCCACGGCGGCGGCAGCAGCGCAGGCAGTAGCAACGGCAGCGACAGAATGGCGGTGGTCGACCAGGACGAAACGCCCCCCTACATGGAGCTGTTGCTGGGGATCTATAGCAACATCAACGAACCGGACAGCATCTATGGCCTTCAACGAAATCAGAGGTACCCCCTTTTTAATTTATTCTCTTCATTATAACTTCTCAGCAATGGACTGACACAATTCCTTTTATCACTTGAAATCCAGCATCCACTCGCGAATCAAAACCTACGAGCACGAGCACGATTGGAGCAAGGCCCTGGGCGCATACGATATGACGCTGCAGCACTCCGGCAACCGACCCCCGCTTCCGCTCTGTCAGGGCCTGCTGACTTCACTGCAGAGACTGGGCCACCACCACCTGCTGGAGGTGTACCTGCGCGGCTTCGCCGTACAATACCCGAGCCACTTCCTGGATCTCTCCGAATTCCAATACGCCGTACGCTGCTCTCCTCCAACTTTAAGGCTGACACAGTTTTCTTACATTCCTTCCTGTACCGCACCACATTTGTACAGGAGGCCTGGCGTACGTGCAAGTGGCAGATGGACTGGTTCCGTCATTCCGTCAACCCACTCTTGTTCACGCGGCAGTCGGACGAGGGCGGAGATGATCAAGCGCAGTCGCCTTCGAGCAACTCCAACTTCCACATGGGATCATATCAATGTCTCAGGTGCGCAACACACACACACACACACACACACACACACACACACACACACACACACACACACAATGCTGATCAGCCAGTCGTACCCAGGTCGCTGCATGATGGCGACCAAGCCGTGTTCTGGAAGAACCTCCGTAAGACGCGTTTGGAACTGGTGCGAGCAATCGGCGTGACCAGTCTGGAGAGTACCAAGAGCGTCTACCCGGCCTTGGCCAAGCTTCAGTTCCTGGGCGAGATCGAGCACGCCTGGAATCTTCGCTGGGGGGAAGACAAGCGAATCGACGCGACGCCTTCGCCCATGACCCCTGGTATGTTAGGAATTCGCGCCCAGCTTTGCCACCACCCACTGCGCATCTAACGCCTGAGAGGGGCGACAATCCATGGCAGGCACGAGCGCTGGGCTCACTCTACGCACGAAGCGGATCCCGTCGGCGGTGGAGATGGACAACCTGCTCAGCGGCTGGCGCGAACGGCTTTCGCTGATGGAGAACAACTTTGAGCTGATCGAGCCCCTGCTCTCCCTGGGCACCACGCTTCTCAAGATCCTGGAGAAGGGGGAGTACCTCCCCGCGCAGCTGAGCACCTTTGCCCAACTGGCTCGCAAGGCCGAGTGCTTCCAGATCGCCTCCAACTGCATCCATCAGGTACCGCGCACGCACAAACCGCCGCATCGCGTATTTGTCTGTTTGACTGATTGACCTCCTTGTTATAACTCCTCTTCTAGCTCAAGCACGTAAGCCACCAGGATGCGGTCAGTAGCGTATCCTGGCGTCTGGCCGAAGCCCGAGTACTCTGGGACCAGGTGCGCCTTCTTTTTTCTTATTTGTTGTTCTTGTCTTATCTGGAATCTGACTGACAGCACATGGTCCGGGGTGGTTGGTGATGTGTATATAAAACAGGGCGAGGGCGACAAGGCCATCAGCATCGGCAAGCTGTTGACCAAGTCCCTGGAAGAGCTTTACACAAAGCACGTGGAGGTTGCAAGCCGCGGCAAGGCCAAGGCGACTGAGAAGGGAAGACCCGCTTCGCTTGATGAGCGCCTGCTCAGGGCCTACGCAGAGGCCACCTATTGCACAGGTAACGTTTGAAAGAGGCTGAACCTCCCGGCAAGGCAACTGTTCATCACCTGATGCACATTTATATGCGCAGGCAAGTGGCTCGCCGAAACTCGTTCGGAGAGCTCTTCGACGATCATCAACGACCACCTCCAGAAGACGGTCGAACTCTATCAGCACTTTGATGATGGCAACCGCGGTCGAGCCTACTTCACGCTGGCTCGCTACGCTGACGGTACGTGCCGTCGGGCACCCACGCTGGACCCAAGTTCTTTTGGGGCGGTTGCTCACTAACTCTCGCACGTTATCAGGGTTGTACGGACACTTGGTTGAAAAGCTCAAGTCAAGCGAGTGGGCCATGTCGCAAGAGCTACGCAAGCAAAAGGAAAGGGAGCTGCAGCAGTGCGAGAAGCTGCTCGAGACACGACCCAAGGACAAAGATCTACTGCGTCACACCATCGTGCTGCGCCGACAGTGCGAAATCGACAAGTCCGAGAACCGGCGCCTCGAAAAGGGTACAACCCCGTGCCGCCCCATGCCTCCCAGTGCAATTGCCCTCACCCAACCAACGCCTCTCGCTCTGCTGCTATGTCTGTGGCCAGATCGCGAGGAGCTGTTGCATTCGGCTGTGGAAAACTATTTGAGGTGTCTGCTGAGCGGGGACAAGTATGACATCAGGGTCATGTTCCGCCTGTGCTCGCTCTGGTTCAACAACCCATCAGGTTCGTGATATTGTTACGACTACTTTCCCACCACCTTCTCTCCTCACACCTTCTTTCCATCCTATGTTGCACCTTGGCAGACCCAACGGTGAACTTCAAGCTCAGTGAGTCGCTCCAGGAAGGGCTGCCCTCCCGCAAATTTGTGCCGCTTATCTATCAAATCGCCTCACGCATCCATGCCGCGCCGACCGAGATTGCCAAGGTACACGTTTATTGTTATTATTATATTCTTTTATTATATAATTATGCTTTTATTGTTCTAACCAAGTACGCCGATCCAACAACAGGCCGGAGCGTCGGACAAAAGGAGAGGCAAGGCCAGGTCGGTGGCGGGCAAAGTGACCAAGTACGTGGGGCGCAGCAAGACCAGAGCCGCTGCTGCGGCTGCTGGCGCGAGCAAAGGCAAAGGCAAGGCCAAGCAACTGGGAGACAGCGAAGAGGAAGGGGACGAGACCGGCGGAGATGGCGGCACGGCCAACTTCCAGGACGTGCTGAACACCGTCATCGAGGCCATCGCGGTAGACCACCCGCACCACGCCCTGTGGCAAATCTTCGCGCTCTCCAACGGCGACCGCGTCGTCGCTGCCCAAAAGAGCAAGAATCGCTACCTGGTGGACAACGACAAGGCCACGGCCGCCAAAGGTTGCCTCTTCATCAACTCCCTTCAAGTGGTCCAATTTCTCATTTTTTCCCCCGACACAGATCTGCTCAATCGCCTGCGGGCGACCAAGCACAAGCAACTGATTCAGGAGATGGAGAAGCTGATAGGGGCCTACATCGAGCTTGCCTTCATGGACGTCTCCAACTACAAAGGCGAGGTATGTTCCACTGTGGTGCACATGAACCGGCTTGGAGAGTACTCATCACTTTTTCTCCTCAACAAGACCAAACCGATACCTTTGCTCGGTTCGGTACGCAACGTCCGCAATCTCTCGCTGGTGCCCGTGCCGACGATCAACTACGACGTCAGTTCAGACGCCAACTATCAGGTATCCGATGATGATGATGATGATGATGATGATGATGATGATGATGATGATGATGATGATGATGATGATGATGATTATCTGGCCAACGTTCAATGACTAAACAAGACTAAAATTGTGCTGGGCACCACACAGGGAATGGTCACCATCAGCAGGTTCAGCGACACGTTCAGCCTTGCCGGCGGTCTCAACTTGCCAAAGATCATCGAATGCATCGGCTCCGACGGGCAGTACTACAAACAGTTGGTCAAGGGTAAGAGCCCCACTCCCGCGAGTACTGTACTCGACAAACAGTTTTCTCTGCTTTTCGTTCACACCGTGTCATCGTCACCGGGCAGGTTCGGATGATCTGCGTCAAGACGCGGTGATGCAGCAGATGTTCCTCATGGTCAACATCCTGCTTCGTGAGAATCCCGAAACGAGGAAGCGCCGCCTGCGCGTTAGGAGCTACAAGGTGTGTGTCGTGTGTGTGTGTGTGTGTGCGTGTGCGGTGGTGCGTGTGCGGTAAACTTACCTCAATTACCTGCGCAGGTGATACCTCTGACGCCGTGTGCGGGTCTGCTGGAGTGGGTGCAAAACACGATCCCGCTGGGGCAGTACCTCATCGGCACCGCACGGGACTACAAATCGGGCGCGCATGTGCGGTATCGGCCCAACGACATACTCTCGGCCGACTGCCGTAAGGAGATGCAGGAAGCCGCCACCGCCAAGAAGAGGCGCAAGGTTTCGTCCGCTCATCCAATCATCCGATTGACCGCCACACATCGCTGCTCTTTTTTTTTAACACTTCTTTTGCATCTTCTACTTCTTTCTGTTGTTGAGCAGGTGTTCGATTCGGTGCTGGACAGGTTCAAGCCGGTGTTCCACCACTTCTTCCTGGAGCAGTTCCCCGATCCTCCTCTGTGGTTCGAACACCGTCTCAACTACATCCGCTCCGTGGCCTCGTCTTCCATCCTCGGTACTCCTCCTCCTTCCTAATATTTCTGAATTTTTATATGAATATGTTTATATATAAAAAATATGTTTATAATTATGATATGTTGTGTATGTTATGGTAGGCTACGTGGTGGGTCTGGGCGATCGGCATGCGCAGAACATCCTGATCGACAAGGCCACGGCGGAGGTGGTGCACATCGATCTGGGCGTGGCGTTCGAGCAGGGCAAGACCCTGCGTACGCCCGAGGTGGTCCCCTTCCGCCTGACGCGGGACATCGTGGATGGCATGGGCATCACCGGCTGCGAGGGGGTCTTCCGGCGGTGCTGCGAGGAGACGATGCAAGTGCTGCGGGCGTCTCACGAGTTCCTACTCACCATCATGGAGGTCTTCATCCACGACCCGCTCTTCAAGTGGGCACTCTCCCCCGTCAAGGCCCTTCAGCTGCAGCGAGAGGACAACGAGCAGAACGAAGGCATCCAGGAAGTTGGTATGTCTTTCTATTTATTTATTGACACTATTATTCTTATTATTTATATTAATTTATATTATATAATAATTAGTATTATTATGATTAGTTTAGTTGATTTATCTTTTCCGGCCCAGGCGATGCCGAGTCGGGCGGTTCGTCGGGGGCGAGCGGCAACAAGGACGCGGAACGGGCGCTGCTTCGACTGAAGGCCAAGCTGCAGGGCTACGAGTACGGACAGGCCCTGAGTGTGGAGGGTCAAGTCAAGCAGCTCGTCGCCGAGGCCCAGGACCCTATTCGTCTTGCCGAGATGTTTGCTGGCTGGGCACCGTGGCTGTAAACTCCAGGCCTTCGCGTTCTTGTTGCGCACGCCGCGCACTTCCAAATTTTTAACATCTTTTTCTTGGAAGTGCGAGAGGCCAAAAAAGAAGCCACCGCGACCCCTTCTGGGGTCCAGCTCTTCACACACCATGGACCATCGCCCCGCTTATGTGCAACTGCCCGACGGGCACCGTACGGTGGGGAGGTCGGTCTCGTTCAACGGCCTCGCGCACACCCGCCACCTGCCGCCCGACGCAACCAGGTTCACCCGTCGACGACCGCCGGTGGGCCAACATCGACCCGGCGGGCGAGTGCTGCGTGTGCGCCGAGGACCGGACGGGTGCGTGTGCACCAAGCTGCGCGTGTGCGAGCAGTGCGCGCTGGCCAAGCACCCCGACGGTCGCTACAAAATCCTCCGGTGCCCCGTGTGCAGGCGCGACACGGGTATGACCTGGCATCCCTACACGACCGTGGAGAAGATCGTGGGACCCCTGGCCGAGGGTCAACACACCGTGCAGGTATTTTGCAGGACGTTGCGCGACTACACGTACGCGCTCATGGTGCACCCCTCGTGGACGGTGGAGACGCTCAAGGCGATCATCCATTCGGCCTTGGGTCCGTACCCCGATCAGCAGCGCATCATCTATCAAGGCCGCCAGTTGGAGGATTCGCGAACGCTCGCCGACTACGGCATCTCTCACGACAGCGTCGTTCACCTCCTCGAGCGACTGCGCGGCGATTAAAAAATTAAAATCGCTCTGCTCCTACATTTTTCAGAATCCTCTGCTCCGTCTGTGTTCTTGCCGGTTAGAAGAATGGAATTCCAAGAATCTACTAGATACCACCGAGGAAGGCCCAAGCGGCTGCAACGCCGACCATGACGCCGAAGACGGCGCTGGCCCTGCCCAGCGGCTGGCGCGAATCGGCGAGCGTGGGCAGCACAGTGTTGAAGTAGACCTTGTCGTTGACGTCTTCGTAGTCGGCCAGCAGAGCGTTCCGCTTGCGCCGCCGCTCGTGCACGATGCCCAGCACTTCGGCCCGCAGCTCGTCGCTCTCGATCTGCTCCTCGACCCCGCCCGCGCTGCCGGGGGCCGCGCGAAGGACGGCATCGATGTGGTCGTACTGGGCCGAGAGGGCACTCAGGCAGTAGCGCCTCAGGTGCGGCGCGTGGTACGTATCTCCCAGCTGCAGGAAATACGGAATGTTCTGCTCCTGCACAGACAAAGGGTCAGTCGTGTTGTGTGTCGTGTGTGTGCGTGTGCGTGTGCGTGTGTGTCTCTCTCTTGCTCTGCGTGTGTGCGTGCGTGCGTGCGTGCGTGCGTGCGTGCGTGCGTGCGTGCTGCGGTACCTCCATGACTTCGACGATGAGCTTTTCGCACCACAACTTGAGGGTGTCGAGGCCGTACTTCTCGGCGGTGATGAGCACCTCGACGGCCGTCTCCTC